CGAGCGACACAGACGAGGCGCGTGGGCGACATGGCGACGTGAATGACGCGGGTGTGGGCGATGTGGGCGCGGGCGACGCGGGGGCGAAATGCGGACGTGTCACGCAACGCAGGTGAGGTGTGTGCGACGAGCGAGGTGAACGTTAGGAGGGGTGGATGAATGAACGGCAGGCCGGCTACCCTGCGCGAGTCGAACAGGCTCGTCTGCGCGTATGTCGAGTGCCACTTGTACTTGAGCCGGCATGCACGCTGGTGTGTTCGTGCACCACGACCGTTGGTTAGGAACGATTTCAGCAAGATTCGCAAATGACTCACAAAGCTCCAGTGGGTGATGCAGGTGACACGCGCGAGGTGGGCAAAGACGGCGATATGAACGATGCGGAAGAAGTGGGCGATGCGGTTGCGCGCGGTGTGGGAGCAGAGGGCGACACGGGCAAGATAGGCAACGCGGGCGAGATGAGCGGTGGCCGAGATCGCGACACGAGTGAGGCGGGCAAGGTGAATAACGCAGGTGTTGTGGTTGAGGTGGGCGATGCGGGTGTGACGTGGCGACGGGGCCATAAGCTCACGCTGGGTGTGACGCAGAGCGAAGACGTGCTCACCAGCGTCATGCTGCTCGTTCTCGAGCTTGACGAGCTCGTACTGCGAGCAGTTGGGGGAAGAGGAGGGGTCGACGTCCTGGGTGGAGCGCGTTAGCGGGGCAATTCTTGACCTCGAGCTAGCGGCGGAGGTCCCCGAGCTCATGGATACGGACCGGCAGCGACCTGCTCGGGGTAACGCGGGTGCATGATTCCTGAGGGCGGTGTGGTGGAATGAGCGCGAGCGAGCGAGCTCAGGGCAGGGGGGAAGGGGAAGGCATACCAGCATCAAGAGTGGGGTGGGCGATGAACTCACAATCGCATGATATCGGGCACGGCGGGTCGGCGACCAACGGGTCATATCGATCGCGGGGTGCGTCGGGCGTGGTGTCGACGACTGAGGATCGGCGCTGGCCGTGTACAGGGCACGGGTCTTAGAGGATGTCGGAGGGAGGAAACCGGGGCTGGGGCGTGAGCAGGATGCGCGAAGAATGGGATTGTACCAACGTACCTCTTCGTGTGCACTGCGGCTGTGGTTATAGTGGCTGGGATCGGTGGGGGGCTTTATTTTGGACGAGCTCGGGCTCTCTGAAGGGGGAGGCTCGCACACGTCGGCGCGAGGGAGGTGGTCGATGATGAGACGAACGCGGTGGACGTACCTGTTCCATAGAACGTTGCCGCATCGGACACGTCGCGGATTGCGGTTGATGCTGCAGTCGATGGCCAGACGGCGGACGATGAGGGACGGGGGAAGGGAAAGACACGCTGGCAGGCGCCACTTTCGCGTGTGAACGGACGCGCGTCGGCTGGACTCCGCGCTTGCGGCAACTTCGCCGCGCTCGCTCTCTGGCTCACCCTCACCCTTACCACCTTCCAATCCCCTCTATATCGACCACGCCAGCCTCCCGTGCTCCATGCGTACGAGCACGCATGAATCATCATCACGCATGTTCACTGGCTCCCCAGCTCCCTCCTCTCGTCCAAGGATACCCTCTGCGACAGCGTGTGCTCGCCACGTAGTGACTTTAATCCGGTGAGCTCCTTTCTTCCTGCGCATCGTCTTCTCATTTTCCGTCTACCACTCTCCTCTCCCACACACCTCATCGCCGCCGATTCTACCTCATTTGATGGTATCTATCATTGTGAAGTGAGTGATCCCATACCTCGGACAAGTATCTCCCTCTCATTAACACCGTCACCGGCTGGTTTCCCTCCCCCGGCCAAGTCGCCGTCATCGACCTGCGCCTGTATCACGCCACGACCATCTCCTGTGTGTCTTCTCCACTACTTTCTCGTGCTTGTGCTGATCTCAACCACCCATCCCGCACATATCACCCTTTGCCCCGACCGTCCGCGTCACCCCAGCGTCGCCTTTGCTCGCTCTGCCCTGCCCCGTCCTCCACGCGCTCTCCTGCTGGGGCCATACAGGTGCTCGTGCTGAACCGCGCCACGTTCAAGCACACAATCCGGGCTTGTGCTCGCGTTCGTGCACACCATCGGGAGCGATGCGCAGCAGGATGAAGACGCCCTTGCGCGGTGGGTGTGCTGCAAGGCGAGCCACACATCGCTCAGCGACCGCGTGGGCGTTCGACGAACCGGACTGCCACGCGGCAAACACCCGCACATCTGGTCGCGCTGGCTGGCTGCCTCCGCGCCCACTTCCTCTCAGTCTGCTAAGTAAGTCATAACCGTCCCGATCCCCAGTGTTTGATCTGAAGTCATGAGCTCCCAGTGCCGCGGCTCGCGGACCACTCCCGCTAGCCCGCCTCCACAACTGCCCTGAGCAATCGCGCATGCTCACTGCCCCGGTCTGATGGTGCTGACCCCGCCGCCTCATTGTCGCCCGCATCGCCCTCGCCCGCGTCGCCCTCGCACATGTTGACCGTCTCGTCCGGCTTCACGACGGCCGCCCACTTTATCTGTCTTCTCGCCTGCGTGATCTGTGTCGCCCACGTCTCACCCACGTCACCTGCACCTTCCAGCCCCCACTGGGTATGTACAGAGAGGCCGTTATACCCAGTGTCTGCGTCATCATATGTAGTTTGTACTTTGTACCTTGTAGCATGATGAATATCAATTTGTTTGCTCCTCTTATGTGTTTGTGTGATCTATTGAGAGCACTGTGTGAGCATATTAGGCCCTCGTTGAGTGCTCCTTGAGATCTACCTTGCAGCTAATGAAGAGCTCATGAAGATCTAATTTGCGTCTAATTAGCTCTAATTAGATGCCTTAGCAATGTGCAACTCTAATTCGCTCTAATTAGAGAAGACTTGCTAATGAGCACTAATTAGAGCGAATTTTCTCTAATTAGCAAGTGAGGGTTTTCCTGATGAGGGCGGCGTACGCGAGCGGTGTGCGCAGGCAGCGCGAGCGGAGGAGGACGAGGAGGGACGAGGAGGAGCTTGGCGATGCAGAGGCGGGCGACGCAGAGGGAGGTGGCGCAGGCGGACAACATGCGCAGAGGAGAGTGGCGCAGAGGAGGAGGGCGACTTGGAGGGCCGAGAGGAGGAGGGAGGACGTCCTTGGCCTGTTGTAGTTGTCGACTGGGCAGCAGGGAGGACGGGTGGGCGTTGGGAATACGGCAGGGCAGGGCGGAGGACTCACCAAAACAGGGGCCGCGGTACATCGCCGCGGCCCCCATATTCCGATCTCCATACTGGTGACGTCCGGATGGACGTCCTCGTGCGCTCTCGACGTTGTGAGGGAGGCCGGTAAGGTGGGTGAAGGACGGCATGGAGGACCAAGGTGGAGGTCGAGGTCGAGGGCAGGAGGGGGAGGGGAGAACAGTGTCACCAAGTGACACTGCAGTCCAACAGCAGACGACAGACGACTGTGTAGTCGCTATCGTTTGCTTGGACAGACGGTGAGGCAGAGCAGGGAGCAGGCGGTGGAGGAGAGCAAGGACGGCGAAGGACGCGTGGCGCGCATCACTCGATGCGCACCACGCGTCCTTGCCGCCCACTGGGGCGCTGAGAAACGGCGAGGGAGACGGCGTGGGTGAGGGAGACGGTGCACAAGAGACGGCGTGGGCGAGAGGGTGCAGGCGAGAGAGGGCGCGGGCGAGAGACAGCGCGAGCGAAAGACAGCGTGAGCGAGAGATGGCGAATGCAGGCGAGAGACGGCGCGGGCGAGGGAGACGGGGCGAGGGGGACGGTGCGGGCAAGAGGGCGTGGGTGAGAGAGGGCACGGGCGAGACAGAGCACTGGGCGAGATGGTGCGGGCGCCGAGACAGTGTGTGCGAGACGGTGCGCATGAGGGGTACCGCGGTACCGAGTGGTATACGTACATGTACTTTGTCCGGCCTCCAGCCACCCTTACTAAGCAAATGTATAGCTAGTGGTGTTCGGCCCGACGCGTCAGCCTCAGGTGCAGTGCTAACGGGTGCCAAGGGTCCACGGGTCCTGGAGATGAGACCCGCACCCGCACCCGTGGTACCCGCACCCGCGAACCCGCACGGGTCACCCGGACCCTTGGTGATCCCTACCACCACGCAACTAGGAAGCGAATTGAGTATGACAATCTCAAGCGCGATCCCCAGAAAGCCTCACAAAGATGACGCTAAAGCGTGTCCACCAGGATACTTGCGGATGTGAACACTGGGATTGCGGTCTTGTAGCATACTGCACTGTTTGCCGACGAACATGCTGATCAGGACATGAATTCTTGGGCAACACCGGAATGGAACTCACCGTTAAGCCTTTATTACAGTCGCAGAGTGGTAGGATAGCGCGTGTCGCACTTGCACAGGAGGCTTGGATGGTGGATAAGTATACAGTAAACGAGAGAGAGAGGACGTGACAACGCGTCACTTAGGTCCCGCATCACTCCAAAACCAAGTCACGTGTGTCACAGTCTCTCAGCCTCCTGTTTGGGCGCCTAAGCATCACAATCGACGACATTCTTTGCATCCGCGCCTTGTCACCCTGAAATATTGGCATACTTTAGCACTGATCGGTTTATGAAACGCCCCTTTATTCCAGTAGAAATGACCTCAGTCTCCGTGATTATTAGACCCCTGCAAGAAGCCCATGCCATGGCAGAGGTGGTAGCAGCATCGGCATCGGCAGCGTTCTATCGTTATCGCCCGTGCTCGCCACACGGCCCCGCCATCCCGACCACCGTCTGACTCGACAGCGCCCCTTGACTCCGCCAACTTCCTAATAAGGCAGAACCCGCCGCGTGGCATCAGCGGGCGGGGAGGGGCGCCTTCCAAATCGAGGAGCGCGCCCAGTGATGGAGTCACACGGAAGCCCCAGAACGCCGGGCGTCTAGCCTCAGGGCGCTCGATATAAGCCGCCCGGTCGCGCGTGTGGCGGGGGTGCCGCGCCGCGCGTGTTCATTCCCTCTTCTCTTTCTCCCACAACCACAACCGCAACCACCTCGCCCACCGCGTGCTGCACGCTCCTCTCACACCGTCTTCACGATGCCCCCTAGGAAGAAGACCGCGGACGCGTCTCAAACGGACGGTGCCGCCGCCCCTGCCGCCCCGACGCGTGCGAGCGGGCGCACTCGCGCGCCCTCGGCCAAGGCCGTCGCCGTCGCTGCGGTGGCTGCCACCCAGCCAGCGGCCAAGTCGCGGGCGAAGCGGTCGAGGAAGGATGTTGAAGACGACGAGGATGAGGACGACGGGAAGACCGACTCCCCGACTCAAACCAACGGCGACCCCGCGGACGACGCCGAGGACGACGAGGACAAGCCTGCGGCGAAGAAGGCGAAGGTCGCGAAAGGTGCGAAGGTCACCAAGACCGCTGCGAGTAACGGGAAGGCAGCGAAGGGGAAAGGACGGAGCAAGAAGCTGGCGAGCGTGCCGGAGGACAAGGACGTGGAGATGGACGCTGACGCTGACGCTGAGGAGGATGAGGATGAGGAAGATGAGGATGAGGACGCAAAAAAACCAGCCAGCAAGAAACCAGCCAGCAAGAAGCCCGCGAGCAAGGCTAAGCCAGCAAGCAAAGCAAAGCCAGCGAGCAAGGCCAAGCCAGAGAGCAAGGCGAAGGGCAAGGCGAAGGACCCTGCGGACCTGCCGCAGAAAATGGTGCGTGTAATTGCTCTTCTTGCGCGACCTTACGCCAACGCGTCGATCGACAGGTAACCGTGCTGAAGCGCGGCGCGGCACCTGTCGACGAGCACTCGGGTATGGTAGACACCCACCAGGTGGTGTCCACCCCGGAAGCCGTCTGGGAGGCCATGCTCAACCAGACAGACCTCACGAAGAATGCGAACAAGTACGCATACATCCGCATTCCGATTGACCGCACGCTGAGCCGCCACCCAGATTCTACGTTCTTCAGCTTCTTCACCCAATCAGCAACCCGACCACTTGTACCCTCTTCACTCGCTGGGGCCGTGTTGGTGAGCGCGGGCAGAGCCAGCAGAAGGTTGGTAGTGTAGCTTTCATTCCTCTCACACGCGTGCTGAACTGCATCCCTAGGGTCCATTCTCCATTTCTGCTGGTATCGCCGCGTTCAAAGACCAGTTCAAGAGCAAGACTGCGACCGCCTGGGACAACCGCGTTGGGATGACGGCACACAAGGGTACGTTAGGTGGTCCACAACCGTCCCCCCTGTCTGAACTCAACTGTTCGCAGGCAAGTATACTTGGCTGGAACGATCTTACGACGAAGAAGACGATAAAGACGACGGAAAGGATCAAAATGCCGCGACCTCTTCGAATGACAAGAGCGTGGAGAAGATTCCCGACTGCACCCTCGCAAACGAGATACAAGTCCTCATGAAGCTTATCTTCAACGCTTCGTAAGTTGTACCGAGATTTGTCTCATGGCCCCAGCGCTCATACCTTTGCTCAGGGTGATGGACGCGGTCCTCTCGTCAATGAACTACGACGCCAACAAGCTCCCGCTAGGCAAGCTCGCAAAGTCGACCATCCTACAAGGCTTCGCCGCCCTCAAAGAGTTGTCCGAAGTGATCAACCAGCCCAACGGGCCTGTCGCCACCGCCAACGGAGGATTCCGCAAGGCCGTCCAAGATCTGACTGGCCGCTACTACTCCATTATCCCCCACGTCTTCGGCCGCAACCGCCCGACGGTGATCGACGACGCCGCGCTCCTGAAGAAGGAGCTCGAGCTCGTCGACGCGCTCGGCGACATGGAGGTCGCCTCGAAGCTGCTCGCGAGCTCGATCCCGCGCGGGCCCGACGGCTCGCCGTCCAACCCGCTCGACGCCCGCTTCCGCTCGCTCGCGCTCAGCAAGTGCGACCCCGTGGCGCGGACGGGCGCCGAGTTCGCCGCGCTGCAGGCGTACGCGCGGGACACGCACGGCGCGACGCACAGGCAGTTGAGCGTGGAGGTCATGAACGCGTACCGCGTCGAGCGCGAGGGCGAGACTGCGGCGTGGGACACGGCCGGGTTCGGCGGCTTGCCGGACGGGGAGCGGTTCCTGCTGTGGCACGGGTCGCGGACGACGAACTTTGCGGGTATCCTGAAGCAGGGGCTGCGTATCGCGCCTCCCGAAGGTGCGTTGTATGCTACGCTGCGTGGGGTGATCGGGGACTGATGTTCGCCACGCAGCCCCTGTTACTGGGTACATGTTCGGCAAGGGTGTCTACTTCGCGGACGTGTGTACCCTTGGTCTCAGCTTCCACACAATTCCGTCCTGATGGGCCTTGACCCGACAGATGATGTCCAAGTCTGCCAACTACTGCCACGCCTAGTATGTCTTCCTGCCTTCCGAACCGTGCCTTTCGCTTATCATGACCCTCTCTCCTTCAGTCAGAGCGACGACACCGGTCTGCTCCTCCTGTGCGAGGTCGCCGCGAAGCCGTTCTACGAGCTGACCACATCCAACTACAACGCCGACCAGGGCTGCAAGACTGCCAAGGCGAGGTGCGCCCCCCATCCCGTTCTCCTCTAATAACCCTCCTGACCCCCGTCGGTTCCCCGCAGGGCCACGAAGGGTCTCGGCCGCACGCAGCCCGGCGCGTGGCAGGACGCCGGAGAGGCGCTCGGGCACCCCGAGCTGCGCGGGTGCCACATGCCCAAGGGCCCCGGGAAGGATGTCGACGACTACTCGGGCCACCTGCAGTACAACGAGGTGCGTGTTTCTCGTCCGCGTTCCCTCCGCTTGAGCGTGCGGCGCTGACCGTGTCCGGCGCCCGCGCAGTACATCGTGTACGACGCGTCGCAGATCCGGCTCCGGTACTTGCTGATGGTGAAGATGAAGTGAAGCAGGCCGTGGGGGTAGTCGGGACGTGCGTACTCGGGTGCGCGTTGTTGTTGTCGTCGTTGTGATGTGCTGGGTCGTGTCGTTCCTGCCGTCGTTGTTGTGCTTGCTGTCTTGTCGTTCTTGGACTGTCCGTGTATTGTAAAGCGATGTCATAATTAGCCATTGCCGCGCATCCGCTGGTTAGGTTATTCGTCGTTGAGCACAAGGCGAGCGTCTACTCATCTCGAAACAAGGTTTTTCGTGAACCCTCGATACATGTGTACACTTGATCACCAGTAACTGCGAGTCTGCCACGTCTCTACTACCTTCCTCTGCACAGCGCGCAGCTCCGGCGGTCAACTGTGTCGATAAGAACATAACAAAACGCCCACCGGCCCGCTTATAGTAAGCGTGTGTTTGGCTCGAGCAGCAAATCGCGCCGGTTGAGTCACCTTCGTCAGAACCTGTTCTGATACCCCGATGTTACCCAAATTCCCCGGAATGCATACGGTCCGTCCCTCAGCCCAGCAAACACTCTACTTCCGATAAGTAAACCCCCCAAACACGACCGGTCCGTCCACCAGCCTCTCCAGCTCCGCCTGGTCGTACAACGCCGGGTCCGGCTCGTACTTCCCGACCACCGCGCCCGGCGGGAACCCCAGCCCCAACGACGCGTCCCACTCCCGATGCCGCCACTCCAGGCGCTCCAGGCGGAGCCCGCGCGCGGCGCGGTGCTTCAGCGTCTTCGCGAGCGCGGCCACCCGCGGCGCGTTCGCGCGCAGCGCCGTCGCCTCCCACCCCGTCTGCCGCGCGCGCAGCGCCGTGCACGCCTTGCGCGCGAGCGGCTGGTCGTCGCCGGGGCCGAGCCCGAAGGAGACCGCGAGGGTCTTGAGCCGCGGGCAGACGAGGTCGTCGCAGTCCACCTCGTCGTCCGGCCGGTGCCGGAGCGCCTTGAGGAAGACCGTCGTGCGCGGGCCGGCGAGGTCGAGCGAGGCGAGGCGCGGGAAGGCGCGGAAGGCGTCGGCGGCCGGCGGGATGTCCCGGATCTTGTGGAGGACGAGGTGGGTGAGGAGGGCGCCGTTGGGGCGGAAGAGGGCGATGAGGTCGAACGCCTCGAGCGAGGGGGGGCCGTCGTTGTCGGCGGCGTACAGGGTGTAGCGCACGCGGTCGGCGCCGTCCGCGAGCGTCGCGACGTCCGTCTTGGGGTTCTTCCACTGGTCGTAGTAGTCGCGTATGCGCAGGGCGGTCGCAGTGCGGACTTGCGCTTGGATGAGCGCCTTGTGGCGCGAACGCAGGTGCTCGAAGGTGCGCGCGATGCTAGAGGTCCTCTGCACGATGTTGAGGGTGACGGTGTGTTCGAGAGAGAAGAAATCCAGGAAGCGTTCGAGAACTACTTCGGTGTCGACGTTGAGGACCAGTGTGCGTAGAGATGGGAGGTCAACCGATTGGGATACCCACCCAGACGTGTCATCCTGAGGGATCAGGACCGGGTTGATCATGCACAAGTGGATCTGAACGAGGTCTGGGCAGCGCCGCAACGCGTCGACAAAGCCCTCTAAATGACACCGTTTGAACACCGCGGGAGTGATGCATATGTCGCGCAGCGTGCGACAGGCGAAGTGGGGAAGGAGGTCGATGGGGAGGCATCGTAGCGTATGAAGACGAGGAGTATCCGCAATTGTTCCTCGAACACTGGAGCCCCACGCGGTGAGTTCCTGGGAAAGGGTTTCTTGGTCATATGGGTTTTCGATATCGTGTTGATAGCTTCCAACGCCCGGCGCGAGCCAGTCGTGGTATAGTCCCGTGGTTCCGATGAAGGCGATGCCGAGGACTGTGAGATTGGGTACGCCATTTGCGAGAATCCGGCACAGGGATCCGAGTTGCTTGGCGCTGTCAAGACGCACATACAGATCGACGAGCCGGGCTGTGTGCGACATGAACGTGTGAGACAAGGCGTCGGGAAGGAAGTGGATCTTGAGGCGTAGCGGACTCGGAGACGACCGTTCCAGCGCGGCAACGGCAAACGAGATCCGATTATTCTCCAGATCTTGAAACTGGGCTGCGACTCGTGCCTTGTTGAAGGTAAGTTGGTTTCCCGGGGCTGCGACCGCATCTGCCCACAGTCGCGGGGTCTTGAGAGCGACGGCGCGCCAGTAGCGGCACACGTGAGTGAGGCGAACGCTACGCATGTCTTCCCAGCAGTATGAGAGAGCCTCGGAGAGAATTTCTGGAGGAAAGACGCGATTGATCGGCGCGATCGAGTCGTGGAGGGAGGCATAGTCTGCGGCAGGAATGGATTCCGCAAACATCGAAGAGGGAAGCGTGTCGGGAGCTGCCATGAAAATCGCGTGTCCTCTTTCTCCCTATGTGATGTAGTTTCGGTTGAGAATGAGCACCAAGTGGTCTGAAATATGAAGAAAGAGACTCACTTTGCAGTTCTGGGAGGTTTGCTACGTCACCCGTGTGGTGGACAGGAACAAGATGTGGCCGAAACCTGAGGCCTGAGCGGCTGAGCCAAGCCTCCTGGTTGATACCCGCGGGCGCCTCCTCTCCCTCTCCTCCTCCAACCGTACGACCGCCTGCATGGCACTGAAGATTTAGTCCTGAGGGGGGCATACAGTACATCGGAGACTACGTGAAGTAGTGATACATAGTCCGAGCCAATCAAGCAGTGACAACAGCGAAAGCAGAAACAACACGAAAGCATGCAATAGTGGCCATAGCCGTTCAAAGCAACATCGTCCAGGAACCTTCTTCGCGCCCTCCAGCCTCAGGCTCAGTGAGGCGCACCAGGGAACTCCAATCCTCCGTGCTGATTGACGGCAGGTTCAACAGATTGACCTCGCACGCATCCTACGCACGAGCCTTCCCCTTCCCCTTCCGGTCGACCGTTTGCGGCTCGACGTTGACGTCCATCGGGTCCTCCTCGCCGCTCTGAACCTCCTGGCGATGGCGAGGCACCCGCGAGGTCCTAAGAGGCTCATAGCCCATATCCACGCTCGACTCCAGGTCCGCGGTGAGGGGGGTGATGCACAGCGGGGCACGCCCGCCAGAGCTGACGCGCCGGTGCAGAGACACCGCGGGGGTCCGCGCGACGGTCCGGCTGCTCCCCGCCTGGGGAAGCTCGCCGTGTAGCCAGCCGTCCCGACTGAGCATGCCTTCGACTTCCGCCTCGGACCCCGACGCTGTGCGATTCGGTGCATCGTTCGCACCGCTCGCAGTCTCCGCTTCCGTCTGTTCTTCATCCTCCGCCTCCGCCTCATCCTGCGCCAGAGCCGCCTCCAGAGCCTCGCCCTCAACGCTGGCCGGTTCGTTGTCGGAGTCGGCAATCCCTGCGAGCGCCTCGCGAATGGCCGTGAGCGCCTGATCGACCTTCGTGAACGAGCGCGTCTCCTTGCACAACCACCACACGACTTCCTCGGGGACGTTGTGATGCCGTGCCCTGAGTTGCACCTCGGCCTGCATCCCGTACCACCGCAAGCGCTCGCGCGTCTCGTCGGGCAGCTGGTCGATCAAGCGCAGGTCCGCCGCGCTCGGTGGCGCGATACGTATCAAGAGGGAGGCAATGTCATCCGTGCCGGTGGTGGTGGGCGACTGGAGGCCGGAAGAGGCCCGTCGCGTTCCAGAATCGGTCGAAGGGCGGGCCGTCGGCGGATGGTCGTCGTCGAGGACGTTGGGGGTGAAAGTGCGGCGGTGGGCGTGCGCGGCCCCCGCCCGCGGCAGCTGGGGAGCGGTAGGCGTTTCGACGCGAGATGAGGACGCTTGAGGACCTGGCTGATCTGGGTGCTCGTACGAGGAGCGCCGACTCGGGTCGGCGAGACGCCTAGTGGATGGTTGCGACATCGACGAACTGTGGAGTCCTTCACCCGGCGGTCTCGCTGAGAGGGTGGTCCTCCGTTCCACTCCACTTGCCCCTGACATGTGAGATGACCCGCCAATGCTCTTCCCGGCATCTAGCAAGCTCTGGAGACGAGCAAAGTTGAGAGGAGGAAACGGTCCTGTAGGTTTGGGTCGTTCGGCATCGCGTTCGACCGTAGACGAAGAGGATGAGGGACGCTGTCGATCTGCACCGAGCAGTTTCGCTGGGTCGAAATTCGCGTTGTTCCTAACGAAGGCCGAGGTGCTAGGTGAGGACGACGTGAAGCTGGTAGAGCTGGCACTGGAGTGAGCACCCAGAGGTGGAGCGAATACCGGTTGGCTGAGGGGTTGGCTGAATGGATGGCAGTGCTGCGGCAGGTGGAACTCCATCTCCTCTACGCCAAGGCCGTCGTCAAGCACACTCGAAGTTGGGTGTTCGACGGTGACGGTCGCTTCACGCGCGAGCCCCGGAGGAGCCCTTCTCTTCGACTTGCGCTCGACAGTGCGCTTCGTCTCTATCATCACGATTTTGGTGGTGACAGCTCGGCTCGAACTGGGGGTGCGAGCATTATCGACTGTTCTTGGTGCAGGGCTTGACGGACCTGGACCACTTCCCTGGCGCACCGGGGGGCAAACGACTGGGGCATCTCGCGCAGATACAGGGGCTGGGTCGTCGTCTTCTGCGTCCGTGTGGTGATCGACATCCACTGCATCATGTATGCTGCCCTCTGCTTCCTCTTCTGAGTTCGCCCCGGAGCGTTTCCAAGCACGACCCCCTGATACGACGCGAGCCTTGCCCTTAGCGTCGGAGGACGCTTCGTCAAAAGTACCTCCGTCCGGCGGAGGGGGCTCCTTGGGCTCTGTAGACGGGTTGCGTGGGACGTGGGATAGGCTGGTACGATGCTTGGCTGCACGATCGGTCGGAGAGCTTCCCGCAGTTAGCGAGGTAGATGCCCCTGGCTCCGGGGTGGCGAAGACGTTCTCTTCCAGTGCCCGACGGTTGATGCGCTGCGGACGTCGGCGGGGTGGGGCTGGGGAGTGGCTGCGCTCGCGATGGTGTCTGTTCTTAGCCCGGTCCGTTGGAGAGGAAGCCGGCGTTGCTGGTGCGGCCTCGATATCACGTTGGATACGTTCGTGACGTTTGCGTCGTGGGGGTGACGCCCCTGATGCAGGTGCCTCTGAGAGCTCCGGACGTTCAGATGCTGACGCTTCGGCAGTTTCCTTAAAAGGCTCCGGATCCTTGGAGACGTCCAGACCAGTAGCAGTTCTGTAGAGTGAGGAGAGATTAGTAGACGCAAAAACCGGAAATGGACGACGACCGACTGAATTGAGAAGGGATTTTCGTCGACATCATCTCCGTGCATCCCGTCCAGCTCCTCCGAGTCGTCTTCGGGGGTTGGCTGATCCGTCAACATCTTCAATGTCATGTCTTCCTCGTTGGATGACTCGGAGACCGTGTCGGGGTCTTGCACTTCCCGTGTCCTGGCAACGATGCGTCCAGGCTTTGACCGCGCGGGTGGTTGGGTTGAAGAGTCGTCAGAGGCGTCTTCATCGTCACCGGAGGCGTTCGCATGCTCGCCATCTCCTGAAGCTAGTCGTACATGGCTTGGCTCCCGCGGCGCTGTTTTGACTTTGACTTCCACGTAGGCGCGGTTCTTCTTGGCAGGTGTTTGACCTTGCACATCGCTCGCCCGCTTCCGTTTCCCCGAGGGTCCGGGTTCCGCCCTCGGAGGCGATGACCTGCGCACGGTGGAGTCTTCGACCGTCCGCGGCTTCGTGACGCCCACGGGAATCGGAATATGGATGTCCTCACCGGCCTCGTGCTGTTCGATTGCCCAATCAAACCAAGCCTCATTCTTCCTGTAGCGCTCCCTCCACGACTGAACAGGGTGGCGAACCGCCCAGGGATACTCATCGGACTGCCAATTGGCATATTGTGGGCCAAGATGTACGCGGGAAAAAGAGGGAAACGCGCACATTTTCCAGGTCCGCGTACAGATGTATGCTGAGGCGACCCAGGGGAGGCGATGTCTTGCAGGAATCGGAGAGGTACTTGATCAGGTTCCGGTCGTCTTCGTTGGTGTATTCCGTTCGTGGCCGCGGGGCTCGAGTTGTAGACGTTCGAGCAGGTGATAGGACTGATGTGGAGGGTCTGGGTTGGGATGAGTCCACGAATTTGGCGATCCTCCTGTTCATGTTTTCACGGTCTTTGAGATAGTTGTACCGCCACGAATGCCACGAATGCCTCGCGGACCAACTCCACAGGCCATTCGCCTGAGAAAACAGATCAAGAACACTAAAACCACACATTGTTGGTGGACTCACATTCGCCACCAGCTGCCGATACAGATTTTTTCCCGACCTGCCCTTCTCCTCAGGGCAATACTTCGCAATATAGAGGCAGAGGTAGTGTCTGTCTTGATCTGTGAACTCGATCCGCCTGACAGATCCTATGGGTCAGTCAACAGAACGCCACGAGGAACAGACCATATAAGAGGGAAAGCAATGCAGCCACAAATATCGGCCTTGTCCTCAAGTGAAATGGGGGCAGCACGGCGGACGAAGACAAAGTGAACGCATAGAAGAGCTCGATCACTCACTGAGACATCCTGTAGGCTCAATCCAGCTTCATACAGCTCAGAAGCGGCCTGAGCGACCTCTCGCGTAGCCCCCGAGTATAGGAAGAGCAGGTCAAGTGGTGTGTGAGCGAGCGGGCGCAAGAGGATGAGACGCGACTGCCGGGAAGTCCTGGTCAACAGCGAACTCCGAGGACGTCGGCTGGAGCAACAATGCACGTGACGTCACGATAGTGCCATGATATTCACACCAGACTTAAGGACTTTCACCGGTCATCATGATGTTCTCATTTACACGATGATCGACGTTCGTGCGCACAATGATTAGCTACAGACCCAAGTGACCAAAGCAAAGGTGATACAAGAGAGCATTCAAAGCAAGAGGTACACGGGCTTCAACAGAGCGCGACAAAGAAGCGACGGAACTGTAGTAAGTGCGAACAAGACTTAGAATAGATACAGCATGCTGGAGGGGCATGGTTTGACCATCTAAAGGACGGAGAGCTCAATGCCGTCGATATTGACCCCACGCTACAAAAGAAAGCGTGTCAGGAGCCGGTATCGGTGACAGCGGCTGAGCGCATACCTTGCGCGCGCAGTGAGCCGTCAGTCGCCCGCAGCCCCACACCTTGAGGTCCTCGAGCTCGGAGCACTGCTCCAGCAGGCTCTTCACGAACCAGTCGTCCACCGCCCGGCACCAGCTCACGTCGAGCCGACGCAAGCCGTCGGCCATCTTCGGGAGGGCCTGCAGCGCCGTGTCCGAGAGGTCCTTCCACCCGTTGATGCTCAGCCGCGTGAGGCTCGCGGCCGAGTGATTGAGCAGGGCCCCAAGCGCTGCGTCCGAGAGCTCGGGGATGCGCGAAAAGTCGAGCGCCGCGACTGCACCCGCGCTCCAAGTCCCGAAGAACTCCGCGACACCTGCGTCGGTCAGGTCGACACAGTCGGCGAGCGCAAGCGCAGAGAGGTTGCGTGCATAGGGCTTGATGCCTTGGAATAGGACGGCGTCGGTGACGTTTAGGTTCCCGGAGAGGTCGAGGTGCTCGAGCGGGCCGCCAATGCGCCCGAGCAGGTCGATAATCGCCACCGTTGACAGCGCGTCGCCGATTCCAGGGTACGAGATGTCTAGGTACGTAAGCTGAGTGTTGAGGGGATCCAGGCACTCGAGGAGGTTGTCGGCCATCTTTCCAACTTCTTTCAGTCGCAGCTCCTTCAGGTTCAAGTTGCAATTCTTCACAAGCGCATTCATGCACTCCAGGTCGAACCGAGGACTCTGCGTGATGAGGAAGCCTTCGAGACTGGGGTGTTCGCGGAAAAAATTCTGCCACGAAGGCGCACGGACGAGGAAAGGCCCAAGGAGCTCGATGCGCTTGAGGTGTGGCAAGGACGTCGCCCATTCGGCTGCTACGGAGTCATCCATCCGGCCACAGAAATCAAGTCGTAAGGAAGTTAGGTTAGGGTTTAGCGACGCAAGTGCGCAAAGAGCGGGCGGAGTGAGATCTGAGGCAAATGTAAGTAGCGCATTCGTCGAAAACGGCGGAAAGACACACTAGTAACATCATACAGTGTAAGCTGTTCATTCTCTATGTTGTAAAACAGCATCACGTTCTCCGCGTTCCTGCAGTGCCATTAGCGACGCCGGGTCACCAGTAGACTGCGACTTACAAGCTCCTGTTGTTTGCGAGTGCCTTCGCAATCTCGTCCATGTTCATACCTCCAATATCTCCGAGTGCGTCGACGTCGTCAATGTGCTTAGTGATCACCTGGGCCTATCATCAGTGGACTAGTGATGCGCGCTGGGAACGGCTCTATACCTGTATGCACACCGAAGCCAGGCTCGGGAATCGACGCTCCTCGTAGCTCACAACAGTGCGCTTGTCTGATGCGGTCTTGCGTTTCCGCGCCGCCGCAGGCTTCTTGAACGGGTCGGCGCCGGATGATTTCGCGCAGTTGTGGCAGAGCCACCCTGGCGGAGGATTTGCGGCCATGGTGTACTTCGTCTGTCAAGCCGCCAAAAACCGACAAAGGGGGCTGCACGTTGGCATGGTGGGATACGCATAAAGACTGAGAGAGCACATACCACAGTAAACTGCTTGCTGCATCTGACGCAGTCCTCGAAACTGCCGACCGGTGGTTTCGACACATCGTTCTTCCACATCTTCGAGAGGGCTGAGTACGGGTCATCTTCGTCGTCCTCGTAGTCGTCGTCCTCGTCGCCCTTCTTTCCCTTCTTGCCCTTTCCCTTCGCTTTGGCTTTCTCCGCGGCCTTCTGCTTCGCTGCGGCAGCCCTGGAAATTTTCTGTTTCTTCGGGGGCGGTTCGTCCTCTTCTGGCTCATCGAGGTCATCGGAGGCGTACCCCCCATTCTCCTGGCACCACAGATATAGAGCTGCCACCAGCTGGAGTCATAAGGACCTACGCACCTGAGCCTCCGCCATCTCCGAATCCTCGTTGCCGCCCTCCTGCTCTCCCTGAGCTTGGTTACTAGGACCCGCCGTAGGCTGATCCTGTGGAACCTGACGTGTCCGTGCTCTTCTGGCGATGGTGGTAGGTGTGATCCCCGATTCCTAGCAGAGCCCGCTGTGAGCAAGAGATGCAATCGACATCTACCCCTCAAATTTACCCGCAGGAATTCGGTAAGAGCGGATGTAGGACCGCGAACGTTGTTGCGACGGCTCATATCTACTTCGGCGGGATTTTCGCTTGATGCGGGGAGAAATTGAAGGTGTGGGGAACCACGCGAGAAGGATGGCGGAAAGAAAGCGCGACCTAGGTGGGCGACGCGTCGCGACGTGTCTCATCAAATGTCACGTGCACCAAAACTACGGGAGCATTTGGCGCTAAACAAGGCTCTGAGCTCTGATCAACTTGTACTCCTTCTACATATGAAGACCTAGAGTCGCCTCTACATCAATGAATCAACCTTAAGATGTCGCATGAACTCGGACTTTTATGAAGTATGTCGATTTCTTTCTCTGAAGTACAGACCCGATGCCGCGCCGCGCCGCCCAGCGATCCGCCCCACGCGTGCGGGAAGTGCAAGCCTGCGATCATCATTATCAGCCCCCACGGCGCGAACATGGACCGCAGGTGCCGCGCATGCTGTCGCTCGCGCGGCCGTAGCACGCGAGCCAGAAGCTGGCGGTCCTCGCGCCGCTTGAGGTGCTCTGTGATGAGCCCACGTACGCGAGTACACTCAAGGGCTGGCTGCACAAACCGCTGCAGAAGTCCGCTGCGCTCACGCAGGCGCCGCAGCGCCAGCAGGAGCACGTTGACGAGTTCGTCGCCGCCGTGGTCGAGCGCTGGCTGGGCCCTTCCCTGCCACCATCTTCCGCCGTTCTACACCCTCTGTCTCTCGTAACCACACCCTGTATTCGTTCGCGCATGTTCTCTCGCCCTGTTCTGCCAATTTTCTCTGCGCGTCAGTTCTTCTTTGTCTCGATCAACCTCCGCTCGTTGAAACCTCTTCTGCATCTCGTAGATGAATCCGCGCGTGAGCATGGTGCTTGTAGTAGCACTTCCTGTAAAAATTTCATGTACCACGTTGGAGCAGAAGAGCGAAGATGTTATGCACAGAGAAGAGGCTGCCGTCTTGAAGCTTTGAAGGCTTGAAGCACCCTGAAGAGCCTTCGACGCGCGTCATGGTATCTGGTATTTCCCGGCCACTGGGGCTTGATCAGCAGCCGATCGTCAGATGGTCGTTTGCTGGTCATCTCACGTTCTGCACTCAGTGTACCCACGATCATTTGCACATTCACAGATCTAATAATTGTCGGGCCGATTAAAAAATGATCGCCAGATTTCAGCTCAAGACAATAATTGATTACATTTTCTCTACTAGACGAACCATGATCATGTGTTATATCGATGACGAAAACAGTTCATATCGTGATCAACGAGCGCTTTGGAGATCGTGTCCGTTCTATCTCGCGCGCGTTTCGTGATGGCGCCTTCATTCTCAGACAAATTATCTTCTATTTGCGGCTTACTCAGATGTGGAAGATAGCGTGAGGAAAGAAGCCAGTGCCGCTACATCTCCCTCACGATACGGGCCACGGCTATATCTCGTTTCGCTTTTGTCTCGATCGAACGAACAACATGAGTATCCCCGATGCGCAGATATTCCCTCATGCCACCGGTGCTGCTGGTCCAACTGTCGATCAACACCAAACTCCTCAGGACCTCATCTTCCACGCGGGATGGGTACGTCTCACTCAAGACTATACCCTTGGACTCATATTAATTTCGTGTTCCTTGTCCCTCCCACAGTTCTGTCCCTTCGTACAACGCGTATGGATCGCTCTTGAAGAACGTGGCATCCCATACGAATATAAAGAGGTCAACCCGTACAAGAAGGAACCTCGCTTTTTAGGCAAGCGCATTTCTGTAGCCATCTAGGACTACTTCTTCACTCCCTATCTTTCAGAGCTCAACCCCAAGGGTCTCGTCCCCGCGTTCGAGTACAGGGGACAGGCGCTGTACGAATCGCTCATCATGTGCGAGTTCCTCGAAGACGCCTTCCCCTCGCACCGCCCCGCCCTACTTCCCGCGGACCCCGTTCTCCGCGGCCGGGTCCGCATCTGGGCCGACTTTGTCAACAAGACGATCTCCACTTCGTTCACGCGCACGTTGATGGCCCAGGATCCCGCCGCGCAAGCCGCCAGCCTCCAAGAGCTGTACACGGGCATCCGGACTTTTGTCGCCGAGGTGAAAGGGCCATACTTCCTTGGAGACGAGTTTTCCCTCGCGGACGTCGCGATCGCGCCATGGATCGTACGTGATTACATCTTACAGGAGCACCGGGGGTACGATCGTGCCGCCGTCGGTGTGGATTGGACCGAGTACGCCGACAGGATCGTAGCGCGGGAGAGCATCACAAAGACGACGAGTGTAAGTGCGGTCTTTGGCGCTGCCGGGATGCCGCACTGATACATCATCGCGCGCAGGAGAGAGCCAAACAGGAGGACTTCTGGGGGCGCTACCTGCGCGACGAAGCGATGAGCGAGGGGGCGAAGGCAATTAGGGCGGGGAGGCCATTGCTCTGAGTGTTGGTTTGCAGGTTGTCTATCATTGAATGCTGGCACAATCGGCGCGTATACATCATTGACCATCTGCACTGGATCCTCTATTCCTTTCAGGATACGCATTGTGTTGGGCATCGACTTCCTCACTGAATGTAGGACCTCATCAGCACGCAATCCCGGTCCCGGACCGCTGAAGTTTCTCCATTTGCTTACCTGTTTTCACAAGCGGTTGACTCAGCAGTATGCTTCAGAGACGCTGACACGGGCGCAGTACAGACCATTGAAAAGGAGGCCACCTCGACGTGACCGATACGACAGAACAAACCAAACCAAGCTCAACTCCTCAGATATACGTCACTACCCAACATGAGCAGTTCCGACGCGAAGATATTCCCCCATGCCACCGGCGCTGCGGCGAAGACGGTCGAGGCGCACCAGGCGCCTCAGGATCTCGTGTTCCATGCGGGCTGGGTACGTCACTCGCAGCTCGATACTAGGACGCCAATGTTCTGACCTCTTCGCATCTTCTCTGTGCAGTTCTGTCCCTACGTCCAGCGCGTGTGGATCTCTCTTGAGGAGCGCGGTATCCCGTACCAGTACAACGAGGTGAACCCCTACAAGAAAGAAGCCCACTTCCTCGGTATTTCATTCCCCCGACCGCTCCGTGTGCGTGCGCTGCACTCGCTCACCACCGCCCCCACGCAGAGATCAACCCGAAAGGCCTCGTCCCCGCGATCGAGTACAAGGGCCAGGCGCTCTACGAGTCCCTCATCCTCTGCGAGTTCCTCGAGGACGCCTTTCCGACCTACCCCTCCCTGCTCCCCGCGGACCCGCTCCTCCGCGGCCGCGTCCGGATCTGGGCCGACCACGCGAACAAGGCCATATCGACGAACTTCATGCGCACGCTGATGGCGCAGGCGCCGGAGGAGCAGGCGGTGCGCCTCGAGGAGCTGTACGCCGGCATCCGCGCGTTCGTGGCGCAGGTCCGGGGCCCGTACTTCCTCGGGGACGCGTTCTCGCACGCGGACGTCGCGGTCGCGCCGTGGATCGTGCGCGACTACGTTTTGCAGGAGCACCGGGGGTACGACCGCGCGGCGGCGAGCCCGGCGTGGAAGGAGTACGCGGACAGGATCATGGCGCGGGAGAGCGTGGTCAAGACGATCAGCGTGCGTGTCCACTCTGTGGGTTCGTACAAGGGTGCTTGCTAAATGGTGCTTGCAGGAGAAGGACAAGATGGAGGGTATCTGGGGTCGGTACCTGCGTGACGAGGCGATGAGCGAGGGTACGAAGGCAATTAGGGCTGGCCGGCCTTTCTGAGTGACCGCGCACTTGTACTTCTGAGTGAATGACAGTCGTGCTTAGTGACAAGAAACCAAGCCCTAGTCCAGGGCAGAACGTATTCCACCATTAAAATACGGGGTAACCGGAACGTATAACATAACGAATGCGAGGTTAGAGTCCATCCAGGAAGCGCTGCGATGGTAGGAGTGTGGTGGAGGCTCGGGTTAGTGTGATATAGTGCAGTGCGTGGATGAAGTCCGTGTCTATCGTGTAAGTCCGGCGGAACGGAGGAGGGAGTGGAGAGAACGGACGGCCCCTCGTAGCCTCGTGCGCATCGTGGTCGTGGTCCATCGTAGCCGTGCGTGAGCGAGTGGCGAGCTTATGAGAGCTTCGCGCCGGTGTGGATTGCCATGGCGCTCCGCGCACCGAGTTTGAGGGTGACGTATCCGCCAGAGACGGTGTACCTGGTACGTAGCGTACAGTCAGTGCCACGGTCGATCGCAACATCCCGGAACACTCACGTCGTGCCCGTGCACTTGCCACCGGAGCGTGCGCCACCGACGACGTCGCAGTACTTGCCGTTGGGCAGCGACGTCTTCACCTTGACCGACCAAGTCGAGTCCTGGTTGTTGATCGCGACATGGCCAAGCGAGCCTGCACGCCCACAGTCAGCTTCGCATTCTTCCGATCGCCTGGTAAGAGGTGCTTACCACGCCCGAACGAGATGCGCTGCGACGACCCAGCGGACCAGTTCGTCATCGCCGCCTTTCCGACCTTGTTCCGGAAGCCAACCATGCCGGAGATCGCGGTCCAGCGGTGTTGACAGAGCCAGCCGTTGGCGCCGCCGTTGCCCGAACAGGTGCCGTAGCCGTTGTTCGGGCCTCCGTCGTCGGTGGTCGAGTACGAGAAGCCGGAGAGCACGGTGGGAGTGCCGAAGGGGTGGGCGAGGGAGAAGACAGATGCGAGCGTGTAGGCGTTCTTGGCCGACGTAGGCTTGAGAGTGCCGGGGTTCTGAGACGTGGGGGTAGAAAGTAAGAATAGGTAGGCGCGCAGAAGGCATGGAGACATACACGCTCGGTGTCGTGATTGGCGACGAAGACGTTGGCCTTCGAGCTGGAAACCCAGCCTAACGAGGGAATGAAAGCACGATCAAAGTCAGCGAATGAAGGCGCTTACCACGACCATCCAGAGTCTGCAGGTTGGAGAGCTTGGTCGTCCCGAAGAAGGCGCTCGCAAGAGCGTCAGTGTACCGGAACCTAACACACAATCAACGAAACATCCTGGAAGCATCATTCAAGGGCACTTACTCCTGGACGTCACCGACGGGGGTGTACTGGTTCGGAGTGACAGGCTGACCGGATCCGAAGACGACCTCCTGTGTGATGTAGATGGACTTGCCGTTCTTGTTAATCCGCGACAAGATGTTCTGAATGTCGGCCACGGGCATGTCTGATTCCGTGTGTCAGCGAGGCGTCATGAAGGCAAGCAGTGCAAGGCACTCACGCTTCGCAGCATCCAGGCGCAGACCATCAACGCCCAAGTTGATGAGGTCCTGGCCGTACTGGGCCAGCCGGCCGCGGACATAGTCGGTCTCGGTCGCAAGGCTGGGAAGCGAGACGGAGTAGAGCCGGTCAGCAGCACTCATGATTGAGGCCAAAAACGGGGACGCACTCGGCAAGACCGGCGAGCTCGCAGAACTGGACCTCGGTCGCGTTGTTGTAGTTGTTGATGCCGTGGTGGCAGGAGTGGAAGTCCCAGCCGGTGTAGGTGCCCGGGTAGACATACTTCTGGAACGAGGAACCGGCGGTGCCCGTGCCCGAGGTCTGGCCTGACATGTGGTTCCATACCGTGTCTGCAGAAAGACGTGTTGCCGATGAGCGCACGACTCCGGGAATAGGCGAAATTGGGGACACAGGCGAGAGTCTGGGCTTTGCAGCGCGCGCGGGGGCAGTGCGAGGAAGAATAGACGTACCGACAATAACAAGCACGCCGGCCGAGTGGCAGGTGTTAATCATGCTCTGGAACGCATTGCGGTCGCCATGCTTGGAGACGAGGTTGTAGGAGACGGCTTGGTAGTCCGTCCACCACTGGTTGCCCTGAATGTGCTCTTGCGGCGGGCTCACTGCGCAAGGGGAATGGCCGGAATGAGCTCGGGCCGTACAAAGACGCCCAAAGGCCGCAACGGGGAAGGGGCGCGGAGGGATGGACGGGGAACTGACCAGAGACGTAACCGTAGCCTGCGGGACCGATGAAGTTCGTGCACTCGGCGGCGACGCTAGCATAGCTCCACTGGAACATCTCGATGATGACGGTCTTGGAGTTGGAAGGTGAACGGGCATCGTGGGCGTGGAGGTCACGCGCGGCATGGCGAGCAGACGCCGGGACGGGCGCGAGGGCGGCGGCGAGGGTGACGAGAACGGAGAGGGCAGACCAGGAAGGCATGGCGGGAAAGAAATTGCGGCCTGCAAAGGAGTGGGCAGGAGGTATCGGGGAGAGAAGAGAAGGAGGCGTGAACGGCCCTGGCCCGTCCGCTGTGCTTTTGTGGCGACGCGGTGACGCTGTGATTCTGAAGGGACGCACGCGACCGGAGCCGCCGAGGCGCTGTCCCCGATCACGGCGTTCCCCGAGGTTGCCATCCGCCCTGCACTTTTCGTCGCAGGATCCGTTGCAGACTTTCTTTCCGGGTTGTAGCCCTTTGGCATGCGGCGCACACGTTGTTCAAGATGCCTCGAGTCCTGGGGATCATAAAGAGCGGTATCAGCCTCGGAGTAAATCAACGCAGCACACACGCACAGAGGCACACACGCAAGCTCGAAAATAGCCTAGATGTGCGCGATCCCTCAGACAGGAACCACTGGTCGAGGAATGGTCTCAGTTGGAACAGATGAACTGTATCCTGGATTCCTGCCCAGTTACGTACCCATGCCAGACTCGCTGGTGCCACAGCTCGTAGCCAGCGAAAGTTGTCTAGTAAGTACCTGTGGCAAGAGATGGGGAGCTTGTTATAAGACGCCTTCGAGAAGCGCACCATACTATATTGTGTACGTCACATTCCATCTATGCGATCGATGAAACATGACAAGAGTCGTCCTCGATAAGAGCAAGTACTCGCGGGGTCACGTCACATTCCATCTATGCGATCGATGAAACATCATCTGTACTTTGGTCCTACTTCTAAAACCTCTAAAACCTCTAATTTATTTTTAGAGATTCTTAGAGCTGCTTAGAATTTTTTAGAAGTGTTAGAGGTGATAGAAGTTTTAAGAAGACTTAGAGAAGGGGTAATTTGCTTCAATAGAACAAAGTATATATGCTATTTTAGTATCTGAAAAGTATGGTAATCAATGTAAGAGTTTACATAGTACCACTTGAATGCATCTAAAGTATTGTAGTGCCTCCAGTTCTTCAGTGATTTTGTACCATAGTAAGGTATCAGATGGCAAGAATGAACAATAGAGTCAAGGGGGATGATGTCTACTGAACGATGGTTATGGTTCATCTCTGGCTTCTGTGAAGACTGCAGCAAGCGACGGGAGCCGGAGAGACGAGAGGACGTCAGACAGATGGATACGAGGGGATAATCATGAGCATAAACAGACGAATACGACGGCTACAGGACTGTCTACAAGGCGTGGGAATGAACTGTACAGTATGAGACGGTGGCTAGATCTCGGCTGCATGCGCACAGAGACGCCGTGAACTAACAGCTTCACCACCCACATGCCTGTAAGCTCATCAGGAGCATCCGATACAAAGTCAAACCATTCAACTAAAGCACATTCATGCAAAAAGTAGTCCGTATTGAGAGAAAACAACTTACACAGCCTTGCCACTGCCAGACCGTGCATCACATCATCCTCTTCATCCACCTGCACCAAAACAGTGTCATATCTCGGCTCACGTCGCATCCAGTTTGGAGTGCAACGTATTATCTCTGAGTGCATACCACCTGGTAGACTAAGCTCACTTGGAGCAAAATAGGTGGCATGTGCACAGAGATAAAGAGATATTTGTGTCTCTAGTGAGATCCAAGGGCAGTCCTCAAGAGGAACTGCCTCCAGATCTCCCAAGTGACCATCCTCTTGTTGGTGCAGGAAACGACGTACACGAGCAACAAAGTCAGGAATGGCAAGCTCCACAGCAAGATCTGAAAGTCGTGTACGTGACACTAACCATGAACCAGTCAGAATAGCCATAGTATATGTCATAAAACTTACCTGGTTTCACTGCGAATGTAACCTCAGGCTTGGTATAGATATGAGGCACCTGGGGTTCTTGTTCAGGATGTGGAGGTAATTTTCCAACCTAATAGAAGTCTCATCAGAACAGGAGGAGATAATGAGCTGTGTTTGCTTACTTCTCGCAACGCCCAGTCAGTGATTTCTCCTTCAAGGAGACCCGATCGGCCTAGCTCAACCCGAAGTGCATTCAGCTTGCTGACCCGTATAAGACGTGTGAGCACCTGTGGAAGTGCATCACTGCGGTTTGATGCTCTCCAAGGTCGCTTAACGGCCTCAATGTGCTTTGACTCCGTAATTGATGTGCTTAGCCTGATAAGCGCACCAAACAAGATGATAGCCTGGGGGAAATGAAAAAGGCCATGTTGCCGAGGGAGAGACACATCATCTCTCACACCTGCCTCAATGAAGACAGTACGCAGGACACAGAACTCTTGAAGCAGTTCCTCCATCCGTGCAACAGTCTCGGAGGTGTGAACAGACAGACGAGCAAGATATGCAAAGTCTAGAAAGACTCTCACACACTCGACAACATCATCTGGCACCAGTCCAACCAGAGCAGGGAGCAGCACCTGCAGTGTGTCAGAAGCATTCTATCATACCCTATACCACACACACACCTTCATCAGAGCCTTCGAGTCATTCCCTGTCCACTGGCTGAAGTGACGACCATCAGGGAATCGTCTCAGTGCAGTGAAGATTGGCACCACAGCAAGTCTAGAAGAACATCTGTTATGGCCTGCTCGCCTGTCTGGTTACGAGCTTCGGCGCGCACCCGCTACGGACGCCCAGCATACGATCGTCCGCCACTGGTTACCTTACATGACTTATATTCTCGCACCCGCTTCACTGTATCGCTACGCGATTGCCTCCTGGCTCCTCCCCGTCGCCTCTCCTTCCCGTCTCCCCGCTACCGCGAGCCTCTCCGAGGTCAAGCGCGTCCTCTAATCCGATCCCGCCTTTCCGCTCGTCTCCGACTAGCCCGACCTCCGCGCTCCCGCGCTCCGCGACCGTAACAACATCAGAGGAATATCACTCTCAAATGACTAAACATACTGCCGGTCCAAGTCATCAAGTATGCCCAAGGCTTGTCGTTTGGTCTCGGAGGATGTACTGCTCAATCCATGTAACCAAGTGGTCCTTGAACGTGCCCTTAACCAGCTGGTGAAGCAGGTCAGGAGTTACAAGGTCGTGGATGTCGGCCCGAGGAAAGGAGTATGTGAACGGCTGGGACAGACACATAAGCTTGCATATATAGTGATGAGCGCATAACTGACCTCTACGTCTCGCACCACTCCAAAAACATCCCAGAGAGTACCAGGATCAAACACATCTTGGAGATGGTCCGTAAGAGCGCGAAAACGCGGTGTACCCTGGTTGTCCAGCTCGTCAGGAAAGGCGAGGCACCTACGACACATCAATGAGGCTCCATGGTGACCACAATAACTGATATACTCACTTCGGGCACCATCCTTGTACAATGCCAGACACGTACACTTGCTCGGGATAGTCGGCTAGAAACGGCCCAATGTCGAAGATAGCAGCACACCAGTGTCCATTGGGGCAACGCAACGGGAGCGGGATGTGCATATATGGTCGTAGTGGTAAGAGAATGTGCTTGATGACGTCGTGGTAGACCTGCTTTCGGAAGAGATGAAATTCCTTGTTGTTGGCCTCTTCACGAGTGCCTGATGAGATTATAAGCAAAGCACGCATTTGCATATAGATACGCTCACCTTTGATGATTGGAAGAAAGGCGAGCACAGAGACGGTGTCAGAATGAGCACACCGCACACCATTGTGCATGTTTCCAAGGGACGAGTAGAGCAGGTGGTATGCTCGGTTTCCAGTCCCAACCGAAACCGTTGTCTTGTCCGCACCGAGCATCACTGGGCAGAGCATGGCACCGTGAGTGTTAGGGTCCTCTGTGATCTTGTCCTATACAGGGAACCATCAACATGAGGAGAGCGAGAGCTATCAAGACACATACCGCTTCATCCCATGCCCACTGACCAGTCATAAGATCGGAGAAGACCCGCCGACCATCTGCATCAAACACCGCCTTTGGAGAGTTGTCCCAGTGCCCGTGGAGCTCCGTGTTGCCAGCCATCGCACGGATGTTCTCAATGATGTCCTGGTAATGAATCGTATATGACTCACGCTTCCACTGTGGGCTGTTGTTGTCGACCGGGCCAGTCCAGCGAATAGAAAACGATTTGTAGGGCACCCCACCAACCGTGATCGCGTCAATAGTGGTGACGAGATGCGTGTGTGATTCAAAGATGGGATCCGCATCGTCGTGACCAAGGAGAATGTCGCGGGCATGGATCGCGGTGAGAATATCATTTATGTCGGCCACGGAGCCTTGCATTTTGTTGTAAATGGTATCGGCGAAGTCCAAGGACGGGCGATCGGCAAATGGGGCAGTGTCGAAGCGGACATGCGGTGCAGGAGGAGGAGCGTAGTTGTCCAGGAAGTCGCCCCGCTCATCGCATGGCCGGCCTACATCATAATCTCAGATTACAAGAAATGACAACATGTAGCAACACATACCAGTGAGATCGGGGTGTTCATAGACAGTGTTTGGTGGCGGAGGAGGTTTTGGATGTGAATGATGGTGACGGACTAAGGCTGTTTGCGGATCGATCCACGGATGATCCGGATCCAAACCCACAGATCAGGTGACTTCCGGGGCTTGATCCAGATCCGCATGGCTCAGAGTCTCCGGAAGAGCCGGATCCGCGGGAGCTGGAGCCGTGATCCGTGGGTGGAGCCTCAAAATGAGCCGCAGAGTGTGGCTCTGTGTGGATCAGCGGCTCATACAGATCAGTCCTAGGCAAAACCATGTACTTAGGTTAAGATTAAGGCTGTGAGGGTACATTATAACAACTTTTTCATATACAGGACCCCTGAAAACACCCCTCACAAGGCAGATGGGAACGTGTGGGCCGGACGAGCACAACCGCGGCGTGTGGAGGGCCAGACGCGCTGAGGCGCAATCCGAGAAGGCAAGCGCGGGGCCATATGGGGCACGCTGTGAGGCTCAACGCACAAAATACCGACATGATCGCAATCACGGCAGGTGGAGAGCTGCCAGATACGTGGCTGAGCGAAGAGGCAAGCACACGCGATCACACCCAGCGGTGAGATCACATAATTGCGGCAGGGAGAGGGCCAAGGATGCAATGACATTCGCCACATTGGTGGCACGTTAACAGGCTACAAGTACAGAAGCGAGAGGGATGATCTAGTCAGAAACAACAATCGCCACAGTGCCACTGTCCTCTGCAGCACGACGAGCAGTCATGCCCTTCTTGTCCTTGAGGAAAGCAACCATTTCCTCCTCGGGAAGTAGACCCGGCACGCGCGCCCACGAGCCGAGGATCGTGTTCGCGCGCATAGAGTCATTCCCGAGGGAACAACGGAGGCGGGAGACAGTAAGACGGCCCCGGGAGAAGGCCCGCTTGGCATCTGTCGAGCTAGCTGGAACAGGTCTGCATCAGGTGTGAAAGGAGATGGCGATGCATGAAGACGACTTACCAGGGATGGACAAATAATTGAGGGCCATTCGGGCAAGGGCCGTGTTCTCCGAGCCGCTCTTGAGTGCAGCGTTCCAGTATGCAAGAGGATCAGTGATCGTGAGGACCGGGGGAGCATTCAAATACTCCTCGAGAGCATCAATGGCATTGTCAGCACGAGCGCGTGAAGCGATCACTGCAAAGAGCTGGGTCAGAATGGTCAGCAGTGCATGGTGGGACAACAAGGTGTTGGCATGGCTTACCGTTGCACTCGCGCTGCGGCATGTGCTGCCAGGCACTGAAGGCCGCCTGGGGATGGAAGCATTGAGCATCGCGCGAGATGCGGAGGCCGCCGGCGGGGTTGGAGGAGGGGGAGGCCTGTAGTGCGCGGCATAGTCGTCAGTGATGAGATCACGGGCCTCAGTGATCCAGTCTTCCGGCCAGTTGGCGTTCCGGAAGTACACTAGCTTGTATGCGGGGTGTAGGACTACAAAGTATGTGAAAAGGCGTCAGGCTGGCATGCTAGCGGTAGCGCGAAAAGGGCACTCACTCATGGCGATGTGGTAGAGCGGTGTCTCATCGGTCTTGCTATAGTACTTGTTTAGCATGTCACGCGCGAGGGCAGCACCCTTCTGGACGGCGGGATGAAGCTCCTCCTGGTCGACAAAGTTGTCCAGGTGCTTCGTAAGTATGTCCATGAATGGGATCACCTCGTGCAGCAGTGCATGCGTGCTCGAGGAGATCTCATTCGTGGCGAACAAGAAGGGCTGCGGTGATAGGAGCAATATATTTAGTGCGACATGTGCGACAGAACAGACAAACGAACACTTACATCCATCAGGTGATACAACTGCTCGAGGATAGACCACTCCACTTCAGTGAGGATGAACCGGCGAAGACGGACGCTCTTGCCGCGGTTGAATTGATGCATATCGCAGAGCGAGGTGAGGACCGGCTTCATGTCAAGGGCCTGGCCGACAACTGCAACGAGGGTGTTCCAGCGGGTCTTGACAGAGCGCACGAGAACGCGTGCATGAAGCCCTGCCTCGTCCGCAAGGTGCTCGAGCTCTTTGCGCACGAGCGGAGTGTGCCACACCTTCTTCGAGAGCTTTGTGATCTAATGCGTAGTCAGCGGACACATATGAGGAGACAAAATTACGATCACGCACCTTGTCAAGTGCTGCGATCGCCTCCTTCAGCTCGTCAGAGGTGCACGGTGTCAACGCTGCGAAGTCGTCCTCCGACAAGAGTTCTTCAATGATATCATTGTTGGCGGCTTCCCGCGAGTCGTCTGCAATGTCATTGTCGTCATCGTGCTCCGATTCCGACAGCTCATCTTGGTCATCCTCGTCCTCGTCAACAGTGTTGCGGGCCTTGCGTGGGGTGCGTGTCTTGGTGAAGGGCTTGACTGCGGCCTGGAGAGGTGACCTTGAGTGGATACAAAGACTGGTAATAATATGTCACGAATGTACCTTGCTGACGAGGTTAAGTACGTGGCCAAAGCACCGAACGAAGCCGTTCCCAATGCGGAGGTTGGGATGGGTCTCGCGGAGGGTTCGCATGAGGGCAACATTGACCTCCGCATTGTCGCAGGTGACGCCGATAACCTTCAGGCGAGCTGTAACGGCCCGCAGGCGTTACATTGCCTCACGGACTCTGTCTCATGATTAGATTAGATATGTTCTGTTTGATGTACTTTGTTCCCTGATCTGGTATGTCTACTGCACGCCTCGTTTAGGTACTTTCTCGTTCGCATCACACCCGGCCTCGTGCTCTGATAGATCGTAGATAAGATACACTTGTACTCTGTCACTTATACCGGCGTCGGCGCAGTCTGGCTCCCCGCCGAATCAACTTCTCTTCTTCTGCTCCCCACGCTCCGCTTCGTCCCTCGGTCCCGACTGTCAGCCCCGTCGTCCGGCCATTACAGTTTGATTCGGCCGCCTCTTACGACACCCCTTCGACCTCTACGTCCCACGACCTACGCTTCTTCGGCGCCCCGCACTCTTCGCTCGCCTCTCTAGCCGTCCCGTTTCATGTCCCGCGTCGGCAGGACAGATCGTCGAATCCGACTGCCACCCTCCGAACACTCCAAAGAAGAGTTCGAAGAGACCCACGAGCAAGCCATGGACACCGACAACCCTCCGGTCAACCCACCTCCTGATGGCGACAACCCTCCACCAGCCGACCCCGATGGAGAGGAGACAGCCGAGGATAACGGGCCTTCACCCGAAGAGGTGCTAGTGAGCATGCTCCAAGCGGTACGTACTCTCCAACGTGAATCGGTGCAGTCCCGCGACAGGTTCAAATCCGTCCTTTCCAAACTCGAATCCCTGTCCATCCGCCGCGAGAACACCTCCGGCGTCTCCTCAGGCGGCTCGATCAAGTTCCGCGACCCCCGCACATACAAGGGGAAGCAGGTTGAACTTGAGCCGTTCCTCGAGGAGATCGACATCGCTATTCGGTTGCAGCCCTGGCTCAACGATGGCGATGACGAAGTTAAGATTGATTATTTCATGCTTTATCTGGGCGAGATGCCGCGCAATTGGTTCTCTGCGCTGCTCAAAAAGAATTCCCATCTGCGTGATGATTGGGAAAGAGCACGCGAGGCGTTTAAGACGCGGTTCGAGGACCCCAACCTCGAGTCGAACTACCTTGCCAAGCTCGAGGCACTCACGCAGACTGGTCCCTTCATGGACTACGCGAACAAATTCGAGGAATACCTGCCGTACGCCAGCTGGGGCGACAGGTACGCCATGGACCGGTTCTATGCGGGCCTCGATGATACACTCGCTACACGTCTCGCGGGTGTTCCTCGCCCCGAGACTGTCGCTGAGTGGATCCCTTTCATTCACGACATTGACAAGGACCTCCGCGTCCATCTCAAGGCGCGCGAGCGTCGCAACAAGGCGTAGAAGCATGCGTCGAGCTCGAAGTTTTCGAGCTCTGCGTCCGGCGCTACAGCGTCCGGTTCTAAGTCGGCGCATGTTCAGAGTGTGCCCTATGTTCCTCCGCGCAACAACGACGTCGTCCCTATGGAGATCGACGCTGTTAGGACGCATTCCAGACCCAGCACGGAGGAGCGCGAGCGGCGCTGCCGCGAAAACCTTTGCTTCTACTGCGGCCAAGGCCCTCACCAGCAGATAGACTGCCCGAACATGTCCCCCGAGAAAAAGGCCGCGCTCCGCGTAAGGCTGGACGCTCGCGCGAGGGAACGGGCTGCCACTGCGCCGCAGGGAAAAGCCTAGCCAGGAGACGTTCGCCCGTCCCAGCCCTCTCGGCGAACTCAGGGACTCAGGCGCCCCCGCCGATGGCTGGCTCGCACGTGCGGCTGGTTAACGGCGTGTGGGTTCCCAAAACGCCTGCTGGCGCACCTCATTTCCGTCTCTCTTCTCATGTCCATTCTGATCCCACGTCTCCCGACCATTTTTTCGTCTCCGTTTCCCTCCGTTTCCCTAACAGAGAACCCATAAACACTTATGCTCTCATCGATTATGGTGCTACGACCTCCTGTATCTCGCTCGTATTTGCTAACCGTCACAGCCTTGCACGTCGTCTCAAGCCGACGCCCATCCCAATCACGGCTGTGGACGATCGTCTGATCGCGTCTGGGCTCGTGACCCACGACGTGGTCACCAACCTCCATGTCCACGACCACTCCGAAACCCTTGCCCTCAATGTTGTCTCCGTGGCCTACCCCATCATCCTCGGAGCAGACTGGCTCGAACGCCACAACCCATCCATCGACTGGGCCTGCCGGCAGCTCTCACTGTCGTGTTGCGGCGCCGCCTCAGCACGGCCTGTCTCGCTGCGTCGTACAGGCATCCTCTCCCCTCCTACGCTCGCCTCTCCCCTCCAGTTCGTCGCTGCCGCCCGCGCCTCTTTGCGCGATGCTGCACGACTCTCCACGCTCAAGGACGAGCAACTACAGGACGCCGAACGGTCTGATCATCCGTCCCGTCCGCTCTCCTTCCAGAGCCCCTCCTACGTCTCCGCTACGACCATCCCATGGCACTCTCCACGCCCTACGACCCCGCCGTTCTCTCCTCGCTCGGCACGCAGCATCGGCTTAGGTCGTACTGCGCCTAGCGTCGACGCATCGGCCCCGCCTACCATGTCTACGCCCATGCCCACGCACTCCGGCATCAGCTTTGGTCGTACCGAACCCGCTCACGCTCATGCCCACGCTCCCGACTTCGGCAACGGCTTAGGTCGTACCGACTCCCCGTCCCCTACGACCCTCCGCATTTCCACGCTCTCCGCCTCCAGCTTCGCCGCTGAAGCCACTGGTCAACCGGTCGGCGTCCTGTGGTACCACGAAGGCGGCTCACTTGGCTACCGTCTCGCCGCGTCCCGTCTCGCACCACCGCAACCACACCCAACACCCTCAGACTTCGACGACCTCGGCTCCGCTGTAGACCCTGACACCGGCGACGACTACCTCAAGCATGTGCCCGAGAAGTACCGCGATTTCGTGTCGGTCTTCTCGCCGGTCGAGGTCGAACATCTCCCACCTCACCAGCCCGACTTCGACATGAAGCTCGAACTCGAGCCTGGCAAGTCGCCGCCCAAGGGTCCCCTTTACCACCTTTCTCAAGAAGAACGTCGCGTTCTATTCGACTACGTTGAGGACGAGCTCCGCAAGGGGTTCATCCGTCGCTCGACGTCGCCCGCCGCTTCCCCTGTTCTTTTCGTCAAGAAGAAGACCGGCGAGCTCCGTCTTTGCGTCAACTACCGTGGCCTCAATGCAATCACGAAGAAGAACTCGTACCCCCTTCCCCTCATCGACGACATCCTCGACCGCGTTCAAGGTTGCAAGGTCTTCTCGGTCGTCGACCTCAAGAGTGCCTTCAACCTCATCCGCATACGTGAAGGCGATGAGTGGAAGACGGCGTTCCGCACGCACCTCGGACTTTTCGAGTATACTGTTATGCCCTTTGGTCTTTCTAACGCTCCAGGTGTCTTTCAAGGTTTTATTCAACACGTTCTCCGCGACCTTCTCGACGTCATGTGTGTCGTCTACATAGACATCAGCAAAACTGCATGGAGCGCGCCAAGAATCCCAGGGATTGTAATGCACGGGCGTCTGGGCCGGGACATTAGGATTTCATTAGAATGGCTTACTATTGACTAGGACATAGCGCCGCATTACAATATCTGAGCGCCGTGCCAGGCATTGCAAGCCATTAGTATGGCATTATATTGCGCAGGGATGCGACGGGAGTGCAGCCAAGATGAGACAGGTCGACCTATCAAGCCTGTGTTTCAGTGTCGCTACGGCAAGGCATTCAAGAAGACATTGTCTTTCGCACTAGTACACATCTGTTATTCAATACAGTAAACCCGTCCGTCTCATGGGCGTGCACCGCGCCACCTGAGACGACAGTGCCCTACTAATCATGCGCGAGCTGCGGCTCGCGGTCTGTACAGAAGAGGATGGATATGTTGTCGTAACGCGCTCCCTCGGGGACCCTAAACGTTGCTAAGGCAGCGCACCATGTGCCAGCCCCGTGAGTGTGGTCCACACGCTAGGTGGATGCGCGGCGGAGTCCCTAAACGACCGCGGCCTCGTCTGTGAGCTCCTGTGCACACCCCTGCTGCGTCGCCGATCCCAAGCCTGCTGCCCAGTCCCATCGGTCATAGTAGATGTGCGTGTCTGTGAGGGGCCACCGCTGGCCCGCCGCACGGCGGTCTGGGTGCGCGGCCGCAACATCGTGGCCTGTGGGAGTGGTGCAGTGGGGTGAACGCGTGTCACGAAACGCCGAGAGGCAGGTACCCACTTGCAACGGTCGACCTGCAGCCTGGTACGTGTCTAGTATTGCTCTGTGAGAAGCGCTGGCTCTTCAGCGACCGTACCACTCACCCCGTTGCCGGTTCCCGGTGACGATGCGTCGAGTGGGCGTTGCAGAGCTCTGGAGATTACACGGTGATGTCGCCCTCAAACACCTCCCCCGTCAGGCTTGGGCGATGCGGGAGCTACTGCAAGACCTCGTGCTGTGCCCCGCGCTGTGAGTGGCACGGAAATGAATGCGGGAGGAGGAGGAGGAGGAGGAGGAGGAGGAGGACCGGGTGTGGCCGGCGATGCTCGGTGGAGGACACGGACGTGGTGGTTGCAGGCTGGGCGATGATGTCGAGGGACGCGCGTCACCGGCGGGGCGAGGCTCGCTGTGGAGGGTGTGATCGTGGACCACAATCATGGCAGGAATTGTGGTTGCAGATGTCACGGTGTGGATGCAGGAGGAGGCGGGGCCACCAGGGGAGACGACAAGGAAGGGTAACTTGCAGGGGTATGAGAAATTGTAAACAAAGTCGTATAGCTCCACGGTGACATTTGCAGACGTCCTTGTACAACCATGGGAGATGTCATCCCGGGTCACGAGGATGGTGCTAACCTGGATGTCAAAGAGGTCAGGGATCTCCGATGAGCACGCTGGTGTGGCGTTGGAGGCTCGACTCTGTGCAAGAAGTTGAACCTTGATGTGTCAGAAAGCGCGACTCGGCGAGTGTTTGGCCGTGCTGCAACAGAGCAGAGCTGTAGGGAACGGCTGTTTTGAGCGTGGGGTTCGATACGGGCCCAGGTTCGAACAACGCACCTATAGAGCGGCGTACCCGTCAAGAGCGTGCTCGTCGTCGTCCCCGTCTTCGCCGTTGAGCTCCCCGACGTCCTTGAGAGCTTCTTCTCTGTCATCCTCCGACTCTTCTTGTTCAAGTTCATCCTCTGAAGTTGCGTTGCTGGTGGAACCGCCGGCAGCATTCTCGACGTTGGATGGGTGGACAAGCTCCGAAGCATCACCCGACTGCAAGAATGATGCGTGGTGAGCTAAGTGATATCATGTTTTGGACAGGCGCACATACATCCTCGATGGCGGGGGTGACGTGTGCTTCAGCACTGATGTGCAGATGTCCGACAGCACCACCAAAATATCTCATAAAGAGATCACGGTCTGACCACCTGGGTAATGGATATGAGCGTGGGCAACTTGAGGGGGAGTAGTGAGGACTTACATGCCAACATAGTGGTAATTCCAGTCGTCCTCAACGGCGATGTCGTCCGTCTCAATGCGTGCAATACTTGGACCTCTGAGAGCGACGTCGGAGCGACCGTGATGAAATGCAGGTATAAGATGCACACTACGCAGGATCCGGTCGGGGGAAATGAAGTCGAAGGCATCGCTCACAGGTGCAAAGCGGAGGCGGTGGGGACGGAGAGTGTTGAATCCTCCGGGGGTGAACGTGTCTAGCTCAAACCAGCGTACCCAGAGCACGTGGATAGGGCGAGGCTCGATGAGGGGCTCTGACCGGAGAGTAACGTTAACATGGAACACAGAGAGTACCCGAGCATATAGATAGGGGTGATCGCCTTCCGTGTCAGTGGTTTCATCCGGACGAGCCGCGAGCATCATCACGTCAGCGTGGCTGCTCGGGTTGACGGAGTCTTGCTCGCGACGCATATCGTAGGTGGTGTAGTTGACACGAAGCGTCTTGTGAAGCCACATTTGATCTTTTCTGATATGGACCGAAGCCACATCGCTGAGTGTCGAGGCGTCATGCCCATGCACCCGGTTATACAGGTTGACGCAGGAGCGGGCCGCGAACACCAATCGGAGGAGAGGGAGGGGTGGATGGGTGGAGATGGAGGTTGGATGACCTCGATGTAGTGGTGCAGAGGCGTTGCCGGCACTAGGCGCAAAGCAGACGCAAACTAGAGTCACGCGAGGGATGTCTAGCCCACAAAGACCAAGTTAACATAGCTCTACAGACATACAGGCAATCGAGATACTCACCTAGCCCACAAAGACCAAGAGGTCGAGATGAGGGCTAGGACACGAAGTGCAAGTGCTAAGAGAGTCCGCGATACGGGCGCTTAAGCGCGGGAACAACCTTCCAATATAGTAAAAGGCAGGGAAAAGGCAAGGAAAAGGCGAAAAATAATACATAGGGCAAGTCCAGAGTCCGTTCCACGACACAGGTGACATTTGAGTTTGTACTCGAAGTCCTGTGTAATACTATATTAGACTGTGTCAGACCCGGCATTCAACTAAATCTACTCACCGTACACGCGATGTCATCCTTGTTCTTGTGCACGAACGTCTTGATGTTGACGTGCTCCCGTTGTTCAAACGAGACGTGATGGTGGTCCTTGGGTGATGTCGACGAGAGTGACTCCTTGGTGTCACCAGGAATGCGAAGATCGGCACTCAACTCCTCAGGGTTCAATTTCCTTTTCTTACGCAGAGGAGGCTGCGGCACGTCTGCGTGCGATGAGATTTCGTGCAACAGCACCTGATGCCCCTGCCGTCGTGCTATCTGGCCCACAAACGACAATGTCTTGTTCGTTTGGTCGTAGAACTCCTTGACGTGGTGATGTTCTTGCTCTCCCTGGTTTTGAAATGTCAGCTGATTCTAGAAACGGAACATGCGACACGCACTGGCTGCGTTGTCGTGTTGTCTGTTGTCCCAAATTGGCGAATGCTTCTCGGATATTCAGGCATCTTATGAAACTTGATCGTGTTGAGATCGAAGACCTTGATCTTGGCGTCAGACGATGTCAGGGTGTTGGTAGACCCTCGGCTGCCACGTACGGAGGCGGTGGTGGCAACCTTTCGTCGTTGACGAGCTGCTGTCTCCTTAGGGAGTTCTTTCGTCAAGTATGCCAAGCAGACATGACGAACAAAGGACCTCATTGTAGCGCCAAGCAGGGTCGTCACGTGTTCCATGTAGCGTAAGGAGTCCTCTGAATGAAGGCGAAGCTTTGCCAGGGCGTGCCAGGTAGACAATCGGAAGATCATGTCCAGGACGATCTTGTTGTGTGATGGAGAGACGAAGCCGAGCCCTTCGAAGCAGGGGAACGAGCACTAAGGTGACATATGAATAACATGGAGATGATCCTCGCAACGTAGATCCGCACCTGAAGGATATCTTCATAGTCTCGAGCAGCAAGCTTTTTGAGACCCGACATATTTGACCCAAATGGTCGTATCGTAGACCTTCCAAAGGTCGGGACCTGCGAGAATCTATAATGCCAATATGTTAGCCTCCGAAGGTACTTTAGAGATCAAGAAGTACGCGCGGCGACCCGCACTCTTTGTGGGCGACCATTTTGCCGTGTCCGGTTTGACACGGCAAAATACACTGCCCGCGCCCAATGCGTCGAGCTCGCCGCACAGATCGAGCTCGCTGCACGCATCCAGGTCGTCACGCATGGCTGCGCTTGACACGCGCGAGGCATGCAGCTCACCGCACCTGTCACCCCCAAGGTGCGGAGCACATCGCGCCTCGCCGCCCAATGCGCCGAGCTCACCGCGCGCATCGAGCTCCCCGCACGCATCCAGATGATCCTCGTGCATGGCTGCGTTTGACACACGCGAAGCATGCAGCTCACCGCACCCGTCACCCCCAAGGTGTGGAGCACATCGCACCTCGCGCATCTACGCTTGCAGTAGCTCAACGTGTTCCGAATGCAAGACTGTGACCCGACCCGTACCCTCACCCATCACGTGGGCGATCGTGTGGGTGAGGGTATGGGTGAGCCTCAGACAAACCGACTCGGGTTTCCCTATCAGATGCGAAATACGTACCTTGAGTCTAGGGTCTGGATGTTGTCCCCCCCGAGAGCGATCACCAACCGTAGGAGGTGTGTGAGTGTTGACTTCCACACTCCCAGCTCGAACTTGTGCATGAGATCAGGCACGAGTATGCGATACACATCGAATCCAAATGCAGCGAGGCGTGTTGAAAAGGCATTCTGGTAGAGGTAAGCATGGTGTAGGACAAATGCGCACAAATAGCTCACCCGTGCCGGTGTTGTAGAGTGCTCATTGAGCGGTGAATCATTCATGTGCTTGGACTCGGGGTCGATACCCTGTTCGAAAACCCAGCCCCTCACATTCTCGATCCACCTCTGGAGTGTGGAGCTGAGGGCAGTGCGGGGGTGTCGTTGAGCTGCACTAGATCTTGCTTGGTACCCATGAGATGGATGTCAGTCTTGCGGACATGGCAGTCGGTACAGGGGCACTTTCCCATAGGTTTGACGCAAGCGATGAGGCATCTGTGGTAGCATCGAAATCAGACACAAGCAATACGATAGTAATGGGGCACGTACTTTTCGGGATAGTCAGCCGAGTACGTGAAAATGCGAGGGAAAAGACGACGGGTGATGCCGTCTGCGCAAACGATCAAGATGCCTTCTTTATATGCGAGCAGGAATTCGTCATCGAGAAGCAGCTCCCAGATCTTTTGCATGAGCTCGCGCTTGCAGAAGCGGAGTATAGATTCTGTAGCAGGCTCGCCGAACTGATCCTGATACCACTTCTGGATGGTTTTAGGAAGCTAGACCATGGACGAATATGCGTAAGAACAAGAAACATGGGATAAGTGCGGTACTCACCAAAGGGATGTATGCCAGATGATGTGCCGCGAATGCGCTGGGCTTGCCCCGTTCGTACTTGGACAACCAGCCGAACCAGACGTATAGGGGCCAGAGCGATGTGGTCCCGAAGTTTGTGAGGTGTGTTGAATCCGAGTATAGCATGAGAGGAGCGACTGCATACTCAACATCACTGTCGGAATCGGCAGGGTGGCGGGGTTGGGACTGGAGCTCGGCATCAGCATCGAGGAGAGCTTGTGAGTTGTACACCTCTGAGTAGATACGAGTTGATGGCAGGCTTGGCGTGTCGGGGCCGATAGAAGAATCCGCATCTTGAGGAGAGACCCGCTCCGGCGAGCGCGGTGGTTGCCAATAGAGCTCGAATGGAATCCAGTGAGCGGATCGTGCGCTGGCTGCTTGAGCACCCATTTGAATGATATCGCACAGAGTTCGGTACCAGATGCCATCGACCACCATCTGCGGCGCATTTGCCTCCGAGTCGCCGTGAACGAGGAAGTTCTTCGGCTTTGGAACCCCGATTTTGACTGAGCCCTCCCGCCACTTGTTGGACGCAGAGAATGTACCCGCCTCCGACGTTGCCTGATGGTCGTCCATGCGCTTCATCTCCCGTGCTGCACTGAAACTGTGCAGGTCCTCTCGGCTGAAGTTGTCCGCCAGAAGAACTTCGTGGACGAGTGAGTTAAGTCCAGCGATGGACTTGGTGAACGAAGACGAGTAGAACCACCTCATGAGGCGAAAGACCGTGGCATTGAGGAACGGCGCGAAAGACAACGTCTGGACGGAACCCGTATTGGAGACCCCGAACGATTGAAGTGGTTCGTGGTGGTCTGAGGCGCGAACATGTGTGGGGGCATCCGCGAAGGTGTCAAGTGTCCTGCCCTCTTCAGGATCTTGCACAGGTGTACGGAAGTAGCGGCGAAATATGCGGAAGCGATTGGCGACAGTGTCGACGAAGTAACGCATAACAGGTGGTGCTGCGTTCGGTTGAGACTCCTCTTGAGGATCTTGGAGTACCTGAGGCCCGCCCGAGTTTGCAGCTGCGGAAGGAGTGGGAATGACGGGGGGAGGGTGTCGAGGGATATGCTCAGGAAGGCCCGCGAGCGATGTAGGCACCATGTCTTGAAGTTTTGCTGGAGCGCGACGGCGTCGACCCGTTCGGCTGACAGAGTGAAACTCTGCGGCGTACTCAGCATCTGCTATCGCCTGAAAGCCAAGCGTAATGCAGCTATTAGAAAACAATAAGCACAGTGGTGCATACCTGAGCCTCAGCCCATTCTCGTTGAAGGCGAGCTTGCTCCTCCTCTGCCACACGCCGCACCTCTATCGCCTGAGCCTCAATCGCTTGAACCTCCACCTCAGCTGCTACGCGCTGTTCCAGTCCATTCTGGAAGTCGTTGTGGAATAACTTGCACTGTTTGATATGCCTTGTGAAGCGAGAAGGGTCGTAATCTCGGTGGCATCCGGTACACTTCATGAGCAGCAAGAGGGATAGGGCGGCAAGGAAGCAGAATGAGAGGGTGCGCATGCAAGCAAAGAGACTTGGAAGAGGTGGAAAGGACTGAGGCGAGACAAGAGATCTCGAATCTGCAGTGGAAGGGTGAGCTCGGAGTGCACTTGCATCTCAAGGCACAAAGCTCACTCTGATACGATTATCACGCCAGGATGGGCCCGAGTGAAACATTCATACCAGAAAGACAATATTCCGGGGAGCAATCAGAGTCGATAGCTTAGTGCTGGGGGCCAGGCTATTCGGGGATGGTCGTTCGGCGAGCACGGATAATCCTGACCATTCCACTGGCGACGAGGGCGACGGCGAGTGCTGAGAAGGAGAACATGGGGTGTTGTGGGCATATGTTTAGTTCAAGATGGTTGGAATACATGAGGAGGTGGTTGAACCACAGTTCACTGCAACTAGGGTTCACCACGGGTGACCCTCGGGTGATTTTGACTCGACCCGCACCCGTACCCGTGCACACCCGCACCCGTAGACCCGAGGGTCAGCTTGCACACGGGTAGGAAGGGTATCTCACGGGTGTGCACCCGTGGCAGGCACCCGCGGGTGAACAGGATAGGCTAGGACGGCAGTGACTCGATGCTGCATACGAGAGTGTGCATGCAAGACTGCGCGCGAGACAGTGCATGCGAGACGATGCCAGCGCATGCGTGAGACGGTGCGCACGAAACGGTCCGCAGGAGACGACGCAGTGAGTGAGATGGCATGGGCGAGGTGGCATGTGCGAGACGGTCTGCAGGAAACGGCATGGGCGAGCCGCGAGACGGTGTGCTGGGCGATGTGACAGCGAGGGCAAGACGGTGTGGACGAGAAGGCGCGTGCAAGGGAGCCTGATGGCGCGCTCGAGACGGTGCGCACGAGGGATACTGCCGGGCGGTATACGTACATGTATTCTAGTCCGACATCTCATTGTCCGATGTGTCGATGCGATCCCAATCATCATCCATCTCATAGTCGGAGCCCGCCTCGTCGATTACATCGAGCTTGCCCACGTTCTTCAAGACGTTCTTGTCGATGAGCTCAAGCTCGGACCAGGCCCCGAGACACAGCAGAGCGCGCGTCGTCTGCGCGGACATGCGGTTGCGCGTGTAGGGGATGAGGTGCCGGCCGCGGCTGAAAATGCGTTCAACCTCAATGGAGGTAGCTGTCAGAAGCGTGGAGTAAGCACAACGGTCATGGAAAGAGTGGAGCACCGGGGACAAACCTGGGATTGTGAGATAGTCCAACGCCATGCGGCTGAGGCGAGGGAAGCTGCTTGCGTGATCTTGCCACCACTGGATGGCATTGGTACCGTGAGGCTCGCGTGGCAATGCAAGGTATCGTGTGAGTTCGTCGCGGGTACTAGGGGCTGCAGACTTGGTGAAGTCCTCGGGCAAGAACGACACAGAATCGAACATGTTCTTGCTGCTCCGGCCGTCCTTCTGTGGGAGCACAATGCGACATGAGTAACACAGCAAGAAGAAGAGCGAACCAATGGTGACGTACCGGTGCAGTATTGTTGGCCTGACGGTCCGATTCTACGGGATCCTCCGAGTTGGAAGCCGCATGGGTGTCAGGAGCATTGTACGAGACGTTGAACTCGTCCCGGACGAGCTCAATGGCCGTCTCGATCATACCCTCGTCCCACTTCAGGGCCACGAAGTAGTCGTCCTTGTACGTCGGGTGGAGGACTGACAAAGCACGTTGTAGTCAAACAAAGTACCACAGATTCTAAGACACTCACTCATAGCAATGCGGTACGCCTCAACAGAGTCGGTGAGGTTGTAGTACTTGTGGAGCATCTGCTTTGCGAAGCCGAACACGGCACGGATAGCAGGGTCGTACGGGACCCTCGGCCGGAACAAGCTGCCCGGCTGGTTCTTGACAGTGAGCTCTTTGTCGATCTTGTCCATGACCGGAATGACGTGGGCAAGGTTGGGCGTGTCGCGAGAGAAGAACTCAGTGGCATCCTTGAAGATCTAGCGTGCCAACAATGAAGCAGAGAGAGAGAGAGAGAAGCAGGGGACCCGGGAGTGTGAGGCGAATGTCGCAGGAGTCGACAAACGCGCATGAAAGCCGCCGGTGGACAGACCGTGAGTATCAACTGTACAGCTGCCAAAACAAGGTTCGCACCTTCAGCGCGTCGACGAGCTGCTCTGCGATGAGCCACTCGTGCGGGGTCAGTGCAAACGAACCCAGCACATCACTCCCCTCGTCCGATGCACAGAACACCGTGATGGGTGTGCGCATCTCAACAGCTGTATCAACCAAGGTGAGTGTAGAGTTCCATCGAGTGCGGACGTCGATAGGGATGACCCGTGCTTTGAGCCCGAGTTGCGCTAACAGCTTGTTCCACGCAGGCATCAAGACGGTCGGGGACCCCTTGATCTTTACGGCAATGTTGCGAAGCTGTGGGCAAACAGGGTCGAGGTGAGTTTATGCTCTACAAATGATAGTTCGTACGCCAACCTTGGCTAGGGTCTGCCGGACAGGCGCGACATTCTGGAGGAACGCCTCCATCCCCTTCTCCGTCAACTTCCCCACGTCGTCCACCCAGTCATCCTCGTTCCCGCCATACAAGATCTCCGCATCCCCATCAAGACTGCGGTTCTCTTCGTTGAGCTCGACATCTCCCTCTGCCACCGAATCCTCGTCCTCGGATGCCAACACAGCAGCGATGTTATCACTGCTCTCCTCACCGTCGATCAGTGAGTCCGACTTCTTCGTGTTCTTCAGCCCGTTGAAGTGCTTCAAGAGCGCGAAGCTGACAAGCTGAATTACATGCCCAAAGCATCGAACGTGTCCGACACTAGCCAAGAAGTTGTCGAGCTCGACTTCAATCTGTGCCAGCATCTTGATGTTCGCCGAGGTGTTGTTGCACGCAACTCCGAGGATCTGTGAACACGGTATGTTAACATATGTTCTAGTCGTTGAGAGAGGACCCACTGCTCACCTTTTCGTCTATTCCAAACTCGCGTAGGATGCGGACAAACTCCCTAGCAAGTGTTGCACCGGTGTGACTCTGCCGCGGTCGCGCCGCAGTGACGATGATTAGCTGCGGGGACGGCGTGCCGCGTGACCAATAGTAAATGGTATGTACCTCTGTGATCTCTATGACGTCGAGCAACATGCTGATTGGCTTCGTCTTGTGGATGAAATAGACCACAACGGCCATGTACGGCCGCCCGTTCGGTGCCGTCCAGCAGTCTGTTGAGAAGCTAAGACGTCCAGGGTAGTTCTGGAAGGGGACAAGGTGAGCCTATATCCATGTGAATACCGCAGTCAAGTGATATGTTACCCAGAGTAGCTTCCGCACAGTCGCTCTCGATCCCGCAAATACGGCCTTGACGTCACGTGCCACGGTGCTTGCTGATGGAACTTGGTAGTTTGGACGACCGGTCTTCAACAGGGTGAGCAGATGGCGATCTTTGACGATGTTGTAAGGCCTTGACGACTCTGCGACCCAGCGCGCTATCAAAACACTACATGAAAACCGTTCATCAGCACCAACATCAAGAAAGCCAACAAGTTACTCCGCACCGAACTTCCATATTCGTGTGCTGCCGGTTGGAGTACGTCACCGGTCCCTTTGCACCGTCCGCGCGCTCGAATATGACACTGATGTCACCGCTCCGCGGCTTCGTCTTCAATAGCTTCTGGCGCGCATCGTCAACCGGGAGCTGTGCAGCGACGAGGTTGTCGACTGCTTCCTGCCCCCAGCACGAGATGGCGTGCTTCTTGAGCCCACTCGTAGACGACGAGTCACCCGTCTGAAGATAGCGACGCTTTTCCGACGTCTTGCAACCCTTTCCCTTCATGAGACACGTGAAGACGTAGCAACGCTTCCCCGGCAGTGAGTCATCAATGCGGGGACGCTTCTCGAAGAAGGCGTAATACGGTGAGCTCCATGACGCGGGAGCGGGCCGCGAACGCCAATCGGAGGAGAGGGAGGGGTGGATGGGTGTAGATGGAGGTTGGATGACCTCGATGTAGTGGTGCAGAGGCGTTGCCGGCACTAGGCGCAAAGCAGACGCAAACTAGAGTCACACGAGGGATGTCTAGCCCACAAAGACCAAGTTAACATAGCTCTACATACATACAGGCAATCGAGATACTCACCTAGCCCACAAAGACCAAGAGGTCGAGATGAGGGCTAGGACACGAAGTGCAAGTGCTAAGAGAGTCCGCGATACGGGCGCTTAAGCGCGGGAACAACCTTCCAATATAGTAGCAGGCAGAGAAAAGGCAAAGAAAAGACGAAAAATAATACGTAGGGCGAGTCCAGAGTCCGTTCCACGACATTACCCCCCTCCTAAAACCCATCCGTCCCGGATGGACATGATCCTCCCCTCCTGCCAGTCTTCCTTCTCCGTTTCTGCGTGCTCAGGGTGCTCAACCCTCCTCCACGGCAGCGCGGCGAATAGAGTCGCAGATATCTTGCGAGGCGCGTTGGGATTGCGCTCGTAGAACTCTGCGACCTTCTCTGGGGCATTGGCGACATTCGCCGCTGGTTCCCACGAGTCGTCCCCTCTCCGTATCCCTTCCACCGCACCTGGAACTGAAGCCGGCGGTTGAAGAACCGACTGTCCAGAATCCTCTCCACCTCGTACTCTTCCTCTCCGTCCACTTCCACCGGCTCTGGTGGTGGTGCTCGTCGCCCGTTCACCTCGTTCCCTCCATACTTGGACAGCCGATCCACATGTACGACCGGGTGGATCTTGAGCGTGGGTGGGAGTTCGAGACGATAGGCTAGGTCACCCACGCGTTCGACCACCTTGTAGGGTCCCAGCTGCCGGACACCAAGCTTGCGCGTTGCCTGGTGCACACTGATGTCTTTTGCGCTAAGCCAGACCTTGTCTCCGACTTCGAATGCCTTCCGATCACGAGGGTGTTCCTCTGCGAAGTGAACCTTCATCTTCGCCTTGCCTGCGCGCAGCACTGATTCAATGTCCTTCTGTGCTTGGCGCATGCCCTCTAGACGATCCTCGAGATGAGGGAAGCGAGTCTCTGTTCCCACTGGTACCGTGAAGTCTGGCTTGTACCCGTACATGACCTCGAAGGGCGTGTGGTTGTGCGCAGAGTGGATTCGGCTGTTCAGCGCGAACTCGGCAGTTGGCAGATAGCGTACCCAGTCGTCTTGCCGTTTGCGTACGAACAGGCGCAAGTGCTGCTCTACTTCCTGGTTCGTTCGCTCGGTCTGTCCGTTAGACTGAGGGTGGTACGCGGTGGTGAGTGCATGTTCAATGCCGAGCTTGCCGTAGAGTTCGTGCATTACGCGGGCGGCGAACTGGGGACCACGGTCTGACACAATCTTCCGAGGGACACCATGTAAGCGAAAGATCTCCGGTAATGCAGGTCTGCAATGCCAGCAGCGTCGACACTGTCGCGTGTGGGGAGGACGTGACACTGTTTGCTGTAGTGGTCGACGTACACCGCGATGGCGTTGAACCCTTCGCACTCTGGGAGCCCAGTGACCAGGTCTACTCCCACCACCTTCCAGGGGGCCTCAGGGACGTCGTGCGGATGCAGGGTGGAGCGTGGATGTGGAGCTGGCTTGTAGCGCTGACAGCGCTCGCAGCCTGCGACGTACTTGGCCACGAAGAGCGCCATCCCAGGCCACCAGTAGTGTCGACTGACAAGCTCAAGGGTGCTGCTGCGTCCAGGGTGTCCAGCTGTGACCGAGTCGTGGCATCGCCGAAGAACCTCTCGTCTAAGCTCTGGGTCGGCCGGCACGTATAGGCGACCTTCATGATACACCAGGCCCCCGTGCTCTTCCCACTCGGCTACTCCACTTGCCATCCTGCGAGGCGGCGCTGCAAGCCCGCTTCTAACCTCCACTTCGCGCTTGGTGCACTCACGGATGCGTTGCTCGAGCAGATCGGTGTCGCTGCAGATGGTTGCAGCTAGCTGAGCGAACCGTTCTGGCTTGAGTACGACCTGCTCCTGGTTGTCCTCCGCGTCCGTGACCTGATGAGTGGGGAGACGCGAGAGAGGATCTGCCTGCGTGTTCGTCTTCCCAGGCTTGTGGGTGAGGACGAAGTCGAAGCGTGCCAACCAGATTGACCATCGCGCTTGCCGCCGTGAGAGATGCTGAGCAGTACGCCAGTACTCGAGGTTCCGATGATCCGTGATGATCTCAAAGGGATCTGGAAGGCCCTCAAGGTAGTGGCGCCAGTCCTCCAATGCTCGGATGATCCCCAAGAGCTCTCGGTCGTAGATCTCGTAATTGCGCTCTGCATCCGACATGGACTCTGAGCGGAACGCGATCGGGTGCCATAGGCCATCGGGGAGCTTCTGGAGCAGAACACCACCGGTTGCGAATCCAGAAGCGTCCACCTCGAGTCTGGTGGGTCGATCTGGTGCCCATGTAGCGAGAACCGGTTCGCTGATGAAGGCGTCCTTGAGCGCGCGGAATGCCTGACGCTGCGCGAACTCCCATGTCCACGCGACGTCCTTCTTCGTCAAGTCGTTCAAGGGACGAGCCAGCCTAGCAAAGTCCTTGATGAAGCGACGATAGAAGTTGGCAAATCCAAGGAAACCGCGCAGATCTCGCAGGTTACGAGGATCTGGCCAGTCGCGCACGGCTTTGACCTTCACCGGGTCCATGCTGACCGAGCCCTGACGGATCACCAGCCCCAGGTACTCCACCTCCTCCCGCTCAACTCGCACTTCTCAGGGCGCAGGTAGAGGTCGTGCTCCTCCAACCGCTGAAGTACTTCGTGAACCAGTCGACGGTGCTCCTCTAGGGTGTCCGTGAAGATGAGGATGTCGTCCAGGTACACCGCTACCTTGCCCTGCGCAATGAGATCCGCGAAGATCGAATTCATCAGCGCTTGGAAGGTGGCCGGCGAATTGGTGAGCCCGAAGAACATAACCTTGGGTTCGAACAACCCTCGGTTAGTGACGAAGGCAGCCTTCCATTCGTCACCCTCCTTGATCCGGACGTTGTGGTACCCCAGCGCACGTCGAACTTGGTGAAGTACTTCGCTTCTCGCAGCCGGTTCACAATGTCTGAGGCGAGAGGAAGCGGATAGCGGTTCTTGACAGTGACGTCGTTCAGCTTCCGGTAGTCCTGTACTAACCGGAGCTTCCCGTCCTTCTTCTTGACAAAGAAGACTGGAGACGCCATGGGGGACTTAGAGGGTGTGATGTATCCCTTGCGCATGTTGTCCTCCAGGAACCGATCAAGCTCCTCCTGCTCGTTCAGAGGCATGGGGAAAACCTTGGAGCGGATCGACTCAGGCGCATCAGGCTTGAGGTCGATCGCTGGTCGTAAGGTTTCGACTCAGGGAGACGCTCTGATTCGACCTCGGAGAACACCTTAGCGTGGCGTCGATACTCCTCCGGGACCATCTCCTCGAACGTCTTCTGAGGTTTCCCCTTGTTGGCAGCCTCTGCCAGCTGCGTCGAATAGGTGTAGCCTGCCGCACACCACACCTCCTCCCTCGCATCCTCCAACACTCCTGCCTTCTGCCACTTCCGTCGCTGTGCCCGGTTCGCGTTGATACGCTCGAACGCAGGCCGTTCCTCCTCCTCCTCGTCCGTCTCAATCCGCATCTCTCCCTTCTCCCAGTCTATCTCCGGATTCACCGTACGTAACCAAGGCAAGCCAAGAATCATGTCCTCTGGTCCCAGATCTGTAACTAAGAAATCGAGACGCTCGCTATATGTACCCATACCTAACGTAAGCCTTGTGAAATGCGTAATACTGCCTGCTTTGTTCTTTGTACCGTCGATATTGTGCACTGTGATCTCCTTGAACAACGGGTGCACCGAAATACCATGCCTATCTATGAACCTTTTACTAACAAAAAGCGAAGTCGCACCAGAGTCAATCATTGCTGCGGTCTTAACACTCTTATCGTTTCCTTTTACTATCACGCTAGTGCGAAAATGCGAACCGGATCGATTTGCTTCAGGTATAGTACAGCTATCTACGGTATCGTACGCGCTAGGTACAGGTTCAGGGAAAGAAGAAGAAGAGACCTTGGGTGGGGGCGCCGCTGCCGCAGCTCTTAAGCGGGCCCGTTCGGAAAAGACTTTTGGAGCAGTTCAAGCTCGCCACGGAGGATCTTCTGCTGCTCCGTCATCTGCTGCATCTGCTCGAGGATTGCGTTGATCCCCTGCACATTGGAGTTCGCCGTTGAGGTCGACGCGACCGGGCTGTCCTCGGTGGTAGCTGCAACGCGCTGCTGACCGCCCAAGCGTGGCCTGCCCAGTGCCTTGCTCTGGCAAACGCTCTCGCGATGGCCACGGCCTCCGCACCAGCGACAAGTCTCGTTCGAGTGGTTGCCGTCCTTCTTCTGGTGGTCGGTCGCACCACAGCCCCAGCACCTGCCGTTCATCGACCGCCTGAACTCGCTCAGCTTGGCAGCATCAATGTCCATCGCGTCGGGGTCGCGGGAGGTGCGCATGGTCGAGGGAGTTGCCACGGATGCGAACTGCCCGGTGGCGGTACGAGGGACAGTCGGGGTCGCAACAGACTTGCCCTGTTCGCGCGCACGCTCAGCCTTGCGCGTGCGAATGCGCATGTCGAGGTCCGTAGCGACCTGAACGAGGTCGGGGAGCGCAGCAGTGTTGCGAGCAGTATGCACCAACTCGTCTTTGATCTCCGAGGAGAGGTGCTCGTAGAACCTGTCGCGGAGGTCGGTCTGGCTGTAGCCTGTCCTGTCCGCGAGCTCATTGAACCGCGCGTAGTACTCGACGACGGAGAGGCTACGCTGGTGAAGAGCCTGCAGGGCTGCCTTCGCGTCGACTGCCTCGTCGGCCGTCTCGAATCGCGTTTTGAATGCCGCTCTGAAGGTCGTCCAGTCGTTGTTGAACACGGCCAGCCCGTTACCGATCGTTTCCAGGTAGGGGGTAGCCCAGATCGCAGCGTCATCGGTGAGGAGAGTTAGAGCCGACTTGATCCACTTCGCGTCGTCGCGATCGAAGCCGCCCGTGGCGTTGGCAGTGTTCAGATGGCCACCCATCTGCATCGCGTAGACTTGGAAGGATGCTACGAAGCGGCGTGCATCCGAACTGGTCTTGCCGTTGTACGGCTGGGGCTTGTTCGCGACCTTTGTCGCGTCCTTCGTGGCTTGGGTGTTGACGTTCGAAGCCACCGTCGCATTCGTCATAGCTTGGGGAAGGGTGGTGGACAGGTTCTGGAACGCGGTTGCCAGATTTGTCACCGCCTGCGTAAGGTTGGCCTGTCCGGCAACCAACTGCTGCTGGTTCGCGGTGAGGGCCTGCATGAGGGCCTGAAACTGCTGGGCATCCATGACTAGGGGTGGGATAGGAGTGTGGGTCTCGTCGAATCTAGCCCTGCGGGTCGTGTAGGTGACAGGGGTACGGATATGAGGACACGGTTGGTCGTCGCACTCTCGCCAGAGGAGGTCGTTTCGCTCGTTGCGGACGATGTGGACGTGCCGGTTGTCTTCAGTGTCAACCGCGTGCTGATGACCTGCGCAAGCCACCGTGCTCTAGGAACCAGGATACGCTCCGGGGACGTGAACACCTATTGAGGCTTCCGGGCAGCCAATCAGTCGGGATGACCAACTGCGCGGATAGAGTCGTCGGCCGGGAGCGGGGTAGTGTTCTCAGAGTGTGATACTCGAGCTCAACAGACCCAGGGAGACTGCGATACGCTCAGAGCCTTATAACTCCGGCAGGTATGCAGGGTAGGGGAAGAGCGGGGCGAGTGGCACAGGGTGGGGACGATGCTTGCGCGAGCGGGGGCGATCCGATGCTTTGATGCCAGCACTCACTGGTTAGATCTCGACCTAATGACGCGGGAGCGGGCCGCGAACGCCAATCGGAGGAGAGGGAGGGGTGGATGGGTGTAGATGGGGGTTGGATGACCTCGATGTAGTGGTGCAGAGGCGTTGCCGGCACTAGGCGCAAAGCAGACGCAAACTAGAGTCACACGAGGGATGTCTAGCCCACAAAGACCAAGTTAACATAGCTCTACATACATACAGGCAATCGAGATACTCACCTAGCCCACAAAGACCAAGAGGTCGAGATGAGGGCTAGGACACGAAGTGCAAGTGCTAAGAGAGTCCGCGATACGGGCGCTTAAGCGCGGGAACAACCTTCCAATATAGTAGCAGGCAGAGAAAAGGCAAGGAAAAGACGAAAAATAATACGTAGGGCGAGTCCAGAGTCCGTTCCACGACACTCCACTTCATCATTGCCTTGTCTGTGTGGCAGTTGTTAACCAAACTCGTCATATCAGTGCTGTGGCGTGGAGCTCACCAAGCGCTTTCTCGCCGCTAGGGTCATCATCGTCATTGTCGTCCGATACCTCCATCACGTCACATGCGCGTGTGGTTGGGTTCCCCGCGGCACGTGTGGTTGAGTTCGTCACGGCGCGTCCTCGTGCGGCCGAGTTGGTTGCAGCCTTGCGCGTGGCCGAATCGTCCGTCACAGCGCGCGTGGTTGAGCTCGTCATGGCGCGTGCTTGTGGGGCCGAGGCGGCTGCAGCACGCGCAGTCGAACTGTCCACCGCAGCGCGCGTGGTCGAGTTCATCGCGGCGCGTGCTTGTGGGGCCAAGTCGGTTGCAGCGCGCGTGGCCGAAGTGTCCACCGCAGCGCGCGTGGCCGCGGTGTCCGTCCCGGTGCGTGCGGCCGAGTCCTTCAAGTGCTTCGTCCTGACCTTTGCACGAGCTGCTGGGACACGTTTTCCACCCGCGATGCGAGCGGGGCCAATGCTCGGAATGAACACGGTGTTCGCAGGTAAGGCCTCAGTTGTGACAGATGTTCCCGACGACTCGTTGACATTTTTTGTGGCCTTCTCATCCACTTCAGGCAAATAAGAAGGTTTTAACAGCGACGGTATAGCGAGATCCATACCTGTCTTAGGCTTCGAGCCTTCAGAGGTGAGCCCTGTTGACGCTTCTATTGCCTCGCCCTCTTTTGACTCTTTGAGGCGCTTTGAAGGAAGCCGGGCACGCTTCAGGCCATCGGGCAGGACCTCACCTGCTGGAGACGCTGCTCTTTTCTTACCCGATGGAGGATTACGAGTGGGAGAAGACATGGCAGGTTATGGAGAAGGCGACTCAGCAGTGGAGAATTGCGAGTAGAGTGAGATCGGGAGCCGGAGCAGAGTGTCATACACAGTGTCCAGTCGCCTCACACGCATCCAGCGTTCAGCCTCCCATCAGGAACTGTATAGCTGGTGGCGTTCGGCCCGGCGCCTCAGCCTCGGGTGCTGCAGCCGCCCAACTGTGGCGTTCAGTAGCCCCACGGGTGCCAAGGGTACACGGGTCCTGTAGACCGCACCCGCACCCGTGAACCCGTGCGGGTCACCCGCACCCTTGGTGATCCCTAACTGCAACTCGACGGAGCCGCGACGCGTGCCGTGTCTCACGTGCCATGTGCACAGGCCGTGCACGCTCTCTAATCAGCCGCCCTGCCAGCCGGGCGCGCGCACGCTCTCTGATCAGCCGTCCTCCCAGCCGGGCGCGCGCATGCTCTGATCAGTCCTCCTCCTTGCCTACGCCCATCTTTGTCCAGCCCAACAAACCAGGAGCAAAATTACACCCGAACAGCTCGTTTCGCGTGCGTCCGCGCGGCACCCGCAGCTCTGGAAGTTGGAGGGCATAAAACCGTGGACCCCCACTGACGTGCTGGTGAGTGCCCACAAACCTTCAATCTTCATCTCCACTCTCACATTTTGCCCATGCCTTCATCACAACACTCCCAAGACATACCGTCAATGTGAGTGTTCTCCCACATCTCATAGATCATCCCTCCTACCAACCACATATCTCCCTACAGGCCAGACAGCTCTGCCCCACGGCGGCGCGAAGAACGTGGACGGAGCCGTCACTCGGATCACTACGACCGGCATCGTTCGAACACCAGCCGTGGACGTTCGAACGAGGGCTGGCATCGTTCGCACAGTCGCCGTCGGTCGTACAGCCGAGATTGTTCATACGAACGTCACGGCCGCTCGAGTCGTAGCCATCGCCGTCGCACCCGCAGCCGCAGCCACCATCAAAGCGCACGGACCCGGTCCGCTAGCCCTCATCCGAGTCGACAGGACGACTCGTCAGATCACAACGACGCGACACCCAGCCCCCACCTCTCTGTGCCTCCGCCTCCTCATGCCAGCACCGCGCTCATCCCATTCATTCCTGGTGCCGGAGTGAGTGCCCCGACCTCTGCACCTGTTACTCTCGCTCCTGGCGGGATAATAGCCTCTCCCCTCACCGCCACTATGGCTTCCACCATGGTCACCACCAGCAATTTCCCGGTCCCGGTCCCGACAGCTCAAGCACTCAGCATCACTATCGACCCGGTCAGGCTCAGGTGCGACCGCATGATAGCGGACATGACGGACCCACACTGGACACCCAGGTACGTCTCTTCATTTCACGTGGGCGTAGAATGGTTCTCATCCCGTACTCTGTGCTGAAGCGATGCGAACAAGCACACGGACACCGCTAGGGTCCACCATTTCGCGCGCATGATCCCACGCAACCACAGCCCCTTCATCAACGTCATCGAGGTCATGAGCTATGGCTGCAAGATAGCCGTGACCAAGGACGACAATGCGAAGTGGGCCGCCCTTCTAAAAGTCATGGTCAAGTCCACGTAAGTTGCTCTATCTCGTTTAGGCCGATGCTTACTACGTTGTCATGCAGTCCACCCATCGATCCCATCTGGATCATGGACATCTTCGAGGCATTTGCCAACAACATGCCGTTCATGTGGGAGATCGTCAATGTGCTGGTCTCAGTCCCTCAAGCTGTCATTCATTTTGCCACGTTTGTTCGTCTCAATCTACTATTCGCACGTGGGCATTGCTCATAAACCCGAGTACGTCAGGTTCAAAAGCATGCGGGACAAAGCCAGATCGCGGACCTAGGTAAAGTCAAGGAATCCTTACGCCACTTTGTCAGATCCTGGACCATCCGCACACCTGGTGAAGACCCCCTCGTCGTTTCTCCGGAGCCAACGGGGAAGCAGAGTAAGGGGCAGCTGGGCTTCAATTCGCTCTGGACAGCACGCCTTCTCACTCCCCGAGAGAGACTCAAGGAGTTTGAGAGGGAGCCAAACCAGTGAGTACACACTATAGTTCTGATCGCACCCTTCAAACCATACAATGATGTCGCCCGGGACAGCTTCTGTACCCAGGTCCAGCTCGGCCTGACGACCATTGACGCTAACTCGTGGCCTACCATGGTATATAGCGAAGACACGCCGTACAACCCCGACAACCGTGTTCAAGGATTCTTCGAGAGCGAGTTGCTCATTGGTGTGAGCCCTCAGATATCATTCCTTGCGCGACGACCCTTGCTAATTTCACTTCATCACGCCAGGTGTATCGCTCTCTCTTCACTGGACATCAAACCGCTTTCGGGCCCCCTGCCATCACTGGAAAGGGACGCGCGTCCATCTCCAGGGAATATGGCCTTTCTTCCGTGACTCGCGAGAGGATTGCGTACATTGCTACCATGGTGAGTGAATCTCAACTGAATCTTGGAACTGCTTGCTCACGCTCCTTTTCAATAGGTGCGTTTCGCTCTCAGCGACACAGCAGTTTGGTGCGACCTGCAGGGCGCTTTCAGTGGAAAGGCATTCTACGATCTCATTGTCGATATACTCGACCCCCAGACCGTCTTAGGTGCTCAGAAGCTCGCGTTCTGGCAGAGGTACTTGCCCACATTGATCGGCCACGTCATATCGTGCTCACGCTCTCAACAGGAAGGTGTACGGCAGCCAAACAAGCTTCGACCAGGGGAGCTCTGCCACGCCTGCTTTGAAGCGCGCCAATGGTTTCGCCAACGAGGCGGAACTCATCAAGGCTCAGTTCGTGCAGCAGCTCGTCGCGCATGAGGACGATAGGTCAACCTCCGGGCCCATCTAGTTCTTCATGGTCAAGTCGCCGCCAATGTCTCAACACATGGTGGCTGGAAGGGTGTCCGCTAGCATGCGTTCTGCTTCGTGTCCCTGCAACAACGTCCGAAAATTATTTACTTGTGTCTCTGTTGTACTCGTCTGTTGTCAATCTACAATCCTCGTCCCTACTCATCTATATGTGCGCGCGATTTGAACCGGTACCACCCTGAGCGCTGGCGGGATTCCTGGGACCCCTCGTTCCGGGTGAGCCCATCACAATCACTGAGAGGACGGGAATCAATTGAGATATCGGGGATACAGTACATTGTTCAGGATGCTCGCATGTATCCTACCGAACCTACTTGAATTACAATGAGATCCCGCATATCCCAGGACTAACACAAGCGGATCCTTATCACGCCGTGGCTGTCAGATGGTGTTCCCAACAAGGCACACCCCTTACCTCGCATCCCAGACATCCCAAGGATTATGGCGCTTGCAACCCAATCCTAAGGCGTCCGCGCTTTTGCTGATGTCGTCAGGCTCCCGGTGTACACCGCCCTCGTCCTCTACTTCACGATCCGCTTTCAGCCCATGCAGGCCATGGAAAATCTAGCACTCGCGAACGAGCTCGTCCATCGCCACGACATACGCTTCACGACGTCCGACATCAAGATCTGGGACCCGCTCATCCTGGACTCGGAGGAGGTAGAAGGGCACGAAGCGACCGTGTGCGCGCTCAGCGGATTCTGGTACCACGCGCTGAGCCTGAACATGGTGTATGGCGCCCCCCTCCACCTGCGCTCCAGAGAAGAGGACGAGTCTTTCTCGGTCCAGGTAAGCCCCCGCCGTGCCCCGCCGCGCCGAGCTGACCGCCCGCGCCAAACCCAGGTCATGCACCCCGCGCTCTTCCGGACCCACACCGCGCTCCTCTGCGCGCGCGCCGTCTTCCTCCTCCAGCGCTCGCAGCGGCTCGCCACGAGCCTCTCCGTGGCGCCGGCGACGCCCTGGTCCGCGCCGGAACAGCCATCGGAGTGGTCGTACGAGTACTGGACGGCGCTTGAGGAGACGCAAGCGCAGTGCTGGGCCACCTGTAGTCTCGTTCCCAGACGCTCTACGAGTACACCCAACACACGCCTGCCCCTATACGGTGATTATATAATAGGAAGGGGAGGGTATACCAAATTGGGAAGGGGAAGACTGAATCGGGAGAGAATGAGAACCGTGCAAAAGCTGAAACTCTCACGCGGGCGGGGCAGGCGCGCATTGGGTGTGCTCGTAGAGCGTCTGGTGCATTTCGGGCTCGGGATGTAGATACGTGACTTTGGCGGTCACTCCGATTTCCTCCGAGGTCCCGTTCTGGTAGCACCGTGACCTCCCGTGACCTCGCTGCCTCACCGCGTTCGATGCCGGCGATAGCGCACAACTCATCTGGCGCCGCCGCGATAATCTCTCCCCGCACCTGATTGTGTCCTCTCGACCTCGTACCCCACCTGCTTCCACCACACGTGCCCCTCGGCGACGATCTCCCTCCATGGATGAAGACTACGACAAAGCCTTTGGAGCGCGCGACTCGTATGAGACAGATATCGGAGCCGACTCGGATGGAGATGATGAAGAACTCGACGCGCTACTGGCTGAGTACCCCAGACCGTTCCCTGTACGTCCTGCATCCCCGCGCGTGTCTGTCGAAGACGAAGACGAGAACACCCTCTGTGTAGAAGACGAGAGATTTGTAGCTGTCTGGGGTGAAGATACACAGTTTGGCCCGCACACCGCCTCTGATAGCCCCCTCTGGTCTCCCCCACGATCTCCTCCCCCTCCCCATCCGTCACACTCAACTCCCGGCCCCGCAACCCCTCATAATCCCACCCCTTTCACGTTCGATCCCACTACCGCGCTCCTTGCACGTCTCGAAACAGATCCCGAGCCTGTCGTAGAGAAAGTTCGCGCTGTACTACACACAATGGCCGAGAAAGGCCTCAATCTTGCTATGTTTATGGACATGGTTTTCTGGGGCAACAAGGACTGCGTTTCCGATCCAAAGGTTCGCGATGAACGTCGTCATTTCTTCCATGGTCCGCAGTGTGCCCGCGTCCTCTCCCGGATGTGGGATCCTCCCACCCGAATGGAGCAAGCACCTGCTGTCCGCGACTTTGTCCTCGACTCTGCCGCATCGCTATTCGATCAGGAACTCAAGAAAGCCATCCCTCTCCTCTCCCCTCGGCCGGATCCTCTCTCTAAGGAGAGCCTCACCAGCGTCGACTTTCAGGATATCGGGCAAGAACTGCAGTCTGAAGACGCCGCCCCGCATCTGTGGACATTCCTCCATCGTCTCGCCTTAACCCCCCGGCAGACTCGTGAAAACAAAAATAAATTCCGGTTTCATGTGAGATCCATCCCGTACTGAGGCTGCATATATTCGGATGTCGCTTACATCGTGCAGGTTGTTCTCATGATCATTTCAATGCTCTCTTATTCCCGATCTAGTCATGTATCCCGCATCCCCCAGCTCTGGTCCATTTACCTCAAGTCCTGCGGTCTGTCCGCTCGCTCCTTTAACGCCCTTCATCTCTTCAAGATCACAATGTGTCACAAGTGGACTGCAAATGCATATAAGACCATGGCCACGACTGCGAAAGCTCATCAACTACGTGCCATTGAAGAGTGTCCGTTCTTCGGCTCTCACGACAATGTCAACATTCCTATGCGCGTTTTCTCTCAGCGTCTTCACAACCAGAGCCATTTCATAAACGCGACCGCAGGAACTATCTGGATCCTTCCTGAACGTGCTCGGCTCCTTCCAGACATCCGTACGCTGATGCGTAACACTTGGTTAGCCGGTTCTCAACAGCGGTTCAGTCTCTTCGACACGGTCTTCAGAACATCACCTGAGGTCCTCAAGCGTGTCAAATCTCAGGCAAAATGGTGGATCCTGCGCTTCCTTATCAACTCCCCCACTTTCACAGACTACCCTCACCGAAACGACCTTGTTCGTGCTGCCACACCCCCTCCTGTCGATCTTCTTCCCTGCGGTAAGGACAGCATCGTTGAACAGCACTTTCTCGAAACGGTTGAACAGGATGAGTCGACATACGCAGGGACCACCCGCCTCTTTGAGAAGGAGTGGCTTGTCCAGCTTGGGATATCGGAAGATGACGACAAGCGCACTAAGTCTGTCAAGCGTATCATCGCCTGGATTGGCGACCAGCTCACAGTAGAGCGCATGCGCATCCTTGCCCGCATCCGCCATGGCGACGTCAACTCTTTCGAGCGTATGGATTGGCTAGAGCCTCACTTTGGATGGTTTCACGCTCTCATGACAGTTGCGACATCTCTTCACAAGCAGTATCTTGGCACATCGGCTGGAGTCGGGCTCCGCAAGTGCTTTGAGCTCCTTGCTCGCAAAGGACTCATGAAGGCAGACACAAAGGGAGTCTTCTGGAACAACCTTGACGAGGCACTTTAGCATATTGGCGAAGCTCACTTCCAGGCGCTTTGGTGCGAAGTTGGGCAGGTCGACAGCCTGACTGAGCTCAAACAGCTCTCTCCTGACGAGCTGTTGACAATGTTGGACAAGTTGCACTCTGAGAATGTCACTCGTGGTGCTCTGGAGAAGTTTCGAATGGAAGATCGAGACATGGTCAAGGAGCAGATGATCATGTTCGGGATGGATACCCTCCCCTACTTTGATCTCCGTGAGGCAATCCGTGAAGGCGATGTTGGCCGCATGGAAGACCTCTTGCCTATCCTGCTCACACGCTTTGCTGGTGGGCATAACCACAAGTATGTCATTGAGGTACTCGAGCTCCTGCAGAAGCTCCACCGTGAATGGCCTGCCCCATTTCGGTATGTACATCACCTGGACCAATTTCAATGAGGGCACACATTGATCAAAGCACACAGGGATTACGTTAAGCACCACTGCTGGCTTATCAATCGCAGTGGAAAGCGGAACGGCTTCCTGCCTGTCGATCTTGGCCAAGAACAGAACATCCGGGACATCAAGGTCACGTAGAGATCGTTCGGGCCTGGTGCCAACTTCGAGTACATTCAGAAGGTCTCTCCTGCAATCCCTCTACTCCGAGCTGTCAAGGCACACATCCGTGACCAGTTTTCAACCATTCAAGCACGAGGCACCCGACACGGAACTCCCTCCAAGGAGGCCGACGTACAGAAGCTCGTGAAGATGTACATCACGTCAGGCCTACACAACCACGAACCGGGTCGGAAACCCAAAAGCGCACTTGACATCGCCACGGATCTGATGACAGCGGGCGCGGACTCTCTCAATTCGGACAAGCACGTAGATACCTGGTGGGACGGACGGTCGGTGAAGAGATCTGCAGAGGAGATCTACGCTATGAAAGATGATCCACGAGTGGCCGAGTCGAACCCAGAGATGACGCAGTAGTACACATGTTCTACCAAAGCACAACTGTACCTAAAATCCATCCCGCATCGTCAGAAACAAGACGAGCGTCAAGCGCGGGTACAGCGTCGAAGGGGAGCTGGAGTCGGGTCAGCAAAGAGAATCCTCGCAGAGCGTCAGTCCTCACGCACCATTGCCTCCCTGGGGACAACACGCGCGACGTATGCAGGTGCGAGCACCCGCGAGGTGAGCGCGCCCTGCACTCCGAGCACGCCTCACGTGGCGAGCTTGTCGCTACATGCCATCGCGCGCATCGGCGGCACGTCCGAGCAACCGGATTTGGTGCGGAGAACGACAAGGGCAGCGTGGCCACCGTCGAGCAGGTCCTTGAGGTCCTTCGGCGGCGCGAAGTTGCACGAGCCGTGCCTCATGTAGTACAAGGCCGTTCGCCTGCTTGTACAACTTGTTGCGGTTTGGCCTCGGGCACTTGAACGGCTTCCAGAGCAGGAGCGACGTCGCGGGGCCCGACAGCGTGGTTGACGCAGCTGCAGTGTTCGAAGACAAGGACGCGTGCACGTTGGGCGCGACGACGCGGTAGCCGGACTGGCTGGGGCTTGGCGATGCGACGCGACGGGAGACGGGGGTGATGTCGGAGGTGTTGCCCTGGCTCGTGGGTGCGCACGGATACGCCACCGCCTGCGCTCAGGGTCAGGCTCGGCGGAAGACGACGGGAGACGGAGAGACCGCTTACAGGGCATGGTCGAGCATGAGCTCGACACGCTCGTATGGTGCGAACTTCATTCGCTCATCCCGTCGGCCGAATGAGATCAGAGCGAGCCTAACACAAGAGCCATGAGTAAGCAGAGACCGGGCACCAAAACAGTAGAAGCTCACCTAGACCAAGATCTAAAACTCCAAAACATCCGAGGCTTGCGCCTCCTGGCTGCGAAACGTACCCAAACGGCGGGATCCCGGAGGGTGGTGGCGGCAGAGGGTGGAGAGGAGCCGCATCAGCGGCTGCGCTTGTTGATGCTGCTGCCGAGCTCGTCGAATCAATGGCCTGGGCAGTCTTCTTATGCCGAGGCCTGGGACGTGGTTGAGGGCCAGGAGGAGGAACGGGAGGAGCGGGAGGAGGAGTGGTGGAGGGAGAAAGAGAGGGAGACGACAAACGCCGGCGCGATAGACACCGCCAGGCTGGCGTTCTCCTTATCGCCGTCGAGCGCCCGTTTGCGCAACTTCCCTGTCTGCTTCCTCGCTTCCTTCTCTGCCTTTTCGCGCGCAATCCTCTCTGCCCTCTCATCCTGAACCCACTTCCTCTCCACTGCCCTCGCCTCCCTCTCAGCCTGTTTGCGAGCCCGCTCCTCCGCCTTCTTCTGCTCCTTCTCCTCTCTCTCCACACGCTTCCGCTCCTCCTCTTCCGCCTTGGCCCGCGCCTTCTCCTCCAGAATACGCAACCTCTCTTCCTCCGCCTCCGCCTCCGCATGAAGAATAGTCAAGGCTCTCTTTTGATCAAGACTGTGCAAGATCTGAAGGACCTCCGCACCGTGAACATCCCGATGGAGCCATTGGAGCGGGGCCAGATCGGCAGGCTCGAGGTACGTCGTCCTACTTGAAAGCAATTTGAGGATGGAATCTGGGAGGATCCCCGCTGGGCCGAAGGGTAGTTCGCTGTACAGAGCCATGTACACCCGTCTAGTGATCACCCCGGGTACGGCCAACCCTCACGGGTCCCGGGTATGGGTGTGCTGGGTCCGGGTCCAGGTCACGGCCTCATGACCCACGCACTAGCCGGGTAACCCGCGGGTGACCCGGCGGCTATGTCACGCTGTACTGAACGCTGCCATCTGGGTGCTTCGGGCCGTTCCCGTCACTACCATCAGCACGACAGGGGGTGGCTAGCGCCACCAACTGTACAGTTCTACAATTACATAATCACAAACCCCAATCCGCCATCCTCCGCTTGCTATCCTGAGCACCCCACCTCCCCGCCCGCCGCCCAGAATATCCTCTTCTTGCACTTCATGTCCGTATCCGAGTCCGACCCCCGGCATCCTGCTCCGACGCTCAAGCAAGCTGCCTCTCCCTCTGCGCCAGAGGGGGAGATCTCAGGAAAACGAGTCCGCACGCTCTCAGACAGGGCCCAGAAGATGCTTGAGTCTGAGGGAATGGTTGTAAGTTGTCGGGCTACTACTTGAATACTGCAGCAAATTACTCACCGAATATGACAGCCTGGTGCAGCCGGTGCGAGCGAGAAGCCTGTCAGCTACGCATCTGCTGCACGCACAAAGCCTCTTGGCAACGGAGGTGCTCGCCCAAAACCGACAACTGAGGCCAGCTCTGCTGCTCGCGTGGCACCTGGTCCTGGCTCCACCACCGAGGCTCGTGCGGGACCTGCACCCGCCGCTCGCGCGCCAGGGCCTGCGCCCGCCGCTCGCGCGCCGGGGCCTGCACCTGGCTCTGCCGCTGAGGCTCGTGTGGGACCAGCACCAGCCAGTTCCACTGCCCACGCGAGCCCTGTTCACATCTCGGAGGCTTCGACTGCGCTGCCCCAGTCCTCCTCCTCCACTCCACCTGGCGGTGCCGCCTCCTCCCCTGCTGGTCGCCCCACTGAGATTGCGAAGTTGGCAGGTGGCGGGAAGGCAGTGGGTGGTGGGAAGGTCGTAGGGGGCAGCGGGAAGGTCGCGGCAGGTGGTGGGAAGGTCGCGGCAGGTGGTGGGAAGGTCGCGGCAGGTGGTGGGAAGGTCGCAGCAGGTGGTGGGAAGGTCACGGCGGGTAGCGGGAAGGTCACGGCGGGCAGTGGGAAGGTCGTGGCAACTGGTGCGAAGGCCACGGCGACCAGCGCGAAGGCCACGGCGACCAGCGCGAAGGCTGCGGCGACCAGTGCGAAGGTCGTGGAGGATGGTGGTGGGAAGGTCGCGGGCGGCTTGGCGCGAGGTGTAGACAAGCTGGGAAAAAGTCTGAAGAAGAGCAAGAAGGCCGCATCAAAGGGCAAGGTACGATATCAGTCACCGTACTGTTTGTCGGAGGAAGAGGAGGAGGCTACGCACCGTGATGTGATCGACATCGATGATTCTGAAGACTCCAACGAGGGCAAAGACTCTGGCACTCCGGCCGAATCCTTCACCAAGGGGAAGAATGGTGTGCCGTGGTTCGAAGATGATGAAGACGGACTCAAGCAGCTCGGTAAGTACACAGTCTTGCATATATGAACATTTACTTACTGGTAATCGTTATGTACGCTGCCATGCAGCCGCCATGATGGGTCGTGGTTGGAACTCCCCGATCTATGGGTTCTTCAAACCCATCCCCAAGATCGTGGATGTCGGCGGACGCCGTGTTCACATCTTCGAGTGTGGAGCGAAGGGCTGTAAGTGTAACAAAAAGTTCATCAATAGGTTTCTAAACACAGCCGACGCAACTTCGACTGGGAATATGTTCCGACATGCGAGGGTCTGCTGGGGTGAAGAAGCAGTCAATCACACTATCAAGAACAGAATGACACCGGGCGAAGTGCGCCAGCACTTCGTCAAGAACGCGTCTGAAAACGGTGACATCACCACGTTCTTCGAGCGCAAAGGGAAGGGACCGGTAACTTACTCACATCGTCAACATACCCGCACGGAAGTACGGTAAGTCTTGCATCGTTGTTTCTTGTTATAATGGTGCCTCTAATGTAGCTGTCAGCGCCGAGTTTGCGAGATGGATGGCAGAGTCTTACCGGCCGTTCAACATCGTTAACGACGAACGCCTCCGGTCGCTGCTCAAGACTGGACAACCCGGATACTGGATCCCTTTGGCGACAACTGTGGCGCGCGATGTCAAGACTCTCTTCGCGTGCTCGCGCAACCGCTTGAGTCATATGCTGCGGGTGAGTGAGTATCTTGTGATGTTAGATACCATGCGAGCTTACCCGATATGATTGTGCGCGGCCAGAACTATGACGGCCAACTCAGCATCTCAACTGACTGCTGGACGTCGCCCAATGGGCACCCGTTCGTTGGTATCCTAGTGCACTTTGTACACAACGGAGATCCGATCAGCTTGGTGCTCGATGTTATCGAGGTGCCGAAGGTACGCACCTTTTGAGATCCAGCCCAATCTGACGTTGGGCAAGCGGCTGATTGATCTTCTCTATCAGTCACACACAGGCCAGACTCTCGGCGACACACAAGTCCGCATTCTGTGCGAGTTTGGTATCCAAGATATGGTTCGTGCGCATATTGAGCATCCTGAGAGTGTTGAAGCTGACTGTAAAACTCACCTAGCTCCTTGCTGTTGCATGCGACAGTGCCTCCGCAAACAACGCAACGATTGAGCGGATGGATGATCGTCTGCCCAAGTTCCGCGCGTCGACCGGACATGTACACTGCTTTGGGCACGTCATCCAGCTTGTCGGCTTCGGCTTGCTGAAGCAGTTCGAGCCTGTTCGCAAAAAGAAGACCGCGGAGGGGGAGAGTGAAGACGACGTAGAGGACGAGGACCGTGAGGACGAGGACGAGGACGAGGACTTTGAGGACGCAGCAGAGGAGAGCGAGGAGGAGGAGGAAGACGAAGAAGAGGGTGAGCAGGAGGCGGAGAGTGATGAGGACCTCGCGGGGATCATCGACGGCGAGGAATGGGTTGACGAGCTGTCCGGCATGACTGACGCGGAGCTCCGCGAGTATCGTGCCGCTCTTCGCCCTGTGTGCGCGATGCTGACCAAGGTAGGTTCCCACTCCTATGATCTGCTGCCAGAGACTCACCGGCCCGCGGCCTCGTAGCTCCGCCGTCTCGCCTATGCGATCAAGAATTCGTCCACGATCTTGCTTCCGGCATGGAAGCAACAGCTTGCTCTTCTCAATCAGCCGACTCTGATGCTTCGAAGAGACGTTAAGTGCCGGTGGAACTCAACATTCGACATGCTGAAGCGAGCCTTGCGCCTCAAGACTGCCATCAAGTCGTTCTGTGCGCCTGACCATGATCTCCACCCCACAGATCTTGAGAAGTACCGTCTCTCTAAGCGGGAATGGGTAATTGCTGAACAGCTCGTGGAGGTCTTGAAGGTGAGTGTTCCTGCACGATGTTTGTATCATGCGCTGATCATCATTCCAACGTCCCTGTCCAACACGTCTTATTGGCCGCATTTCCTCTATCTTTCCAACCTCTCCGCTGCCTTCCTCACTTGCACGCCCACCTGCTCGTCCGTCCGTCCGCACCCACACCCATCTGTCTGTCCGCACACCCGTCGGCCCATCCGTCCGTCCGTCCGCACCCACGTACGGACAACTTCTCCGCCCTCTTCCCACACGCACGACTGCCCGCACGCTTGTACGCTCGCATGCCCACCGGCATTCGCGCTGGGTGACTTGCCTGCCCTCTTCCCTCCACTCCCCACATACCACCCGCCCGGCTGGACACCTGCACGGCGCACACCCACCTGCTGCACACCTGCCTGCCACCTGGCGTCCACACGCCCGCACGACCACACGTACTCACACACACCGCGCACGCACGCGCGTGGTCAACTTCTCCATTCTCTGTCCTGCACGACTTGATTGCCCACTGCCCGGCGTCTGCATGCGCACGCACACGCCGCACACCACACACACCGCGCCGCACGCACGCATGCACACGGTCCCGGGTCGACTTCTCCACCCTTTTATCTGCACAACTGCCCGCCGCCTGCCCACACACCCACCCACACGCTGCACGCCTGACACCCGCGCACCAACCCACTGTGACCCACACGCATCCAAACACTCGCCATTGCTGTTGTTCACAGATATTCAAGGATGCAACGCTCTTCTTCTCTCGCGGCGTCCCGAATCTTGCCACCGTCATCCCTGTGATGGACATTCTCGACGAACACCTCACGACCACGCACCTCCCTGGCAGCAAGACCTCGAAAGGTGTCCCATACGACATCGCTGTTCGCCAAGCTCACGGCTTCGCAAAGCAGGTCTTGAACAAGTATTACGCGCTCACTGATTCGTCTGAAGCGTATCGGATTGCGATGGGTGAGTCCGTAGCTTAATCTTGTTAGAGTTATAGCTAACAAAAGTATGCGCAGTCTTACACCCAAGCTTCAAGCTTGATTACTTCAAGACTCATCAGTGGCAGGACGACTGGATAGAGACCGCGAAGACTCTCGTTCGCGACGAGTACGACCTCAACTACAAGCGCGATCGAGTCTCCGATGAGACGGAGATGGATGTCGATGAGGATCCACTGCGCAGACAGGCAGGTCGAGACAACACCATGGTATGTGCTCTCTACTAGCATGTGCGGTGCGACAAGCTCTCATTGTATTGATACAGGACAACGAGAATATCAATATTTTCGATAAGCTTCCCTTCCTTCCGAGCGGTGGCGACTCGATGGACGAAGACGAGCTCACGCGCTACCTCGCGGAGTCCATCGTGCGTGCGGAAGACCCACTCGACTGGTGGAGGTCACACGCAAAGCAGTACCCCTGCTTGAGCCGTATGGCTCGTGACTTCTTGATGATCCCGGGTGAGTTCTTATGTGTCTGGAATCGTATCTCGTTATTTACTGGCTGGTGTAGCAACTTCGATCGACGTTGAGCGGCTGTTCAGCCGTGGCCGACTCCTTCTGCCCTACGTCCGCAACCGGCTCAGCGCGCAGACGACCCGCGCGCTGCTGTGCCTCGGGAGCTGGTCCCGTCTTGGTTTCATCCGGACTGAAGACGTCCTCAAGGTGGCAGCCATGGAAGAAATTGACGACACTGACCTTTTAGACTTCAAGATGCCGCGCGGCTACGACAAGATCGATCTCTCGGGCCGGGAATAACATGTTTTATTGTGTATGTCCTTATCAATGTACTTCCCGCTTCCCACCCACCTTGCCCCTCGGTTCCGCACCAGTGCGCGCGAGGCACACCACCATTCCGTGTGCGCCGGCGCGACCACGCGCGTTGTCTCTTCCCTGCGCGCTTCCGCCGTACCACACGCCGCGCACGTTGTCTCTGTCCCCATAAGTACCTTGCACGTCATGTACTGCACATGTCATCTCTGCCAACCCCACGCGCCATCTCATGCACCGTCTCTGTGCTATCTCCAAGATATGCCACTCGCTCTAGACCCTCGGGTGACCCACGATGGGTCACCACCCATGCCCACCCATGTATATAGACGCCTACCCGTGATCGTGATGACCCGGGGGTCCGTGGGTCCGGGTTTTGTGGGTATGGGTCCGGGTCATGCTGCGAATACCCATGGGTGACCCATGGTGATCACTACACCCGTCTCCGCCACTGCTGCAGGAGGGCGACAGCCTCGTTCAAGTACACGCCCGTCCGGGTGATGGGCACCACAGATCGCCATAGCCGTGGTCTTGGGGCATCGGGCTCGTCCTGCGAAGGCTCCTCGACTGCGTTTTCTGTCCCCCCGGAATCCGGGTCGGCCGGTGGATCGACATCCATCATTCCACCACCCTCACGCTCGCAGTGGTCACAGCACGCGCCCAACGGGTCTGCAGAAGCCAGCGGTGAGTAAACGTCATATCGGTTATAGATAAACTCACTCTGATGGGGCGGATTGTCAAACAGATGATCTGCGACCTCACGACGACACTGGTTCTCAGGTGCTTCAATCCACGAACGTAAGTCGTTGTCGATTTCCTTCCTGTGCTGGACCGGATCCCCTGGCTCACAATTTGCCTTGTTCACCTCTTGGAAAACGGACTCTTGCACTAATAATATCGCTCGCGCGCGAATGTCCGGACGGCGTCCAGCACGTCCAGCGCGTTGAATCTAAACTGTAAGCGAGTCTGGCACCATGAACTGCACCACTAGCTCAATGTCTGGTACGTCGCAGCCCTGTAGTCATTCGGTCAGCGTCTGAAACTACAGGACAACGAATACATACCATGCGGCTGATTCGGTGGGGATCAAGATGTCGACAAACCCCCTTCGAAAGAGCTCAAAGGTGAGCCTCTTCGATAGGTCCCCGCGTTGGGAATTGTATTCCTTAACGCGATCACGCAGGCGTTCCAGAAGCTGATTGCGAAGCCACTCCCCCGCCTTGATGAACAGCGCAATGTCGTTGAAGAACATGATTGACCAGGTGAGTTTTTCTGCTCGCTCGGCATCTTCTGGGACGAGGAACCCGAGCTCCTGGATGCTGGTCTTTGTCCCCTTCATCTTCCGCACCTCCCAGCTGATGTTTGGGCGATCATTACCGAGGTTGAGGTGGAATGAGTGCTGAGCGGAGATATGGAGGGCATCGCGGACTTTCTTTAGGGCATCGGGGTCAGTGTGGCGGAGGTCGCATGGACGGGAACATGTAGCGGGACGAGAGCGCGTAACGCCTCGAGCTGCCCGTACTCTGGTCGGAAGCTATCTCCCCACTGTGCAATACAGTGCGCCTCGTCGACGATGATGTTGAGGATTCTCTTTGAGAATTGTGGGTCACTGAGCAAGGGCCGGAAGCGGCCGCCGGCGTCGAGGCGAAGCTCTGGTCCGAGTATGACGATGTCATACTTCCCTTTCTTGATGTTCTAGTGGTGACGTTACCACACGCACGCGTATGTACTGCCATGACGTTTACAACATACCTCGTGCATGCCATCATCATACGTCTCCCCATTTACGGCAACTGCGCGCAGCCCCCACTCGCCGAACTTCCGAGCCTTTCATCATCATGTGAGCCCTTCTCCGGTTCTCCTGGTTGATATACACTCACCTGGTCCAGTTCCAGCACGTTCAATGGAGAGATGATGATTGCGGTCTTCCCCTTGCGTACAAACAGAGGAAGTGCAAACGGAGGGTCTTCCCCATCCCGTTCCAGCCATAGAAGTCGAGTCAAGACCAAGAAGCATGCTCTCTGCGATGTCGAGCTGCTCCTTGCGCGGTGTGAGCTTGACGCGCTTCTGGCACTCCGTAATCATCTTCTGCCTTGTAGCAATAGAATCATATCTTGACCTCTTCTTGGCGTCGGCCCGAGCTTTGGTGAGAAGCTCAAATGATCGTGGGTGCCGCTTCTCGACAGCGTCTACACTGTGGGCGCCGGAACGTCGTCCCAACGTCGTCCATGGGCTGGGGAATATAATGTGCAGTGGAATATGCTCTTGCCTCTCGCAGTGCTACGTTACACGCTGTCGGCTGACTAATAGATTACATAACGATCAGTTGGTGACCGTTGTCACGTATGTGCATCCCGCGCCCGAAATGCACCAGACCCTCCGGCAAGCGGAGCGTAGCGCTGGAGGGTCTGGGAACGAGACTAGGCCACCTGCAGTCCATCCTCGTCCGCGCGTCGATCCCGCCGACGGCATCGTCTTCACGCTCGGGCTGAAGATGTCGACGATCGTCGCGCTCACCGCGGAGGCGGTCCTGCACCACTCGCGCCGCGCGCCGAAGCGGTCTCGCGCGAGATGTGCCTCGCGCGGTGCTCAAGACGGTCGGGATCGGGAAGACGCTGAGCGCGAGCGACTACCGCACGATCGACCCGCTCGCCGGGGTGAGTGTGTTTGTGTGTGTGTGCGGTGTGAGGGGCGGGTGCGCTGACGCGTCGGTCGTTCGTTCGTTTCGCAGCTGTGTTGGATCGAGACGGCGTCGATCGCGTTCGAGGAGAGCGCGATGTCCACGGAGCGCCTCTGCGCGACGAACTGGCCACGGCGCGTGCGGTGCTCGTGGGCTGCGTGCCGACGCTGCAGAAGGCGGTCCCGTACCTTGGTGAGCACTTCGGTGTTGGCTCTGTCATCTGTGGCTGATTGTACATTGGCCAGCGGACGCGCTCGGGCAAATCACTAAATCCAATCATTTGTTCAATCAGCAGGCGCGCGCGCCCTATGGTGACCGCACGTAAATTATCGAGGACAATGATACTATCTTATTGGCGAGTTTGTTTTTTTGCTTCCTGTTCAACGCCCTGGAGGGCCAAGCCCTGTGATAGGCGCTCAGTACAGTCATATGGCCAGTGAGAGAGAGAAAGAGATGCGTATATGGGACGGAGACGTGTCGGCCCTGCGGGGGCCGGTTATTGGCAAGTGACTCAATCGAATCTACCAATTTCCGACGGGCCGACGCCTATGTCGTGAACACGCTTAGTCAAACTACTGCTATCCCATACGAGGGGATGGACGACGCGGCATTAGGTCTACGTGCACTTGCGGCAAGCTCCTGCCGTGCCGACCAAGGGTCCGCGTCCTGGACTCCTTGACCAGAAACCAAGCCCAAGTTCAGGGGTAGAACATATTCCACCATTGAGATACGGGATAACCGAGACGCATAAGATAACGAGCGCTAGTTAGAGTCCATCCAAGAAGCGTGGCGAGGGGGTAAGTAGGAATGTGGTGGAGGCTCGGGTTAGTGTGATGTGGTGCAGTGCGTGGATGAAGTCCGTGTCTATCGTGTAAGTCCAGAGGGGGGACGGAGGAGGGAAGGGAGGGGAGAAAAGGGCGGCTCCTCGCAGCTTCGTGCGCGTCGTGGTCGTGGTCCGTCGTGGTCGTGCGTGAGGCAGTGCCGGGCTTATGAGAGCTTCGCACCGGTGTGGATCGCCATGGCGCTCCGTGCACCGAGATTGATGGTCACGTATCCGTCAGAGACGGTGTACCTAGCACGGGGCGCACGGCGGTCAGTGCCACAGTCGCTCGCGGCATCCCGGGGTAAGTACTCACGTCGTGCCCGTGCACTGGCCGCCCGAGAGCGCGCCACCGACGACATCGCAGTACTTGCCGTCGGGCAGCGACGTCTTCACCTTGACCGACCAAGTCGAGTCCTGGTTGTTGATCGCGACGTGGCCGAGCGAGCCTGCACGCCCACAATCAGCTCCTCCATCTCCGAATGCTGAAGAGGTGCTCACCACGCCCGAACGCGATGCGCTGTGACGAGCCGGCGGACCAGTTCGTCATCGCCGCGCTGCCGACGTTGTTCCGGAAGCCGACCATGCCGGAGATTGCGGTCCAGCGGTGTTGGCAGAGCCAGCCGTTGGCTCCGCCGTTGCCCGAGCAGGTGCCGTAACCGTTGTTCGGGCCTCCATCGTCGGTGGTCGAGTACGAGTAGCCGGAGAGCACGGTGGGAGTGCCGAAGGGGTGTGCGAGGGAGAAGACAGACGCGAGCGTGTAGGCGTTCTTGGCCGACGTGGGCTTGAGAGTGCCGGGGTTCTGAGACGTGGGGGTAGAAAGTAAGAATAGGTAGGCGCGCAGAAGGCACAGAGACATACACGCTCGGTGTCGTGGTTGGCGACGAAGACGTTGGCATTGGAGCTGGAAACCCAACCTAACGAGGGAATGAGAGCACGTTCAAAGTCAGCGAACGGAGGCGCTTACCGCGACCATCCAGAGTCTGTAGGTCGGAGAGCTTGGTGGTCTCAAACATGGCGCTTGCAAGAGCATCAGTGTACCGGAACCTAACACGCAATCAACGAAACATCCTGAAAGCATCATTCAAGATGCACTCACTCCTGAACGTCACCGATGGAGTGTACTGGTTCGGGTGAAGGCTGACCGGATCCGAATACGACCTCCTGCGTGATGTAGATGGACTTGCCGTTCTTGTTAATCCGCGACAAGATGTTCTGAATGTCGGCCACGGGCATGTCTGATTCCGTCTGTCAGCGAGGCATCATGAAGGCAAGCAGTGCAAGGCACTCACGCTTCGCAGCATCCAGGCGCAGACCATCAACGCCCAAGTTGATGAGGTCCTGGCCGTACTGGGCCAGCCGGCCGCGGACATAGTCGGTCTCGGTCGCAAGGCTGGGAAGCGAGACGGAGTAGAGCCGGTCAGCAGCACTCATGATTGAGGCCAAAAACGGGGACGCACTCGGCTAGACCGGCGAGCTCGCAGAACTGGACCTCGGTCGCGTTGTTGTAGTCGTTGATGCCGTGGTGGCAGGAGTGGAAGTCCCAGCCGGTGTAGGTGCCCGGGTAGACATACTTCTGGAACGAGGAGCCGGCAGTGCCCGTGCCCGAGGTCTGGCCCGACATGTGGTTCCATACGGTGTCTGCGGAGAGACGATGCTGCCGATGAGCGCACGATGGGCGAAATTGGGGGACGCAGGCGAGAGTCTGGGCTCTGCGGCGCGCGGGGGCAGTGCGAGGAAGAATAGACGTACCAACAATAACAAGCACGCCGGCCGAGTGGCAAGTGTTGATCATGCTCTGGAACGCATCGCGGTCGCCGTGTTTGGAGACGAGGTTGTAGGAGACGGCTTGGTAGTCCGTCCACCACTGGTTGCCCTGAATGTGTTCTTGCGGCGGGCTCACTGCGCAAGCGGCAAGGTTGCCGTAATGAGCTCGGGCCGCACAAAGACGCCCGAAGGCTGCAACGGGGAAGGGGCGCGGAGGGATGGACGGGGAACTGACCAGAGACGTAACCGTACCCTGCGGGACCGATGAAGTTCGTGCACTCGGCGGCGACGCTAGCATAGCTCCACTGGAACATCTCGATGATGACGGTCTTGGAGTTGGACGGCGAACGGGCGTCGTGGGCGTGGAGGTCACGCGCGGCATGGCGGGCAGAGGCCGGGGCGGGCGCGCAGGTGGCGGCGAGGGTGACGAGAACAGAGAGTGCAGACCAGGAAGGCATGGCGGGAAGGAGAGTGCGGCCTGCAAATGAGTGGGCAGGAGGTATCGGGGAGAGAAGAGAAGGAGGCGTGAACGGCTCTGGTCCGTCCGCCGTGCTTTTGTAGCGACGCTGTGACGCTGTGAAGGGACGCCCGCGACTGGAGCCGCCCGTGGCGAGGCTGTCGTCCAGTTGCCCCGATCATCGTCACCTTCCGCTGGTTGTCGCAGGTCCGTTCCAGACTTTCTAGGTTGCACGCCTTGGACAAACGGCGCACAACTTCGCTCAAGATGCCTTGAGCTCTGGGGATCGAAGAGAGCAGTATCAGCCTCGGAGTGAATCAACGCGGCACACACACAAGCACGCACGCTCAGAAATAGGCTAGACGCACGCACAATCCCTCAAACAGGAGCCACCCGTTGAGGAATGGTCTCAGTTAAAATAGATAGATGAACTGTATCCCACCCATGTCAGACCCGCTTGGAGCTCAGAGGTCCTCCACAGCCCGTAGCCAACGAAAGTCGGACTTCAGGGCAAATCTTTCACAGGCTTGTTGGTAGCCGTGCAATACGCCTTCGAGAAGCGCACTCTATTGCGTACGTCAGTCTATTGATGTTCATGAAACATGTCAGCTCACCTGATATAAGTATTCGCATGGTGTCTTCCGAGTCCCCGCACACGCCCAAGGAAAGGTGCTTATATGCGTCGGTAGAGGGAGTGTAAAAGCACCGTAAGGGCATGCAGTGAAGGTCGACGTGTGCTCTGCATATATGCTTTCCCCAAAATCTGCGCGACGAGTGGTATGCTGTGGTATGTGCCACTACTGAGCAACGTGTAGTTCACTTGGGCGGCTTCCCTTGAGGCTGTGGACGCGGAAGGGGGAAGCTTTTGGGGGGCAGGATGGGTGGGTGGTGGTGGGGCAAAGGAAACATGCGACAGTGCGCGACTTGCGAATCACGAATTGCCAACGTGATCCCATCAATCTTGAATCTTGATAGATGAGGGGATTCACGTCTTATGCTATGACGTCATTAGAGTCAGACACTTCATCGAGTATACTTGGTGTATAGGACACTACAGCCATTATCAGCACGACAGGCCTGTTTTTTTAAAACATCACACACAAGACTTTCAAGCTCAAACGAGTCCACCAGGCCTTACCCAGTCGACACCGTCGGGTCCCGGTCCTGGGTTAGGGTCACTACCATAGGCATGATGAGTCTCCGGGGTATGCTACCCTGGTCTTACTACCACCATCGTCGCTACCTCTCGTTTTTTATCCCCGCTATAGATGTTGATCTAACGCACTTGCGACGGCCTCAAGATTCACCTGAGGTCCACCACCCCCGGATCCTTACAGACGCGGATATCGCTTCACGCGCGAAGGGGTCGCTACGGCTCGCTACTCATGGGCAAGCGTCCCGTTGTGACTCCGCACGAATTCCTCTCTGTGTGATTACTTTTTGAACGAGCCTATCGATATGATAACGGCCGGAAGGTTGATTTTGTGTTGAAGATATTGGGGGGATCTCATCACCGACATGCGACAAAAGTTGGTTGGAGGCCGACTTGTGCAACGTGCGCATAGAACTACCAGTTGCACATCGACGTATGTCATATAGCCATTAATCCTCTGCTACACACGTGCCTACGCGGCCATGCTGACATTGAGATACATCTCCGGCGTCGAGCTCTGAGCGCTGGTCGAAGGGTAGGAGATCCCGGCAAAGTTCCAAATGATCGGCTTCTCGCGCGGGCCCGGTTCGAATTTGACCGCGTTCAGAAGTATGTATAGGACCATCTCTGCGCATACCAAGTCAGTATCCCGGACGCGGAGCTGCGCCAAGCTACGTACTCATCTCCAGCTGAGAGAATTTGAAGCCACTGGAAGCGAAATGAGTGAGTGATGCGCATGGACCCTTGTACATGTATGGAAACCTACATGCAGGCGTATCCGCCTCCGAGGAACGTCATCCTGCAGCCAGTGCGATCAGTCACACGTTCAGAGCCCATCGTGCGTGCGCACGCACAAATTTGCATAGATCCCAGGGATCCGCGCGTCGTCCACGGCCTGCGGGAGTGGTTCGAGCCAGCGTTCAGGTCTCCAGACCTCCGCGTCCTCGCCCCATAGGCCCTTGTGGGTGTTGCACGCTCGGAGGTTGACGAGGAGCGTGGTGCCCTTCGGGATCGGAATCTCCGTTATGAGTCGCCCGTCGACCCCGCGAATCGGATCGGACAGAGGGAGAATGGTGTCCTTCATAGCTCTGGCGGAAATCGTCATTATGGGACTCAGGAACCCCATATGACGTGTGCGGATCTTACTCTCGGGACGTAAGCGCGACCGGGGCAAAGCTGGCGATCGGGGATTTCAGTGGGGGATATACCAGCGTGAGTATCGATGGACGTACAGTCGTAGCGTCTCGCGGCAGATGGCGTCAAGGTAAGAGAGCCGGTTCAGGTCGTCGTACGAGATGTTCTCGCCAAACCGATGGTGGGCTTCGCGCAGTTCATCGCGCAACTTGCGTTGGACGTCCTGGTGCTCGGAGAGTAGATGGAGGGCGCGTGCCAACCCGTTCGAGGTTGTGTCTGTTCCAGCGACAATGAAGGTCCTAATGAGTACGTGTGAATCAGCCCAGAACGAGAGGATAAAGTGAGGCTCCGCGCACGCCATCTGAGCGAGCAGCTCGTCATCAGGCAACTTGTCGTCTTCGGCCGCGAGCATGTTCTCCCTCACTGCATAACGTCAGCCCACTGTCCTCGAGTGAAAGCACAAAAGACACCCACACAGCACGCTCATGACGTCCTTTCCCTCCCCGATCTTCATCAGCAGGTCTTCGTCGCCACGCTTCAAGGCTTCCTTCCGCTCGTTGAAGAGCGCGGTGCATCGTGCGGACACGATGTCGAAGTTGTTCTTGACACGCTGTACGCTCCTGATCGGAAGCCTGTCAAGTAGCCATCGACGGAACCGCATTGGACCGAGGTAGTCCGCATACGGCAAGAGCTCGCGCAGCGCGCGCACCTCCGAGTTCGCCGCGCTGGAAAACCGCCGTTCGTAAGCGAACACGAGCAGCGCGCGCACATCAACGCGAGGACGCACGAGAACCCCTTGATCGCCTCCGCGTACGCGTCCTGCCTGTCGTCGATGAGCGAATCGAAGGACGTCCCGAGCCCGCCCTGCCCAACAAGCTCGAGCGCCGTGCGCCCCATCCAGCCGACCATGTCGAGCGGTGCAGGCCCATCGCGGACGCGCTTCTCGAGCGCCGCTTTCAGCTGTTCGGGGAGTCACGTGTGCGTCAGACCGGATACAAGCGCCACAGGCGACGCAAGGTGAGGCGGCGGCACGCATACCTGCGCAGCGATACTACCGAAGACGGGCGTGAGCGCGCGCATGTGCGCCCCCGAGAACACGGGGTTCAACATCTTCCGCTGCTTCTTGTGACGGTCACCTGCGGTAGATAACAGGCCTGGGCCGAGGACGAGCGTGAGGAAGCTACGGAGGTGGTAAGTCGGAAGTCGGTGGAGGGAGGGCGGGGAACCTGCCTGGTCGTGACGACGCCCCGTGAGTAGCTCTCCGCATCCTTGACGAGCATGCTATGCAGAGCTTTGGGGTCGTAGACGTGCAGCCAGGGGACCTGGAAAAACCATCGGCTGTCTGTTCAGACACGAATGGGAGTGGTGCGTACCTGGAACATCCCTCTAATGCGAGCCACGGGCCCGTATGTGTCATTGAGGTTCTTGATGAAGTCCCAGCTGTCACGCGCAAAAATCTGCAGCAAGTTCCCTGGAAAACGTGTTATTGCTGGTATAGTAGTGCCGACAGACTCGGGACGTACCTGTGATGAACGAGCCTGAAGGTGGACCAGCGACATTGCTGAACGGTGGACGAATGACGTGGATGTAAAGAGCCCGGCAGATGGGGCCAAGCACTGCTACAGCAAGCAGAAAATACTCGAGGGACGGCATTGCAGTTGACGGACTGAAGGGGTGTGGAGAGGGCCGAGGTATGCGACTGCGCCTTTTTATGCCAACCGGCGTCCGAAGGGAGCGGCGACCGGGTTAGAGGATGTCAATGCCATTGACACGCTGCACCGAAGCAAAAACACCTTGACTGAGCATGGGGCCCCTTCCATTCAGGAAAGCGGACGTAATGAGCAGTTAAGCTCAGCCGAACGTGTGAGCGTAATCTCTGACGAAGGGACTGTAGGGCGGCAGGGTCCCCATCAGTAAATATGACATTACAATACGTCGCGCAAGTCGCACGAAATGGCCCACGCACCTCACTGTTTGCAGGTAGCACTGCTGCTGGAAGGTCTATTTGTCGCGTGAGCCCACACTCTCAGAAACTGTGTGAACGTCGGTATCAATTGGAGTGGGAGGAGAGAATTTGTGCGTCACACGTCCCAGCGCGCACCCTATCGGGCCGTGAGAGCAAACTCGACGATCCCGAAGTGTGGTAGGCCGGGCTGAGCGGCGTCACCATTGCTTTAGGCACTTCCACCTCCCACCTACAGCCACCTACACGCATATCAATGGAGGAAGAAAGCCGTAAATGCCAAAGGACGAACAGAACGACGATGGTGGATGGGATGAGAGACCGCCGGATATCGATTCAGCTACTTAGCCTCCAATACGGCGGCATACAATGCGTGGGAACGTAGTATTGATATCTAAGCGCCCGGGCGTCCCGACGTGGACAAGCGCGCGACCGGCCCACGGACTGTCCCGTCGTTGTATGCGCGCTTCTCGATTGTTCTGTTCGCTTTCAGATCTGTGACGAGTCGCCCCAGCTTCATGAGAGGACGGCTATGGGGCGACGAGCCCTCATATATATACACGCTCCAGTCCCTGGACATTCAACTCCGTGTCTCCCCTCAACATGCACCCTTCCCGTTCGCCCGTCTGCTCGACTCAGCCGTCCATCTCCCGACGCCCCCCCCCCCCCCCCATCCTTCTCTCCCACTCTCTCGCTTGTCTCTTCAACACTCGACGACATACTCCCAACACCTCTTCAACATCCAAGTTCAAACTAGCGCTCACTTCTACCTCAGCCGCCAACGTCAGATTCCTCAATCTCTCCCAGCGTCGACAAAGGCGCGTGTGGAGCAAGCGAACCGCGCCAAGTTACACCTGTAAATCAGGAAGAGCATCTCGTGAGCACGGCACCGGCGGCAAACGCACCTCCGTGTAGTCAAGCGTCTACATCCGAGGTTTTTCCGTAACTCACGTGCAGCTATCGACATCGATGCTGTCATCCCAACTCTTCCTTCCCTTAGCCTATCTCACAAGTGTCCACATGCCCTCGACGCCATGATCATAGGACGGCAGAAGAAGATGGCCGGCCGGTGACCATGTACAGCGCGGTCGCTTTCAGGGCAACTCCCAAACCGCGACGGTGCCCGAAACGACTGCTCAGCCAACGACTATCGCCAGCGTGCCGTTCTCTGTGGCAACAGCTCGTCATGTGAAGATTCGCGGGGTCGAAACTTGCAGTTGGCCTGCCATCTTGAATCACCCGGACGCGCGCCCCGACTGTCGCGGCTCGCCCCTTAGAGTGAACCCCTAGACGCTCGGATAAACCTCGGCGCAATCCCCATGGGGTATACCCTCATCCCTCATCCCATTCTGCTATAAGAGCCCTTCACCATCCCTTCTCATCCCACCTCTTCTCGCTGCGCGCATCTAAACGACGCGCACAGCTCTCTTCACGTCGCCCTCTCAACCATGTCCAGTTTCGCAAACGCCAACATCGAGGAGGTCGTCGAGCAGCTCACTGTTGATGAAGCCATCCTCCTAACCGCAGGTGTCGGTTTCTGGCACACCCACCCCGTCCCTCGTCTCGGTATCCCTGCGATCAAAGTCACGGACGGCCCTAATGGTACGTGCGTGTGTGTATTCTTTGCATCTCGCTGACCCGCTGCTCTCCATCAGGTGCTCGCGGGAACTACTTCTTCATGAGTACTCCCGCCAAGTGTCTTCCTAGTTCCACCGCGATGGGCGCCACCTTCGACACCGCCCTCATGGAGCGCGTAGCTCGCGAGCTCCTTGCCCCCGAAGTCAAGCTCAAGGCTGCTTCCATCATCCTCGGCCCCACCTGCAACACCCAGCGCAACCCGCTCGGTGGCCGCTCCTTCGAGTCCTTCTCCGAGGACCCGCACCTTTCTGGCATGATCGCTGCGGCATACTGTAAAGGTGTCCAGGCTGGTGGTATCGGCGCATGCATCAAGCACTTTGTCGGAAACGACAAGGAGAACGACCGCTTCGCGTACGACTCGATTATGACCCCGCGCGCTCTGCGCGAGATCTACCTGATGCCGTTCATGCTCGCGGAGAAGTACGCGAAGCCGTGGGCTTACATGACTGCGTAAGCTCTCCTCCTGCGCTCCTATCTCTGTCCGGGCGTTGACCGCGATTGCAGCTACAACCGCGTCAACGGAACGCACCTTTCAGAGAACCCCGCAATCATTCGCGACATTCTCCGCAACGATTGGGGAAGCGACGCGATGGTCATGAGCGACTGGTAAGCCCCTTCATCTGAGCTTCGGCTCGCACGTCGCTGAGCTTTCCCGCAGGTTCGGCGTGTACTCCATCGACGGCTCCATCAACGCTGGTCTCGATCTTGAGATGCCTGGTACCAACAAATGGCGGTCGCTGGATCTCATGAACCGCACGTATGTGTCCCATCTGATGTGTTACGCGAGCTTCTGCTCATCTACATGTACCTGACCAGGATCGCGTCGAGGAAGATTACCATTCGTACAGTGAAGGAGCGCGCGACCAAGGTCCTCCAGCTGGTCCAGAAGTGTGCCAAGGGTGCCCCCGAGGTATGGTGCTTCGATCAACCCAGGCATGTCACTAACCCTCCTCGGCAGGTTTTGGACGGTGACCATGAGGAGCGGACGGGTGACCGTCAGAGTGGCCGCGATATCATGACTGACCTTGCGACTCAGTCCATTGTTCTTCTCAAGAACGAGGGCGGGCTCTTGCCTCTGAAGCCCAAGGAACAAGGAATCAAGAAGATCGCTATCATCGGCGGGAATGCAAAGGCCATCGTCTTGAGCGGTGGTGGATCCGCCGCTCTCAAGCCCAGCTTTTTCGTGTCGCCCTACGAGGGTCTGGCCTCCGCGATTGGCAAGTTGGACAAGGATGTCGAGATCACCTACGGAGAGGGTGCTCGGGGTGCGCTATCTTTGTTTTTATTTCGGAACGACATGAAATTGACCGTTTCTTCAGCATACATGCAGCTTCCAACGCTTGAGAATGAGCTCGAGACTGAGGACGGCCAACCTGGCTGGACGGGCCACTTCTACTCACACGAGGATGATGAGAGCATGACGGCCCTGAAGGACCCGAAGGTGACGCGATACATCGATGAGACGCGTGTCTTCCTCAGGTACGTCTCCGGTTGTTGTTGTTACGTGCTATCGCTAACTTCACCCCCAGCATCGACTACCCGAAGGAGCTCACGAAGCGCTTCACTCTCCGCCTGCGCGGCTTCATGAAGCCGCGCGAGAAGGACACCGATTACGAGTTCGGCCTTCTCTCGGCCGGTCGTGCGAAGCTCTTCATCGACGGCAAGGAGGTCATCGACAACTGGACGCGCCAGATCCGCGGCGATGCCTTCTTCGCCACGGGCTCGACTGAGGTCTACGGCACCACGACTCTCAAGGCGGGCGTCAAGCACGAGGTCCTCGTCGAGTTCATGAACGTCCGCGCGCCCTCAGACTCGGACCCGATCGAGGCCCTGATGGACACCAACGCCGGCGTACGCCTCGGGGGGCAAGTGGTCGAGCACCCCGACGAGCTCATGGCCGCCGCGGTGAAGCTCGCGTCGGAGGCGGACGCGGTCATCGCCGTCGTCGGCCTGAACGCGGACTGGGAGACGGAGGGGTACGACCGGACGACGCTCGCGTTGCCCGGGCGGACGGACGAGCTGGTGCGCAAGGTCGCCGCGGCGAACAAGCGCACGATCGTGGTCACCCAGAGCGGGTCGAGCATCACGATGCCGTGGGCGGACGACGTGCCGGCGATCGTGCACGCGTGGTACGGCGGGAACGCGACCGGGGACGCGATCGGCCGCGTCGTCTCGGGCGAGGTCAACCCGAGCGGGCGCATGAGCCTGACGTTCCCCAAGCGGCTCGAGGACGTCCCCAGCCAGGGCCACTTCCACCACGAGCACGGCACGGTGTGGTACTCGGAGGACCTCTTCGTCGGCTACAAGCACTTCCACCACCGCGCGATCGAGCCCCAGTGGCACTTCGGGTGCGTTCTCTCTCGCACGGCTCTCGCTCTTGCTGACGCGCGCCGAACAGCCACGGCCTCTCCTACACGACGTTCGAGTACTCGGACCTTACCCTCACCGCGCCCGTCACGGCCGACGGCGACGTGCGCCTCGCGGCGACGATCACCGTCGCGAACACGGGCGCGCTGGCGGGTACGGACGTCGTCCAGCTCTACGTGTCGCTCCCGGCGACGTCCGAGCTGACGCACCCGCCGCTGATGCTCAAGGCGTTCGCGAAGGTGTCCGTCGCGCCCGGCGCGCGCGAGACCGTCACGCTCGCACTCGACAAGTACGCGGTCTCGTTCTGGGAGGAGCGCATCCGCCGCTGGGTCGTCGAGCCGGGCGTGTACCGCGTGCGCGTCGGCCGGAGCAGTGCGCCCGCGGAGCTCAAGCACGTTGCGGAGTTCAAGATCGCGAAGCGGTTCGAGTGGACGGGTGTGTAAGGCGGTATTGGAAGAAGTGGATGCGCCGTATGTATAATGTATCATATCGACACGGCCATGAATGCGTTTTTGGATTTTCAGATCTCGCCTTTGTGACGTGACTTGCGTGTCCAGTCATTGTCACTCGGTGACTGTTGGTGTTCTCCTCGGATTCAAAATGCGACAACCTAGCCACGTCCTACTCCTTCAATCACTTACCAAAGGTGAGCATACGCATTCTTTGTTTCATAGCTGATATTATGGTTTACCTCGCTCTTACTAGCATCCAATCATCTGGCCAACTTATCCACACAGACCTATTGGTGGAACATACCCATTTTCATGGTGGGAATATGCTCCGGGGATGCTCGAGTGTTTCATCCAATGCGGGGAAGACCACTGTGAACGTGCGTACTATCCATTCATCCATGCTGAGAACACACTCCTGTGCGCTGTTCCAGATGGTGCTGGCATAAGTACAGCCAAGCCCGCAGCGAACTTCGTTTCAAGCCTACTACCCGGTGCGCAGCCATGTTCGGCACCGTCAGGCTTCCACGAGTGAACGACATCTCATTGACGACCTTTCCGTGTCTAGGATCGCATTGTTCTTGCTGCGCATCTCCAGTGATCGGATACATATTTTTGGACCATGCGCTACGTCGAGGTCATCCAGGGTCATCCTGGTGCTGCGAATTACTCATCCGACGATCGCTCACGCAGTCTGAGCCGTTCGCTCTTCTCCGCGGTTCTTGGATTTTGCAGGCGTCCACGCAAAGGTGGGCGGTAGCAGGCGGGTATAAAGCCCACTCCTCGCTGCCACTCACTACATCTCCAACTCGCTCATTCACTCTACATTCTTCATTCGTCAAGTTATACTAGGCAACTCGTCTCACCCTTCCTAAACTACTTCAATATTTCCATCATGAAGTCTACTTTCGCGTCGCTCGTGCTCGCCTGCGCGTTGCTCTTCGGTCAGAGTAAGTTCCCCTATGGCTTCCGACACGACCTAGTACATGCTAACTTCCTTTCACTCCAGGCTTTGCCGTCCCCGTCAGCCCGCCCTCACCGAATGCCGCGCTCACTGCCGTTCACGGACCCCCCTCGGACTTCGTCAGCTTCGTCCCCGGCTCCGCCCCAGGCTCAATCGACCCCTCGCAGACCTTCACCTTCGCCCGCCCGAGCGGCGTCCCCTCCGGCTTCCCCAGCGACGCCCCGGCTCTCCCTTCGGGAATGCCCAACGCTGCCCCCTCCGGAATGCCCAGCGGCGCCCCCTCCGGAATGCCCAGCGGCACCCGGATGATGATGCCGGCCGCCGCCAGCGGCCAGTCCATGCCCTCCGGGAGCTTCTCCCTGCCTCCTTCCGGCTCAGCCCCCTCGGGCCCCTCCGGCGGCGCGTTCGACGGGCCGAGCCTCACCCCCCGCGCGGTCGTCACGGCTACCGCGCCCAAAGAAAGCGGGTGAGGCGCGGATAAGGGGTAGCTAGAGCAGGAAGTCGTAGAGGGGGGAGGCGGGTCATGGACGGACATGTTTACCTCGGATTGCTCGTATGCGGTAGTACTTTGCGTCCTTTGGTTTTGCAATCCACCCGCTGTTTGACGTCTCTCGTCCTGTTCGGCGGGTGTGCCATGCTCACTTGTTCGAAGACAAGCGTCGTGGGACTGGGAACACAAGGGGTCTTTCCAGTGCCGTTGGGCGGTACGACTGCGCGGAAAGTTTCACGGCGTCTTCGCATCCGGAGGCAGGATGAGCACTTCACAGATGAGGAGGGAATACATCCCCTGAGGAACAGGCACCGTCGTTGACCGGGATCTGAGGCATTTCCTCCCAAGCACCGGGAGCGACGTCCCAGAGGAAAGCCTTATCGCAGGTCGTGGGCTTCCGCCGGGAGATCGGAAGGACTCGTGGTCATGTACATCTGTATAACTGCCGCGGCCTCACTTGAAGTAGACCCATAGCGTCGATGTCGACCTCTATATCATGAACAGTGATGCCGCACATCAGCACAGCTGCCCACGCGACTCTGTGCGCATTCAACGGGACCGAACAATCTCTACAAAGTGCTAGCGATATAAAACATACTAAGTACATCCGAGTCTCTACGCGAAGGCTCCGAGCAGCGCCGCAGTCACGATAGACGAAAGCAAGTTGACCTAACCGAGGTGAGCGCAAACGCGTCACGTTCACGCGCTCGACGTACCTGGTTGTTCGTCAAGAGGTCATAACCACTGATGATCTTGACGTCCGATCCGGGAGCAGGAGCGCCGGACTCGTCAGTGACAATGCGGTTGGTGGTGTTCAGGAAGCGTGTGCATTGTACAGTTGCGCCGAGCAGAGAGTCGAGCTGCGAATAGGATGTGGTCAAAGTGAGTTGGGATACCTCGGGAGCATGGAATGGGGACGTGAGGCAATCGCGGACAGGTACAACGGATGATCGAGAATAAGCCGCTGAGTCGCCCAACATCGAGGGAACGATACCCAGGCACTTCGTTCGTTCTACAGGCACATCTTTAGAACGAACGAACGACGGCCCGCCATGCGGCAGGGAGTCGGTTGCACCGGAGTGTGTTCCGCTACAACAACTTCCTTCTCGCTGAACATTGGGAGACGGGAGAAGTGAGATTACAGGCCATCAGAAATGAGTCTGCAGTGCTGGTTCCGTAATAGGGGCACCCACACTGCTGCCGTTAAGGACAATACCGAAGACAAGATCTCGCGACCGAGATATCGCCTTCGGCGTGTGCCCAAGTACACAATCCACCCATGCTCCAACCATCTCAAGGATAGAGTCTCAAACTCGGTCCTTCTTGTGCACAACCCAGACAGAAACGCGATGAATGCAACGACAACTCACCAGAGAGCCGAATCCGCCGGCAAACGTTCCCCACAGGAGAAGGGAAGCCACAACGTCCGTCCACTGCGACTGGCACGCCGGGCTCTGCCAGAGCAACATCCCCGCGACGGTGAGGCCCATGAGGGTCCCCCCCGCGAGCGACGAGAGGGTGCCCACGGTCGACATCCCGCCGTTCGTCCCCGGCGGCACAGGCTTGAGCGTCGTGACGAGGATGGGGGGAGTCTTGGAGAGGATGCCGAGCTCGGACGCGAGCGTGTCCCCGAGGCAGCACGCAAAGTGCCTGTGCGCCCCTCGCGCGTGAGCCGAGCCCACCCCTCGCGAAGATCCCCAGCGGAGACACTCACCCGAGCGTCGCGAACAGCAAGGTGCGGCTCCACGCCGCCTGCGGCGGGGGCGTGAGCGGGCACCACGCGTCGAAGTCATGCGGCACCCGCAGCTCGCCCGGGACGCGCACGCCCGCCGCGTCCGCCACCGCCGCCACCCACGAGCCCGGGGCGTACAGCGCGCTCCATAGCAGCGCGGCGGCGGCGGCGCTCGCGGAGTTGCAGAGCACCTGCGCCGCGGAGCGGTAGCCCGCGTCCTGGTGGCCCTCCTCGAGCTTGTGCTTGAGCGCCTTGCCGACTTGGTCGCGCGCGAGCCGGTGAGGTAGAAGACGATGAGGGCGACGCCGAAGGCGGAGAGCGGGACCGACATCATGGTGTATCCGACCGCAAAGGCAGCGCCGGCGCCGGATGGGGAAGGGAGCCTTTGCGGAAGCCATGGCCGGCTAAGAGGACGGCGAGGAGGAGTGGGATGTCTGTGGGGAAGGGGGGCTTGGGCATGATGGTGGTCGACGACGGGGAACTGGCGCGAGGGTCATGCCTAACGCCGAAGTAGGGAGCAAAGGCCAGGTGGCCGAGTCCAACGCGTCTACTGGCGCGACGCGCAGACACGTGACTTTCGACTCTTGACTCGCAAATATCCTGTTTTTCTACCAGGTGGTTCACCCACCGTGCGTGAAATCACTCGGGATGAATGGCAACACAATGCATAACAGAAGACCCATGCATCCGAGAGAAGAGTAAACAGTACAACAGACGAGGGAGTGCGAGCGAGTAGCGGGTTCAAGTGGGGTGCGACACAATGTAACGATGACACGCTGGTGTCCAAGTCCATGCGCTAAAATCAAAACCATTGTCCAAACACTCGAAGCAAACCCTCAGCGAAAGCGAGAGCGGCTCTACGAGAGCTTCGCGCCGGTGTGGATGGCGACCGCGCCGCGCGCGGGGACCGTGCCCTGGAACTTCCCGCCCTTGACGGTGAACTTCCAGTAGCCCGAGCACTGCCCGTTGGAGAACAGCCCGCCGATGACGTCGCAGTAGACACCGTCAGGGAGCGCCGTCGTGAACGTCGTCGTCCAGTCCTTGTCCTCGTTGTTGATCCCGACGAAGCCGTTGCTCCCGCGCCCGAACGCGATCTTCATCGACGAGCCCGCGACCCAGTTGTTCATCGCCGCGCCGGCGACCCGGTTCCGCCAGGCGACCATGCCCTGGAACGCGACCCAGCGGTGCTGGCACACCCAGCCGTTCGTGCCGCCGGTGCCGTCGCAGGTGCCGTAGCCGTTGTTGGGCGCGCCCGCGTCGTCGTTGCTGTACTGGTACGAGGAGATGATGCTCGGCTGGCCGTAAGGGTGCGCGAGGAGGAAGACGTTCGCGAGCACGTAGCCGTTGTGCGGCGAGCGGGTGAAGCTGAGCTGGTTGGTGTACTGCGATGGGAAAACGAGTCAGAGCGTAGTGGAAAAGACGGGATGAGAACACTCACGCGCTCGGAATCGTGGTTGGTCACGAAGGTGTTGGCCTGGGCGCTGGGGAGGTAGCCCTTGTTATCGAGGTTTTGGAAGTCGGACAACTTCCTGACGCCAGTCATGAACACATCGCGGATGTCGTCGCGCAGGGCGAATCTATGACGACGATAAGCGACTCTGCAAGTTATTAGGCTCATGAGAAACGTACTCCTGGACGTGACCTACAGACAAAATGAGCCCAGGTATGTCAAAGAAGGTAGCAATGAACTTACCAATCGCGAGGTAGTCACTTGGGTGCAGCTGCTGCGCGTCTCCCTTGATGACCTCCTGAGTGATGAAGATGTTGCGACCTTGGGTGTTGAGCTGGGACACGATCGACTTCAAGTCGGCAACAGGCATGTCTGTGTCGAATGCGTCAAAGCCACCCAACCTACGAGCGTAAAGGACAAGACTCACGCTTCGCAGCATCCAGACGGAAACCGTCAACGCCGAGGCTGATGAGGTCGCTTCCGAACTGCGCGAGTCGGCTGCGCACGTAGTCGGACTCCGTCTTCAAGCTGAGACACGCATGAGCACGGACGGCGGCAGTAACGGGAGGGAAAAGACGACTCACTCCGCCAGTCCGAAGAGCTGGAAGAACTGGAGCTGGGTCAAGTTGCCCCAGTCGCTGATGCCCGCATAGATATCGTGGAAGTCGTAGACCATGTACGTGCCCGGGTAGTTGTACTGGGTGTACGAGGACCCACCCGTGCCCGTTCCAGACCCAGAGGTCATGTGGTTCCAGATGGTGTCTGGGCAGACACGCGCGCACGTTCATCGCAGGTCGCAGAAAGCGCATGACGAAGGGGGACTCACCGACGAGGACCTGGACGCCCGCGGCGTGGCAGGTGTTGATCATGCTCTGGAACTGGGAGCGGGTCCCATGCTTGCTGCTGATCTGGTACGAAACCACCTGGTAGTCCGTCCACCACTCAGTGCCCTGGACGTGCTCCATCGCCGGGCTCACTGCATGGATCCCAGTCAACCCTCCGGACGCCCCAAGACCGCAACAGAGAGAAACTCACGCTGGACGTAACCGTACCCCGCCGGCCCGATGAAGTTGGTGCACTCCGCCGCGACGCTGTCCCAGTTCCACTGGAACATCTCGATGATGACGTCCTTGGTGCCGGAGGCCGCGGTCGCGACGAGGCTAGTCGCCTTACTCACGTCCGCGACGTTCTCCACCGGCGCGGCGGTCGCGCTCGCGGACGCGCTCGCCGTGGACGAGGTGCTCTTGGTCTTGTCCATGTGGATCCTGTGCGCAGCGCCGCGTCCGGACGCCTCGACCGCGGGCGCAAGCGCCATCGCGAAGGTCGCGAAGAGGGAGAGCCGAGACCAAGAAAGCATCGTGCTGCTTTTCTGAAGGAGCGTGGGGGAAAAGAGTGAGGGGACCCGGGGTGGGTGAGAGAGAGCCTCTAGGAGGAGGGGGAGAGTGCAGGGCAGGAAGCCTGGTGAGCGATGTGACTGACCTGGCCGTGTCTTTATGGAGAGCCAGGTACGCCAGCATATGCCGCGCCGCGACGGCCGGGTTGAAGGATTACGCAGAGACTGGCACCGAACGCGGAAGAAGGAGCTCCTTTCCGATGGAAAGTTGCGATGATGGCCGCCGTGCCCAACTGTTCAGAGCTCTCTGAATTCATGACGCGGGCAGGCATAATACCACCGAGGCTTCAAAGCGTGCTGCAGCAAGTCCGCTACAAGTTGCTCATTGCCTGTACATAGCAAATGAGTGTTTTGAAGCGGAGAGAGCTCAGAGCACCATAGGACGAACGAGCGAGCTGGAGGCGCAAAACTGATGACGGTGTTCCTGGATCGGGAGTGAGGCCGGCGACGCGGCTAATCAACCGAAGGGACATTGTTACCCGTTCCGCTGACAGTGCAAGAGGAGCGGAGTTGTCCAGAAAGAAGCTGGGGGGCTTGTGGTTCAAACGTTCATGTCCAAACGTTCAAGTTGCACAAGTGAAGGAGCAAAAGGAAGCAGCGCACAGAGATTGCGTTCAAATCGAACAAGGCAGGCCGCCGCGGGAGAGCATCCGGCGGCCCGGCGCTGGCGCCGGCGCCGTAAGCCAGCGTCTCTTGCGGATCCCACCACATTTGGAGCCGCACCAGTGTAGGCGGCTTATATTTATCACTCTCGCTCAAAGGTCTGATTAAAGAAAGACATAGCGGGACTACACCTCTGCGGAGCAATGCGTGGCGATTTATCCCCAAACACTTCGGGTAAAGGCCGCCTCCACAATTGTCCCTTGCTAACGAGGCCCTTGTCCGAGGTGAAAAGTATGGATGCGATAACAGATGCGATTGCGACGTGCGAGAGAGCGTACAGCATGCAGGCGAGAGTACTTTCCACTATCTAAATGTCCCAAGTTTTGAACAGTACAGATCCCATTACAGAAGCGCGGGTGGCTCGCTCAGACTCAGAGGCCGACCGCGGAGAGCAGCTTGGCGAAGTTCGGCGTGCCGAGCCCGGTGACCGGGTCCCAGCCCGCCTTCGCCGGGAAGCCGTTCGTGCTGCAGCCGGGGTTCGAGCCGGAGGTGACGTCGTTGAGCGCGGCGGCGCCGGCGGAGGAGTAGAGGAACGGGTTGAGGAAGCCCATCGGGCTCTTGCCGGCGGCGACGAGGCGGTCGTTGAGGAGGCCGACGACGGAGGCGAACGACGGGGACGCGCACGAGGTGCCGTCGACGAGCTCGGCCTGGCCGTCGACGACGATCTCGAAGTTGGAGCCCTGGGCGGAGACGTCGGGGAAGCCGCGGCCGGTGGTGTTGAACTTGCCGGAGTTGGTCGAGCCGAGCGCGGAGAGGTAGGTCTTGATCGACGCCGTCTGGTAGCTGGGGGCGGCGAAGTAGTTCGAGAAGCCGCCGGACGAGTACGAGGCGGCGGCCTCGGGCGAGATGCCCGTGACGGCACCGACGGAGGTCATGCTGGAACGCATCGCGGTGAGCTTCGGCGAGAACAGCTATGCAGGAAGTTGTGCTCACAAGGGGCAGCCAGAGGGGAAGGTCGGGACGAAAGTGCGGCAGCTCTGGGACTGGGAACCGGAAACACCACCATCACCGGAGGCGAAGAGGATGGAGACACCGCGGGCACCGAGCTGCGCGTACGCGTTGCACAGGGTGCTGCGGAAGATCGTATTTAGTTTACTATCGAGGACGGGTTAATGTGTGACTTACTTGGCAAGGTTGCGCGAGATGGTGCTCTCGTCCTGACCGTAGCTGGTCGTCATAACCGCGGGAGGAGCGTCCTCGTCAAGGAGGAAGTTGACGATGTCGAGGAAGCCCTCGAGGTCACCGTCCTGGAAGTTCTCACCAACAGAAATGAAGACGGTGGGAACACCGGTGGCGACACCAACGGTGTACTGGACGTCGAGGTTCTGGGAAGGATCTTGTCAGAACGTCATCGGTCGAAAGACATCGAGGTTGCCTCACAGCCTCAACGCCAGCCTGCGAGCCGGACTGAGAGTTCGAACCGCCGTCAAGGAGCTGGGTGGTGAAGGTGGTCGACGAAGAGAGATCCGTGCGCAGCTTGGTCAAGAAGGTCTACGAGAAGCGTGAAGGTCAGTTCAAACGCGCAGGCGAGAACTGGGTGAGGCGCACCTTGAGGTCGGCCTGGTTGGCGAATTGCTCAATGAAACCGGAGACAGCGATCTTGTTCGAGGACTGGGTGGCCTTGGTGGTCGGGATCCCATACAGCGCCTGGAGGCAGGCCGGGGTGATGGTGCTCTTGCACGACGAGGGGACCGCGCGCGACGTCAGGGTCTGGTTGGAAGCGAGGTCGCCCTTGAACGGAGAGGCGAACACGGGGAGGTGGCTGTTCGGGCTCGGGAAGGTGATCGTGGGGTGGACGAGGTCGAGGTGGTCCTGGAGTTCGGCCGGGATAGAGTAGGAGAGGGTGCGGACCGCCTCCATGCCCGAGTCGTCGTGGGTGAACACGGTGAAGTCGGCGTCGAAGAGCTCGTTCGCCTTGCTGACCGGGACCTCGAACGACAGCCAACTGCCGGTGGAGGTGGTGCTCGTCGCGGTGATGTCGTTTTCCGCGAGCCACGCGTTGACAGCGTCGATGCTCTCCTGGGTCGGGGCAACGAGCTCGTTGACCTATGAAGCACAGCGATCATGAGCATAGTCTACGTGTCGAAGGTTGAAATGAGCGCACCTCAGCCTTGGAAAGGTGCTTGCCGTAATTCGCGCTCGACGGGGTCGAGACGTCGTAGAGACGGCTCTCGAGCTCGGGGAAGTTGCTCTGGGTGAGCGCGATCCTGAGCTTGAGAGTCTGGTCGGGGCTCGCCGCAGCCTTGACCGAAAAACCGCTGGGGACGCCCTCGCGGGTCTCGTGCACCTTCATGCTGCGCGCCATGGGCTTCCCGAAGGCGGCGGCGATGAAGAGAGAGGCAATAGCGAAGCCGGTGGCGACCATGTTGGCGACGACGAACGGAGGGCTAGTTTGGTTGAGGGCTGGAGAGCTGACTCTAGACAGGACCTTGGGCTTGGAGAGGATGCCTCTCGTGTGCGCCCCTTTATACCATGGCGATTAGAAGTCCCGTCGTCGTTGCGGGCGGTGCGGGTCAATGCACGCCGCGGAATGGCCGGTGTCGAGGTTGGCAATCGTCGTCGCCCACATGGTGTCATCAGCGATTTGCGCGACGAGGTCTCGAAATAGTGCAGACACGAGCTCGGCGCATGCTGTAGGCCGGGCGGTTGAACTTCCCCGCGTGGCACGCGCGAGCGGGGTCAACGAGAGACCCGCGTCATGAATGGGATGACCGTGCGGTGTCTGATTGCCCACATCGTGCATGTGCATGTGCCGGTTGCGGGAATGGGTCCACACCTGCAGGCTATTATTAGACACAGTCTTGGCAGCTCCGGGACAAATGTGTGCGCACCGCAGGGTGGCCACCGTCAAACCGCGACATTCGTGTCTCCAGATACGCCCGAGGTGTGATTACAACGCGTGCTGCGCCCGCTTCTTCTCCGAAAACCACATGGGATGGGCGGGTACTGAGAAGAAGTCCTACGAATCCGGCAGTGTGGTCGCTGTCCTCAGGATTGAAAGCGCATCACGACCGCGTTAATTTGGACACTCTTATCGTGGAAGTCGAATACTCTGCCTTCACGATCATGCAGAGACGTATCCCTGTGTGCGACACAGGGTGATATGTTGAGTATGTATGATGAACGGGATGATATCACATGACGAGTAGATGTGGCTTACGCTTCTGCGCCGTTGCTCGTCGCCGCCGGAACAGATGGAAATATTGATCAGGCTGTCCGCAGGGGCCATTCGGAGCTGCTTATTTCAACAGCTCCCGTCCTTGACGACATGCGAAGCACGAGCTGCACGCGCGACGACCTGCGAGCGGTGCTCTCCATGCCTGGAATTGTTATCTCCGTGAGAGCAAGGAATTGGGAGCGCATGCGTCGTGTGATAGTTGAGGCCGAGGATGGCGAGGAAGCAGCAGGGGACCGAAGTCGAATCATCTTGATGCGACATGAAACTTCCCCGAGTCGGATAGCGGCGAGGTCGCGTGGAGCACGTTGCTAACAGCATCTGTCAAGACGGGAATGTGGTCTGGGTAGCAGTAATAAAGCCTGCAGACTGGCTGCAGGGAGCAGTGGTACGGTCGAAGAAGAGGACGGAAAGGGCATGCGGCCGTGTGGATACGATCATATTTCGTAATTCTTTTCCACGATCAGGTGCGGATCCGGGACGCCGGGCCGAGGCGCAGCGCCAGGTCGCGACGAGGCATCGACGATCAGCACGACGTCGGAACCTGAAAGATATCCGAGCTCATGATGCGCGCATACGCCTCCCAGTGGGCGCGCGGCGGAGAAAAGAGCGTGGAGCCCACCGCGAGTCCGTGAGGGGCCGACCACCATCGCAGCGGCCTGCGAGTCGGAGGGTTGCAATCAACCTCGAGCTCTTTCGCTTGGCCGGCCGACGATTCAACTATGCATTTTATATCCCGAACGGACAGGAGCGTTTCACCAGTGTTTCGAATCTTGAACTTCGAACACCTTGGCATGCCGCCCACCGGGGAAGAAATCCCGTAACGACGTAAATCTTGGCGGTCTTCAGGAATTAGGATGCTCTGAGAGAAGCCTGTGACGGAGGTGAGCGAGAGGGTGTCGACATCGTTTGGATCCACGCCGCCGGGGAGAGTGAAGGTGCCGATATGAAATCCACGTGGCAAAGAGCAAATTGAGCTCATCACATGCGGCCGACCACATTTTGCGGGAGGCGAAAAGGACAACTCCCACGTCAAGTCCTTGCCCAATGTCCTCGTCAAATTGCAGCTTGAACGCTTCATCTCAGCTTGTTTTCGAACTACGAGTCATAGTATCTGATATGCCCACGATGTTCTGGGAGGAAACCAACGGTAGCAAGTGCGTATGGCTTCGACACTTTGGAAATGGAAGGAACGACAGTGAAACGTGTATCAAGGGCGGTCCTGGCCATATACGAGCAGGTCAGGTGTGACACTGATAGTCCGCGATACAAGGCTTACAAGAACAGGCTGATTAATTGATTATATTCGTCAGTCGAGTTTCGAATGGAGTACTGGTGCAGGCCATCCATCCGAACTGTCGACTTCCCGTGATCAAGAGGCTTGATCGTGCTCTCCATCAAACTATGGCGTCACACCAGCGTCTCTTTGGAGTTATAAGGCGCGGGATAGCGTACCCTGCAAGCGCCGACGTTGTAGAAAATAGGTGTCGTGCGGCCGAAAATGCAGGATTGAGCGTGCGCTGCGGACGATGCTGATCTCGGTCGGGAGTCGAAGGAGTCCGGGACCGAGAATCAAGTATGTGTTCTAGAATGTAGCGAGGAGACGTACTTGAAAGATCCCCTTCGTCTCCGCCACGCGCGGCCACCATCTACTGCTGGTGGCGCAACATGCCCGATCTAGAACCGAACGGGTGGGATAGCCACAAACGATTGACTCGCGCGTTGTCCAGTGGGCGCAGTTTAGACCTGGATGCGTTATCGACAACTCTTCCTAACTGATTCGTCTCGTGCAAGTCTCGTGGGGCCACGAGCGATGGTGTGCTCAGCTTGGCGGAAGAAGTCAAGCGCTGACTATCGATATGTGCGTGTCTGCTGACATGATGGAAGCTGATAGTGGCTCCTGTTCCTTCCGTCATGAGGTGGGTCCTAGCCCTCTATTGAACACGACAAGGTCGTGACCGTCTCAACAGCGAAGTAGCTGTCGAGATGGCCGCGCACGATACAATGAATGAGGAGCGACAGAAAGCTGTTCTGATCTTCGAGAGCGTCCGCATTACATCCGAACTTCTTCGGAAGCGGAGACCAAGTACCTTTTCAGTCTGAGCTCCGAGAGATCACCGGAGCCGCACGAGCAGCCATGGTCATCCAGTTGCGCGACCCGAACGAGCACAAGCTCAGGTACTGTGTGGTCTGAACAGAGCAAGGACGATCGCAAGGGCACCCCGGAAGGACACACGAGCGCAGACACTGCCCAACAATGTGCCCTCCCCCGACCCTGGTAGAAGCGTTCTCGAACCTCCACAAAGCGCGAGAGAAGCCGGGACCGTCCAATGGAAGCTCGACATGCGGCACGGCGCCCCTGCCTCGCGGCGATAGCCACGAGCGAAACCGTCCCTGCGCTCCGTGCGCACAATTGGGTCCAGCACAGAAGCGGCTTGGTGCCCCAAAGACCCGCGGCCGGCGTGCTGCGTGCAAACACCGGGGCGGCAGACGACGCTTCTCCGTTCCCGCAGAGCACGAGCCGTGGGGCGTGGCACCGCCTCCGCTGGTCGAGGCGTGCGCGCGTAGGACGGGATTGGGAGACAGAGACGCACCATCGCTCCCCGATGTGGACGGCCCTTTGCCGCAGCTCCACGGTTCTCGTAGAGCCGGACAGTGCCTGGAAGCCGGACGAAGTGGTGCCACTGCGGGTGCTGGCCTGAGCGCGGACGCCGCTACAAGCAGCCTAGACCGCTGCGGAGACGGAGAGGGTTCGTGCACGGCAGGAGGACGTACATCTTGCATCGAGGACCAACCGGCCTGCAGCGGCTTGAGACAACCAGCGACGTCAAAAGGTCGAGACGCGAGCTCGGCCTGGATTCCAGCGCGATGGATGACACAACGGCAAGACAAGGGGGCGTGGCGAGGCGAAATCGATGCCCCAGGACAAGCCACCAGGCCGGCAGTTGACAAGCGGGCCTCGTGTCGGGTGCGTGCGGGGTGGTTGACACCCTTGTACTCGGGCGCATCTTTGTGGGATAGAAGACGCGCCCTGGAGAGCGCACGGCATATGTAGACGGGACAGCGACAAAGAACATAGCAACTCACGGAATCGATTCTGTCCCGACCGTCTCGTCTGGAAGGGGCAAAAGAGAGGACGTCGCGAAAGGAGAAAAAGCTCCCGTCGTCCGCAATGTCGGTGATACGCGCTCAAGACCCCAGGGCCGGTACTTACCCGGGCTTACCGGGCCGACGGATTCTACTTATCGGGACTACAATCGAGGGCTATTGCGGTGAAAGCCAGCGTCAATGCCAGGCTGCGGACGTGCACGGTGCACAGCCCTGCAATTGTGCGGCGGTGGCCGGGGGCCGGAGCGGGCGAAGATGTCGAACACGCCTGCTCGAGTGGGCAGCAGCGGCTGGGCTCTCTCATCCTGACCAGTTGCTCCTCCTCGCTGGCCGTACCCTCTCTTCATCGCATTCAATCATGGCTTTGTAACGTGCTCACGACGATCCTTGTGAGTCGCACCATGCTCCCGACATCTCGCGATATCCCTGTGCCACCCGTTGCTTAATCCACCTTCCAGCGAAGACTTGCAACGCCGCGATAATGACTGCGTGCAGGGCACGGCATTTGCCTCCAGACAACCCGCTTCATTCTTCAACGCCAGCCCCTTCTGTTCTCCCACCTTCTCCCACCGACCTCCCAGCACACGATCCCGCCTCAAGCCTCTTGCTCCACTCATCACCACCGCTGGAATTTCGCCCAAAGTCAACGCCACCCTCCGACCGGTTCCTCAACGTGCACCCCGTCTATCCGTCTCCGCCTCTTACCGACGCGGCCCTCGCGTCGACCGTCCCTCTACCTGACGTATACGCCGATCCGCCAATACTGAGGGAGAAGGTGTTCTATCGCGAAGACTACGTCCCCCAGAACATGTCACACGATGCCGCCCAACTGATAACTTTACCGTCCCCGCCTCCGACCGTTCCTGTTACCCCGAAGGAGCTGCCGTACGGAGATGAGGAAGATGACGAGGGACACTCGGTTGAGACATGGACCTACGAGGAGAGCAGGTCGGATGGAGGCGTTCCCGCGCCGCTGTTCCCGCCGGTACGTGACGACTCCGGGTTCGAGGAATTTGTCCCTTCAAGAGGACGCGATGATGTTCACAAGCACGAACGTTACTGCGGAGATTCCCCTTTGCTCGAGCCGACGCCACTGTGGGCCAGCCCGCAATGCATGGACGACGAGGGTCTCCCGCCGGTCGGTCTCCCTCCTTTCCCCCAACTGAGCCCAATGTTCGATCGTAGTTTCGGTGACACCGACTCTCTGATCAGTCCAATCAGTCCCTCCGACACGGACTCCCCCTTCGGACGTTGGGAAACACAGTCGGACATGGACTGGAGCCCGATCCCGACCGTCGTGGACACCCTCGCTTCACCCCTCCCCAAAGATCTTGGTTCTTCGCTTGGTTTTCAACTGAGTTTCCCTCTACCGTACCATGCACAGTCCCCGACCTTCCCGCAGTACGCCTCATTCCCTGGCGTGCGACCATGGTACCCCCAGGACCTCTATGGCATCACTGGATACGATCCCGTATCGCCCACGCCTCTCGCGGAGGATCACCGTCTTTTCCTGAACTTCGACAAGTCTCCCATCTCATCAGAGCCTGCGGATCTCGACTCCGAGTACGCGGACTCCATAATGCCTTCGGACGACGACAGCGTGATGCTGCCACCGCCCTCTCCGGGCCGACGACCCTCGAACGACCTTTACGAAGACATGCCGCCGTACGGTGGCCCATGTGTAACGCCCGTTCCTGAGTCGCCTCATTGTTCGTCGCTCTCCCTTCCCGACCTCGATGAAGCCCCGTCGTCTCCACACTCGCCCCACACCGCCCTCCCGGAGCTTGACGGCCTTTTCGCCGAACCGTCTGCGCCGACGCTCGAAACGATCTCGCCTTCGCTCCTCGGTGGCGCACCGGACCTCGAAGACAGCCTGCGGCTCGACATGCAGCCGCTGTCGGACCCAGCGTTTGTGCGTTCCCCGTCGCCCGGCGACGAAGACGACTTTGGATTTCTGGACGTGCAGTTCGACGCGGACGCCACCCCAGCGGAAGCCGAGGAGTTCTGTCGTCTCCGGAGTATACGCAAGACGGCCCAGGCTCAAGAACGCGCGGCACGTGCGGCTGAAGCCGAGCTCGGCGAACGCATCCAAACGGTCGCGACCTCTCTGCTCCCGCCCACTCGCACGGAGGCGCCCCTCAACTCGTCCCCTCCACCCACGGACCCCGACTGCATGCAGACGGACGAGCCGCCGCCGGACACCCCCGGTCCGTCTGCGTGCTTCTCTACCGCCCCCGACGTGCGCGCGCGCAAGCGCGAGCTTCAGGTGCTGACGGAGAAGCGGGCCGACGCGCGGCGGGCGCGCAAGGCGGCGAAGCACCGCGGGAAGGAGGTCGGTGCGCTGCTGGAGCTCAAGACGCACACGTCTGCCGCCGCGTTCGCGTTCCTGCCCGTCGCGGGGCTGCCGCCGCCCGGGGCGAAGGGCTGGACGCGCTCGCTCGCGCACCTGATCGCGCACATGATCTTCCGCCGGCGTGAGCGCGCGCGGCCGCTCGAGAACCGGCTCGGGGCACTCTGCGCGGACGGGTCGCGGCCGCCGCTGGTCCGCCGTCCGTCGCGCCTGGGGCTGGTCAGGGACGCGTGCGCGCCGGGCGAGCTCGAGGACGAGGGTGGTAGGGCCGAGGATGACGGCATGGTGATGTGAACTGCTTTCCCTCTTTGTTGCGAGCAAACTGGTGCGTTGTCGCTCGTCTCTCGTGTTCCAGCGGGCTTGCGCTGACGGTGTGGATGGCTTTGTTTCCCCTGCGTTGCTTTTGTTTTGCTCTCCGCGCTGTTTCTGTCATGTCACGCTTTCCCCGTAATCGTTGTCCACCCGGTCCGCCTCTCCGCCCCTTGGACCACAGGATGGAAGGCAAACGTTGTACAATACCAACATCCCCATGCAATCCTTCTGTAGCTATTACATGTTGTCATAGTCGATTTCCGCATACCCGTGCTTTCATCTATTCACCCCCGCCCCGCACTACATATCATGTTTTCGCCGCAGATGCAGATTCAGAATGGACAGTGCTTGCTTTCGCGCGTGGCGCCGCGCGCCGGCGTCGCCGTTTCTTTCTTGTTTCGCCGTGTGAGCGTGCGATGAAGGGAGTGCATCTACTATGCCCACCCCAAAAGCGGTGCAAGTACCGCCGTTCTGCCTTCATATTTTACACATGGGTGCCGAATCCTGATTCCTTCCTATATACCAAATTTCACGAAGAACGGGCCAGTAGGGCGAAGCAATTGCGCAAGGAAATACTGACACACCCCCAGAAACGGTGCTTTGGCGCCGCATCGGGTCACGATGCCGTCGGTCGACCACAGCCGACACAAGCTCCGTTGTGACGATTCAAAGCGCCGCCGGGTTGGCGACTCCGCTTGACCGCCGTGTGCCTGATGTCACGCCCAAAGCTCATTCCTCCACGGTGTGCTTTTCTCCTCCTCCGGGGCCTCCGAAAAAGATGTACTAGCCCCTGATAGCAATGCATAAGTATCCTCTAGCCCCTGCGAGAGAGCGCCTGCAATTACATGTCAAGAGGCTAAGCCATTAATGTCGATTGTGACAAAATCACGACTTTGTTACTCAAATTGCGAGAGCTCTCCTGCCCAGAATCTCACAATTGTTCCTCTAGTCAGCTCGTAGGAACCTCTAGATACGCGCCTCATAAAATTTGTATCGCAGAAGTGCGAGGAAAAGGTAGCGGAAGGCCGAACACCGCTTCTGGGTCAATTCTTTCAAAAACCGCTTCTGCGGTTGGCATAGTGCTTGTTGGTTCTTCTGCTCAGCATGGTCCACCTTCGGTGTTGCACGGTCGAGGGTGCTGTAAGCATTTGACTGATCGCCACAGCACGACGTCACTTTGCCCATAAAAGGCATCCGTCGGTGCGGTGTCACATCCGGTCCGCGCCCAGGCTGTCCTCCATTCTGCCTTCTGCAGCTGCGCACGCCGCCGCGCCCCTTTACAAAACCTGCGAGTCCCGTAAGTCCCAGCCCCTTTCCCTTTCGCCCGGCCACAGATACCACCGCGCAGCGTCTCTCCCGCCGCGATGCCCGGACGCAAAAACCCGATCCAGATGTCTCAGATATTCGGCACGCTGCACAACGCGATGAGCCGCGCCAAGGACGAAGCCAAGGACGGCGTGAAGTCCGCGAAGGCGCTCGTGGAGGAGCAGCACGGGCTGGAGCGGCACTTTGTCGACATTACGGTCAAGTTCATCGGAGCCTCGGGCCTGCCGAAGATGGACGTCGTGGGCTCCGCGGACCCGTACTTCGTCGCGAAGGTGGACGACAGGCTCTCGTTTGTGTGCGTGTCCTCGTGCCTGCTACTCGAGGCCCATGGTCTGGACTACAGCTGACGCTGTGTGGATAGATCCACGGTCAAGCCCAACACGCTTTCCCCGGTCTGGAACGAGCTGTGGAAGATCCGGAACGTGCCCAGCACGGCGACGCTGCACGTCGAGGTGCTCGACAAGGACGTAGGGAACCTTACGGACGACCACATTGGCACCTTTGACTCGTCCGTCGCTCCCGGCGCAAAAGAGTGCTCCATCGAGAGCGTGTCCCTGCGCAGGAACCGTGGAACCTTCTGGTTGCACGTGAGTGCTTGCGACAACCGAAGGGCAACTGCTGACCATCGGCGCAGATCGACTCTACGCCGTCGACGGACGGGAAAGCCGAGCGTCGCCAGTACATCTTCGACGGCCCCATCCGCTTCTCTCGCCACTTCTCGCCCACCGTCGGCCGCCTCACGAACCTGAACGACGCGCGCCTATACTCGACGTGGAAGGTGTACATCAAGGGCGTGCGCATGTTCTTTGGGGACACCGTCCAGCCCTGGAACCGCGACTACAAGGCCGCGCAGTCGATCTTCCAAGGCCCCGCGTCGATCGCGGTCCGCTCGACGATCCAGGCGGGGCACCGCATGCTCTACGCGCGCAGCACGACCAACGGCTTCGGCGTCATCGACGGCCCCCAGGACGTCTTCCGTCTCCTCCTGCACGGCAGCGTCGGCAACCCGGACGGGACGACGAGCGGGGCCGGCGTCGCGCAGGGCATCCTCGCGAGCCTGTCACGCACCCAAACGGGCCCGCAGGCGACGTCGACAACGACGGAGGTTCCGCACGCTCACCGGGTGAAGCCGGCGGTGTACACGTACGTGATCGCGGCGGAGGACGACTCGTTCCGGTTCTCGGAGACGGGCGCGGCGTTCTTCGTCGACTTCGCGTCCAAGCACGCGCTGCACGCGAACTGCGCGCGCGCGGTGCGCTACTCGGGCGAGTTCCACCCGCGGCCCGAGGGCGGCTGGGCGCGCTTCTCGGACGACGTCGCGGACGAGGCGGTGAGGTGGGAGCTCGTGATCGACAACAACTCGGGGACGTACAGCCCGGACGCGCTGATGCTGCCGGACCTGAAGGAGGTGCTCGAGTACAACTTCCCCGGGTTCACCGTGCACGCGTGGGACCGCAACGACCCGCGGCTGAGCGAGAGCCGCGAGGCGTGCCGCGCGTACGCGCTCGAGAAGCGCGGGGTGCGCCGGGAGGAGCTGCAGCCACACGCGGTCGACGGGCAGGAGACGCTCTCGCACAGCGCGTCGCAGCGGCGCGGGGCGGGCGCGGATGCTGCGGAGTCAGAGGCGGCGATCGGCGAGCCTGTCGTGGTGAACGACTAGCGGTTTGTTTGTTTGGTTGATTGTTTGTCTCCCGTTTGACGGTGGAGGGTCGAGCCCTATGGTAGGCGCTACGTACAGTAATCTAGCAGCGAAAAAGGAAATGCGCATACGGGATCGGACGGATGACGTGCCGTCTCACCGACTAGCGGCGCATGTGGGTCCCCGAATCGTTGATCTGAATCTTGTCGTGTATCTACCCAGTGTACTCGGTCTGTCTGTATTCGGTTTGCTTCTATGTATGCCCCACTTCTGCCAGCGCCGTCAAAGACCAACAGCCGCCAACAGCCTGTCGAAGTCCGGGGTCCCAAGGCCAGTGACGGGGTCCCATCCCGCTCTGGCCGGGAATCCGCTCGACAGGCAGCCGGGATTCGACCCAGAGGTGATGTCCGTGAGCGCCGCCCTGCCTGCGGCGGAGTAGAGGAACGGGTTGAGGAAGCCCATCGGGCTCTCCCTGGCCGCGATGAGCCGGTCGTTAACCAGGCTGATCACCGACGCGTAGAGCGGGGAAGAGCACGACGTGCCGGAGACCGCCTCCGTCTTGCCGTCGACGACGATCTCAAAGTCCACGCCCTGTGCGGCGACGTCGGGGAACGCGCGCCCGGAGGCGTTGAACCGCCCGGCGTAGGTGTCGCTCCCGAGCGCGGCGAGGTAGTCCGCGACGTCGTCGGCTTGGTACTCGGGTGTCGGGAAGTAGTTGGAGAACCCGCCGGAGGAGAAGTACGCAGCAGTCTCTGGAGACGTGCCCTGTGTGGCGCCGACGGAGGTCAAGCTGAGTTCGTGTGGTGAGTAAACGTCGACGTGCTTAGAAAGGGGGAGCGGGGACGCACAAGGGGCATCCTGAAGGGAAGGTGGGCACAAAGTTGAAGCACACGGAGGGGTGCGAGCCGCCCACGCCGCCGTCGCCGGAGGAGAAAAGGATTGAGGTACCACGGGCACCAAGCTGGGCGTACGCGTTGCAGAGGTTGCTACCAAATCTCCTCAGCCCGACGTTGATAAGGATGGTCGCAAACTGTGTATGTACTTAGCCAGGTTCCTCGACATCGTATCCTCGTTCTGGCCGTAGCTGGTGGTTAACACCTGCGGCGGGCTGTCCATCTCCAACAAGAAGTTGACGACGTCGAGGAAACCCTCCAAACCGCCGTCTTGGGTGTCCTCTCCGACCGAGATGAACAGAGTGGGCACATTCGTGGCCATACCGACGGTATACTGGATGTCCAAATTCTATCTGGTTTTCTCAGCATAGTGCAATGTCCTCGTCCCATGCTATGACTCACGGCCTCGGTGCCGGCCTGAGAACCCTGCTGTGGATTCGAGCCACCGTCAATGGTATCAAGAGTGAACGTGGTTGACGAAGGCATGTCGGGACGAAACTTCGACAGGAAAGTCTAGGAGGTACGGCGTGCTCAGCAATGCCAGTCTCCAAGTTCACCGAGAGATGGGCCGACCTCCAGGTCTGCGGTATTCGCATACTGTTTGATGAACCCAGTGACGGCCAGCCTGTTCGAGTACTGAGTCGCGGGTGTCGTGGGGATGCCGTAGAGCGCTTGGAGGCAGGCGGGGTGATTGTCTTGCCGTATGAAGGAGGAACCCCGCGAGAAGTCAAGTTATGGCCGTCCGCCGTCACGACTTTCATTGGGGACGCAAGGACGGGGAGGTGGGCCATTGGACTGGGGAAGCCAGTGAGTGAAAACGTCGTCAGTCTCTCTGAGTTGACTGAGAAACGTCACAACTGACGTGACTGTAGGATGCACGAGGTCGAGATGGCCCTCGAGCTCTACGGGGATAGAGTATGAGAGCGTGCGAACGACCTCGTACTCCAAGTCGGCATTCTCGAAAACGGTGAAGTTCGCGTCGAAGAGCTCGTTCGCCTTGCGCACGGGAACCTCAAATGAGATCCACTCCCCGGTCGACGACACACTGGTGGCCGTGAGTCCGCTTTCCTTCATCCACGCGTCCACCGCTTCGACGCTGTCCTGTTTCGGAGCTACGAGGCCCTGTACCTGCACAGACGTCGCCATGTCAGAATATATCCTGCGCGCAGATCCGAAACGTACTTCGGCCTTGGACAGGTATTTTCCATAGTTCGTGCTCGATGGCGTCGACACGTCATACAGCCTGCGTTCGAGCTCCGCGAAGTTGCTCTGCACAAGCGCGATCCGGAGCTTGAGCGTCTGCTCTGGGTCCGCGATGGCGACGGCGGAGAAGCCGTCAGGGATGTTCTTGAGCAGCTCGTGGACCTTCATTTGCGGTGTCGCGGGCTTCCCCATCCCAACAGTGACGAGCATGGCGAGGACTGCGAGGCGGATGGAGACCATCATGGGCGCGCCAAGCGAGCGAGGGGGCTGAGAAGGCTTCAAGATGCGAAGTTCAAAAAGGGTTTTAGATGTTTCGAGACCGCCGTTCATCTCACCTCCTTACACATGCACCGAGCATGTTGGGAGTGCATGGTACGATCGGTGATGCCAGACGCTACATGATCCCAGGCCATTGAAATTGAAGGGGGACATATGGAACGGAGGGTGGCACTTACCATGCGACGCAGATCATGTTGAGCTGAAAGCACGACAGTGTGCCATCCAGCGCGCGGAATGCTGGCCAAGCAAACTTCCCGTCTCTTCGGTCCATCGTCCGGCGCCAAGGCGAAGCGACGGAGCGTCCGGCCTCGCTTGACCGCTGCACCAGGACCCGGGGCATTCGCGCAGGTACGTAGCACAGCCGAATAGCAGTTGAATCGTCGGCACCCACTAACTTATGAGATAACAGAACCACTCACCAGTTTGACTGGATTGGTGTACCGGACGGAGGCTGGACAAACGAAGGGTTGCGAACATGACGAGAGCCAACCGTATGGATGGTTACTAATCCTTGTATGAGGAAGATGCGCACTGGGGAATCGGGTAGATGAACATGAAGTCATAAGTCGTCGTCTTATAAGCGGTAGTCGATACAGTGGATGCGGGCGTGATAGTTAAGCGATGATAGTGTACAATACCTATGCATGCGACGAGACATTATACCTCCGAGCGAGCAATTATCTAGACACAACGAGAGCGAGTGGAAAGCAAATCGGTAGATGATACGAGCCGGTTACGACTTGCCGGGAACGGGGGATCCCTTCGACGACAGTCCGGCGTTGTCGATGATCTCGTTGAGCATCGTGGTGCGCTTGTGCGCTGACTCGAGCTGCCGCTGGAGAGATCTGCAGTGCGCGGTTTGTCAGGGACACGCTCGGTGCGAAGCGGACATCAACTCACTTCATCTGGGTCTCCAGCTCCAACGCGCGCTCCTTGCCGCCCTGCCGCTCGCGCTTCACCTTCTCCTCCGCGGTCTTCAACATCGTCTCGTACTGCTTCACACGGGACTCCCACTTCGTGTCCGCCACCGTCGTCTTCTGGTTGACCGCGGTGAGCCGCTCTTCCGATTGCAGCAGCTGATTCTGGAGGTTGATGGCTCGCCGCTCGGCGTTCTGCGCCCGGGCGGTCAGCGAGCGGATCTCCATAGAATCGCCCTGGGTCCCCTTGCGCGAGACGACGTGCGACTGGAGCGCGGTGTTGGTGGCCTGGCAGAGGAGGTCAGGACGACGACGACATTCCAGCAAACAGCGTGCGCACCTGCAGCGCCTCGATCTCCCCGTCCTTCGTGGCGAGCTTCTTCCGCCACGTAGCCTTCGCCTCCGCGATGGTCTTGACGCTCGCCTCGAACTTGTCGATCTGCCTCCAGCGGAGGTCGAGCTGCTTGCGCATGTCCGTGAGCTTGTCGCTGTAGCGCTGCTCGGCTTCCTTCACGCGCTTGTCGAATTCCGACTGAATGTGGCTCAAAGCCTTCAAGCGCGTGATGAGGTTGTCGTGGAAGACGCTGAAGTTGGTGAACGGCTTTGTCTCCGCTTGACCGTTCTTCTTCTGCAAGCGTGTCAGACGTCATGCGAGAGAAAGAGAGTGCGCAGACTACGCACCGGCGTCTTTTCCACGCCCACGATCTTGTCCATGTACTGGTAGATCGTGAGGAGGAGCGTGTTGCGCTCCGTGAGCTGGTCGCGGTATTGTGCCTCCGCAGCGAGCAGCGCCCGTTGGTCCTTCGACAGCCGCTGCTCGAGCTCCGCGATACGCGCCTTGAGCGTCGACGTCTCGTTCTCCGCCGCGCGCAGGCTGCTTTGCGTGTCGTCGAGCTTCTCGGAAACGTTCAAACGTGCTTGCGTCTGCGCAGCAAGCTGAGCCGCGAGATCACGGTTCTCCGCGTGGAGCTTGTCGATGACCCCGTCCCGATCACGCCCCTTGCCCTCGCGGTCGTCGAGGTCCTTGCGGGCGCGCACGAGTTCGTCTTCGAGCCGCTCCACGTCGCGCCGCAGCCGGTCGACCTCGAGCTGGAGCGAGAAGCGTGCGTTCGTGTGCGACTCCCCGAGCTTCTTGTTGTCGGCCTCGAGCGTCTGCAGCGCCGTCTGGACCGCAGCCAGGTCGGCCTCGCGCTGAGTGAGGAGCGACTGCGTGCGCGAGAGGTCGTTGAGCGCGGACTGGAGGGCGGACTCCTTGGCTTCGAGCGAGCGTCGTTCCCGGCGTATCGCGTCCTCGTGCTCCTGGTCGGCCTTGTCGAGATCCGCCTCCAGGCCACCGCGCAGCTCGCGTTCGCGCTGGAGCTCTTCGACGACCTTCTCGATGTGGCGGGCGAGGTCCTCCTTGCGATCGCGGTGCTCCTGCACTTCTGCGTCCCGCTGGTTGTAGAGGTCGGTGAGCTCCTCCAGGTCCGCTTTGAGCCCGGCGACTTTCTGTTGACGGGGTGAGCGTGCAATGCATCAAACATCTCCGCAGACGTACCTGCTTGAGAGCGGCGGCGAGTTGCTCTAGACGATCCCGCTCCACCCCTTCGTCCTCTCGGACCCGGTCCATCTGCTCCTTCACCCGCTCATGCTCCTCCTCAAGAGTGTAGAGCTGGTTGCTGATCCGTTCAAGATCTCGGTTGGCCGCCTCCAGCTCGTTGTCCTTCTCTTCAGCCTCCCGCTCCAGATGTGCGAGCGTCGCCTCGAACTTCTGATGCAGATCCTCGGCGTTCGCCTCGTACTCGTCGATGTGCAGCCGGAGCTCCTTGCATTCCGCATCCCGCTGCTCCAGAGCCTGCGTATCCGTTGTGAGAAAGCGCACACCACACGCGGAACAGGCACTCACATCACGCAGCTCTTCCATCTGGCCCTTCGCCTCGTCCACCTCGCCACGCCACTGGTCCTCGACGCTTTCGACGACCCGGTGGTGCTCCGCAATGAGCTCCTCGATCTCCCGGTCCTTCGTGTCGATGTCGTCTTCCTTCTGCTGCAGCTCGATCTGCGCCGCCGCGAGCTTGTCCCGGATCGCGTTGAGGTCTTCCTCCACCGCCTCCCGTTCCTCCCGCTCCTCGATCACCTGCGCCCGACTCTGGCTGCGCTCCAACGTCTCCGCCTCCCGTCTCCGCTCCAAGTCCTCAAGCTCGAGCCGGGCGGCTTCGAGCTCGTCCATCAGGTCCTCCCGCTCGTCCGCCCGTTGCGCCACCTCCTCCTCGAGCTCTTCCACCCGCGCGCGCAGATCCCCGTTGTCGCCCTCCAGCCCCTGGACCTGCCGCCGCCACCGGGAGTCGCCGTGGGAGGAGTGGTCGCCGCGGGCCTCGGCGAGCTCCCGCATGCGCTCGAGCTCGTCCGTGTTCTCCTCGAGCAGCGCCCGGACGTTCTCGAGCTCCTCCTCGAGCTCCGCGTTGCGCGCTTCCAGCTCGCGCAGGAGGCCGTCGTCCGCGCCGGGGCCGCGGCGTCGCCTGAGCCCGCGGATCTCGCGCTCGCGCTCCTCGAGCTTCTCCTCGAGCTCGCGGGCGCGGGAGTCGGCGCCGCCGGAGCGCTGGAGCTGGTCGAGGGCGCGTTGGGCCTCGAGCATGAGCTTCTTGAGCTTCTTAAGCTCCATGCCGCGCTGCTGGACCTCGATCTTGAGGTTGATGTTCTGCTTCAGGGCGGCGTCGATCTGGTCGGGGGCGAGTTGGGCGAGGCGCTCCTCGAGGAAGTGCACCTTGAGCTTGATGTTAAAGTTCTCCTTCTTGAGCGCGTCGATGTGCTGCAAGGGGCGTAAGCACGCCGTCTCGCGACCGGCGACCACGGGCTTCGAGCGAACGGAGACGCACCTTCTCCTGGTCTCGTAGAGTCAAGTTGATACCCCCCTTCGCGGTGGAACTGCGTGTCCGTTTGTGTTTCCCCGTACCCGCGATCTCAGACGCATCCCACCGCCCCTCCTTCTTCCCGTCCGGGGTGTCCAAGACGTCTCCGTCGTCGTCATCATCATCGCCGCCTCGTCCGAAACGCTTCGAGATGGGTGTGGCTTCCTCTGCGCGTCGTTTAGAGAAAGATGTGGACGGTGAGACCGCTGTAGTGGCCGTCGAAGAGGAGGGAATACGAAGGGGCCGGCCAGGGGTTGAGAAAGTGGAGGCGAACGAGCCGAGTGAGATGTCGGGAATAGACGAGAGTGCGGAAGAGTCTGCTCGATGGTTCGGCGCCGTCGACATGGCGTCGGCGACGGTAGGGGCGGCGAGCTCGTCGAAGGGAACGACGTCGCGAACGCCTCCGCGCGCGAGCTCACCGCGCTCGGCAAAGTCCGGAAATGAACAACGGGCACGTGCTCCGTGTGAGCGGGCTTAAACTTCCACACCAGTGCTTCACGATACAATTCAGACTATCATGTACTCTCAAAGATTCGCACTTCGCCTTCGGGGCAGCGCGCTGCTGATTAATGCATACTACGCAAAGATCTCGAATTTTACAGACCCCCAATGGTGCAATCCGAGTCGTCTTCAAGTAATTCTTTCTTCATCGAGTCCTTCGAAGCTCCATGTCTCAAAGAACCAGGAGAACCCCCGCAATCAGAAGCTCCTGCACCAGCTTTCCCCCCACATCAAATCTCCGAGTACTTATGCTTACTCCGTGTGTATTCCAAGCGCATGAGACCCACAGGCCTAGGCCTGCAGGCTGTGCAAGCGATTCAAGTGGGGCCCCAACCAACATAGCCGTCTCCGAATTTGAAAAACCTTCGACCCGTGCTGCTGATCGGTGAATCAATTTCAAAGTCCGGAGCCAATGCACGTCTGCTGGCAATCTGCTGGAGCCGTGAACGGAGAATCCGAGGGAATAAACACCTCAAATATACGATACATCCAATGGCGACGTCGATGGTTCAGACTTACTGTGGTCCTTGCAGAATCTGCCCGAAGGCCCAGCCGAAGCCCATTTGATCATTGATGAAAGCATCAGTTGGTTGCTTACATAATGGAAAGGTAAATCGTGCAGTCAAAGTAATCCCAGCAAATCGGGCACCGATCGCCGTCGCAGCACGACATCGCATTATATATCACTCCGCGAGCAACATCGAGCTGACCAACAGATGATCCTTTCGGAAGCCCCCATCTACTGTCTATTCCACCTGCTGATATGACAAAAGCCTGTGCGCTGTGCCGGTAAGTGCCCTTCACAGCTCTTTCTCCTCCTGTTCTGAACGGATCGTCGTTCACAGAGAACGCGATATTGTGAGCGTATTCGCTGGGCCCTCAAGCCAGCGCTGACAACTTCGTCAGCAATGCGATGGAAGCCAACCCATCTGTGGCCCATGCGCTCTATTCGGCTCAAACATCAACTGTGACTTCAGCAGTCGCGCCATAGGTCCTAGCGACAAAGCTGCCAACCTCCTCCAAAAGGGCGCCGCATGTCTTCCGTGCAGGTGAGCCGATATTGCGTGCTATGGATGACGACTCATAACTTCTGCATCGTCCAGGCGAAAGAAGAAGGTTCGCGCTCTTTCAACTCTCTCCTCAGAAATCTCATCTGACAGATAAATGGACTAGAAATGCGATGCAAAGCGACCATACTGCTCCACGTGCAAGGCCACTAACAAGCAACATCAGTGCATGTACGAGTTCGATGCACAGAAGAACCTCATCCAGTCACTGCTCGCGCGGACTCGAGAGCTAGAAGAGCGTTTAGCGTCAACCTCTCGCCAGTCACCCGCCGAATCCACGTCTTCTGGCGAATCTGGCGTTCTTGCCGCCACGACATCAGGTTCCTCCTCCGCTGAAGCCCTCCAACACGTATGGATCCCTCCGCCAGAACCTATCGATCGTCCCATGACACCCCGCGCGACGCTTCAACAGTTCCGTGAATTGTGCGTTCCGAGCGTCATGGTTCGCACAGTGCAGAGTCTCAAGCCGCTGACGTTTCTGCTGATCCAGCCGACAATTATTCTTGAACTTCAGTTGCATCGTCGGCTTGAAACTCAACGACCACGCTCAGCGAGCCTATCTCGACGGTGATTTCTTCAGCCCTCACGTCCACCCCGCCATCATCCACGTCGGACACCTGCTCGGATGCAGCGTGTGGCAAGAGCGAAATTTCACAGACTCTCTCAGCGTCATGGAGACGTTCGAACTCGACTCCACGGTAAACCTTCTGAGCGAAGACACTGACCCCCTCGTCAGGCTCCCGGTGTACACAGCCCTCGTCCTCTACTTCACGATCCGCTTTCAGCCCATGCAGGCCATGGAGAATCTAGCGCTCGCTAACGAGCTTGTCCATCGCCACAACATACGCTTCACGACCTCCGACATCAGGATCTGGGATCCGCTCATCACGGACTCGGAGGAGGTAGAAGGGCACGAAGCGACCGTGTGCGCGCTCGGTGGATTCTGGTACCACGCGCTGAGCCTGAACATGGTGTACGGCGCCCCCCTCCACCTGCGCTCCGGAGAAGAGGACGAGTTCCTCTCGGTCCAGGTGAGCCCCCGCCGTGCCCCACTGCGCCGAACTGACCGCCCGCGCCAAACCCAGGTGATGCACCCCGCGCTCTTCCGGTCCCAAACCGCGCTCCTCCGCGCGCGCGCCGTCTTCCTCCTCCGGCGCTCGCAACGGCTCGCCGCGAGCCTCTCCACGGCGCCGACGACGCCCTGGTCGGCGCCGGAACAGCCGTCGGAGTGGTCGTACGAGTACTGGGCGGCGCTCGAGGAGACGCACGCGCTGCTGGGCCACCTGCAGTCCATCCTCGTCCGCGCGTCGATCCCCGTCGACGGCATCGTCGCCACGCTCGGGCTGAAGATGTCGACGATCGTCGCGCTCACCGCCGAGGCGGTCCTGCACCACCTCGCGCCGCCCGCCGAGGCGGTCTCGCGCGAAATGTGCCTCGCGGCGGTGCTCAAGACGGTCGGGATCGGGAAGACGCTGAGCGCGAGCGACTACCGCATGATCGATCCGCTCGCCGGGGTGAGTGTGTTTGTGTGTGTGCGCGGGGCGCGGGGCGGGCGCGCTGACGCGTCCGTTTCGCAGCTGTGTTGGATAGAGACGGCGTCGATCGCGTTCGAGGAGAGCGCGATGTCCACGGAGCGCCTCTGCGCGACGAACTGGGCCACGGCGCGTGCGGTGCTCGTGGGCTGCGTGCCGGCGCTGCAGAAGGCGGTCCCGTACCTTGGTGAGCACGTTCGGTGTTGGCTCGGCGGTCTGTGGCTGACTGTTGGCGCAGCGGACGCGCTCGGGCAGATCACCAGCTCCAATCACCTGTTCAATCAGCAGGCGCGCGGGCCCCGGGATGTGCGTGGTAAAGGCGTGTAAAGTATCGAGTACAATACTACTATCTTATTGGCTTTGTCTCCTGTTCAACGCCCGGAGGGCCAAGCCCTATAGTGGGCGCTACGTACAGTAATCTAGCTAGCGAGAGAAGAGATGTGTATACGGGACGGATGACGTGTCGGCATCGCGGGGGCCGCTAGTGACTACATCAAATCTACCAATTTCGGACCGGCGGACTATCACGGTTGTGTCGTGCTTGGTGTCGTGAACCTCAAAGCGAAATGCACATCTCGCGAACACTTGCGCATCAGATATAACATTTTTCACCTTGCGACTGATGGCCTTCAATCACATAAACATATGGGTCTTTCCTCGATCTCGTTCAGTTCTCCTCCGTTTGCTGTAAGAATATACATATGAGGTACATGGCTCTAGTTTAAGATATATCACCAAATTCACCAAATCCGAGAGGGATTGACGCAAGAGCGGGAGAGAGACGACACTCGGCGCAAACGTTTTGCACATGGATCGGATGTAAGCCGGTGTAGGCCTAGTAGACGCGCTGTTCTGGGAAATAACCTCGCCTCAGGCCATGCAATGATTTGCAATCCATGCATCTAACTTCCAAGGGTCGAAGCGTGAAGGTGTGGTGGAGGAGAAAGAAGTGCGGCGGCGGCGGCGGCAGTGCCGCGGGACTCTGCTGGCAATTTGGCTGCAATCACACCCACTTCCTATCCACAACCGTCCACCTCACCCGATCAAGACACCGCTGGCGACACGGGGACGCACGGCAGGACGGAGAGAAAGAATCGACAAAACTGAGTTCCATGTAGCAGTCTATCTACATGCAGGCGAGGGCGGCGGCGGCACCCGGCGTGCCGCGGTCGGACTCAGAGCCCGAGCCTCGCGCCGTCCGGATCTCGAGGGCCAGCCCAAGGGGAGGAGCGCGTGCGGGTGGGGAAGGGGGGACGGGAGTACTAGCAGAGGGAGAGACAGCGAGCGAGAGCGAGAGCGCGGCCGACCGGCGGGGATGCGCGTCCGGGGGACTTGCGGCGCAGACTACTCGGCGATGGCGAGGCTACGGGCCAGTGGGAGGAGGAGAGGGAGGGATGTGGTGGACGGTACGGATACACTATCTACTTGGGTTTGCGACGGACGGGGATACGGAAAACAGGGTTACGACGGCGATTATACGACGAGGGAGAGACGGGTAGAGCGGGAAAAAAAACCAGGGCCGGGGGACCAACGCGATACTACTAAAGCCAGTGAGAGTAGGAGAGTTCGCAAAGAGATTAGGTATTAACGATTATGCAAGCTAGTGGTACGTCATCTGTGCAACAACCGGACGAGTCAGCGACATCGCGGGGCGGCAAGACGGAACGACTCACAATCGTCAGCAGGTCGTGAAAGGCTGAAGGATCGCGAGGGTCGAGGTCTTGCAGGTCGGCCAATTGCAGCAGGTGAACGAATGCCGCCGTCCAGACGACGGACAAGTGGAGAGGGAGCGCCCTTCAGCCGTCAAAGGGGGAGTTCGAGGGGAGGAACGTCGTCGACAGCGGCGACCGCCGGCGGCGCGGCGAGGGCGGGGTGAGCAGGTCTTCCTCGACGGCGCGCTTGCGCGACGACGACGACGACCTCGGGCGCACGGCCGCGCGGTCGCGGTGTCGCATGATGAGCGTCGCGACGAGCTGCGGGACGGGGAGCACCGCTGGCTGGAGAGGCAGGTCCTGCGCCGGGCGCGAGGCCTGGGCCTCGAGCGTCCGGCGGGCCGCGCGCTCCGCGGCGGCTCGCGCACGATCGGCGGCGGTGGTGGTGGCCTGCGATTGCTCGATCGCGTGGTGCGCAGATTCCTCGGTCGAGGCGGGCGCGGTTGGCGACGGCGGCGGCGGGGGTCTGTAGCCCATGTCGACGAGGTTGTGCCAGATGCGGTCGACGAGCACGGCGTCCTGGGCGGACAGCACGTCGTCGTCCGAGCCGGCGGCGGCGGATATGGACTCGGCGAGGCGGGAGAGGCGCGCGCGGATGTGGAGGGCGATGCTGCTGTGCATCGCGGCGAGGAATGCGGCGTCGGCGACGACGCGACGGGCCTTGCGCGAGGGTGGGGGAGGAGTGCCTGCGCTCATGCTCTCGCGGCGGCCGGCTGGCCGTTTGCGGGAGCCCGCGAATGGAGGAAGGGAAGGGGTGGAGGATTTGGAGGACGAGGTGGGAGTGGAGGATGGAGTGGAGGGAAAGGCGACGGCATGCAGCTGCTCTTGCGGCAATTGAGCATCGGTGGGGAAGATGGAGCCGGGGACGCAGGAGTTGGAGCGGCGGCGGATGATGTCGATGTGGGAGATGCGGCGGTGGAAAGGGAGTGCGTTGGCCTTCGTCGTGTTCTCACCGTCGTCACCATAGCCCGCTCTTGCTCCGACTACGTTCGGCGCGCCGTGTCCAAAGTCGCTGAGGGCGCGTTTGCGCGAGCTGGCGGGAATCGGGACCGGGGCGGACGGGAAGGAGATGGCGGCAGGCTGCGGGACATCGGCGCACACGCTGAGGACGCCGAGGCGGGCAGCAGCGTTGGCGTTGGTGATGGAGACGGTGGGCGAGGCCTTCTTGATGACGGGCAGCTTGAAGTGGACCTTGAGGGAGCGGGTGGATGGGGCGTTTGTCCGCGAGGAAAGCCTGTGCGGCATCGGGATAGGGGAGGGGGATTGAACGAGCTGCATGGCGAGGGTTGTGCAGGACGACGACCAGCGCGGCTCGTGCAGTGAGGGCGGAAAGGACAAGAAAGGAATGTGCGGGAGGCGAGTGCTAAATGGCGAGCATTGGTGAAGGAAAGGTGGTGGTCAGAACATGCGCGGAGCCGTCGCCAGCTCGCTCCCCATCGTTTCAGCCCGGATCACGGTCCTGTGACCGCTGCCCCGCCCGCTAGCTCTGGCGCACGCGGCACAGCGCTCTTCAGCTCATCTTCATGCTCAACTTGTCCTCGTCCCACCACGCTCGTTTGCGCATCAACAACGGCGTTGGTCAAAAGCTCAATGTTTCCCAGTGGCGCATCGACGGTAGACCAGCCCCCCGCACCTTGAACTCTCTCGTCTACCCAGGTCTACCCCCGCACGCGCGCGACTTCCATGAACCCCGCCGGCAAACATGATGTGATTTAAACAACCGAAGCCAGCCCGCAGCCGCACGTCAGCGTACGGCATTTCCTCGCAGGCACCTCTGCCTTGCCCCAGCCTCCAGGACACGCCAGGTCAGGCTCATATTCCCTGACACTTGCAGCATCGCTATTGGACCGCCTGCCAGGCTGCCAGCCATAAGACGAACTTGCCGCCTACAGCCCTCCGTGCCGCCGTGCGCGTACGTATGGGGATCGAATGGGCTCTGTGTCATTCGTGCTCGAACATAGCTACTGCGACATCTCCCTTCGCGCCTCCGACACGGTCGGGAACTCTGGTGGAGACTTCGATGTATTCCGCTCTCTCAACCTAGAACACAACGCGAACGACGTCCATGGACAAACTCGGCGTCAAAGAATCGACCGGCACCCTTCGGCACGAACAAGTCCCGCGTCAGCACCCCCCTCCGAAAGAAAGCAATCTTCTCTGCCCTATCCGCCATCTCTGCGCCGCTTGTACTGCAGACATTTCTCCACCAGCACCCGCTCTCGCAGCCGAACGAACTCGTTGCGGACAACCCGGATATTTTTGATTGGTTTTCGGTGCGCGGAGTGGCCCAGTAACACAGTACAGGAGAGCTCACCCTGTGGGTGTCCATTACACAGGGCACCGTAAACCCGGCCATCCATGGAGTACACTCCCTACGCCCAGACGACCGCCATCGCGCTGCGTATGATACTAGCCAACCGTCGCCGCTTCATCTTCATCAACCCTGGCGGCCCGGGTTGCATCAGCCGCCGAGTTCACGCAGCACGGCGGCACGCACATCTCGCGCGACGCGCGTCGTCGGCCCTCCTTCGACGTGCTTGGCTTTAACCCGCGCGGGGCCGCGGGCTGGTCGATCCCGGTCCGCTTTTGCCTCGCCGACCCCTCTGCCAGGTGGGGTGTTTCGGCCGCGCAAGAGTGCCACCAGCCGCTCCACGCAAGCCAATCAACAGCTCTTCCACAGGCGGACGAAGCTTGTTGCACGCCGATGCAAGTGCACCATTGGTCGGACACTGAGGACGACGCCGGGGATTCGTAACGTCGTCTTCTGAGCAATCTTTGGGTCGTGACTGACACGCGCGCAGAACCACGGGTCAATTCTGGACCAGTAAGTACTTAGCTTTCGGCCATGTGCCCTGAGAAGGCGAAGCGCGTCGTCATCGACGGCGTTCTGGACGCGGAAATCTACCGCCGCACGGTGCGGACGGTGGAACTCAGCATCGACGACGCCGTTGGATCACGCGGCCAGTCCAGCCAGCTGTCCCATCTACGAGCCCACCGCCGACCGCATGCGCACGCGCGACAAATTCCGCTTCCTCGACGCTCTCGAACCAGAACCTGTGGAGATCCCCCTCCGCGTTGGTTCCCCCTTCGCAAAACCACTCGACTTCCCCTCGTCGCAAACCCGATCCGCACAACGAAGCCCTCCCCACTGCGCGCTCGCGCCACTCCTCCTCCTCGCGCGACCGCCGCGCGACCCCGGAACTCTGTCGTCAAGCTTCAAGGCGGACCACGGACGCCAAGTGTTCGCTCGCAGACGGCTTCGGCCCGGGGGACCCGCCGTCCTCCCGCGCGCACCGCCGCCACACATCGCGACCGCCGCGCTCACGGTCCTCCAGACTCCGGGCGACGTTCGGCAGCGCACCCGCCGCTCGTCGTGTCGACGCGCATGCGATCCGGTGACGCCGCCGCCGCCGCCGCTCAGGGCGTGCGCGCGCGGCGGTTCCCCCCGGCCCGGTGCTGCTCGAGCAGGACTCGGTCGGACACAAGCATTGAAGTTGTCGTCGCCTTCGACGAGGCGCCTGCCAGAGGAGGGACGTCGACGGTGTGCGGGCCGGACGGGATGCCATTCGTCGGAAGCGTGCGGCGAGCGGCGGCGGGGTCGGTGCAGTGGTGGCGGCGGATGGTGGAGTTGGTGGATGCGTGGAGAGGGACTGGGGACTGGTTTTTTGTGGTACATACGGATTGGAAGGTTTGTTGCTGCGCCGAGTCGAGGACATACCGTACCTTTGTAGTCCTGGACCACGATGCCTAGGTACTTATTTGTGTAACGCTCAGAGATACGACAAATGCGAACAACCAAAGCGATGCATTGGACAAGGGGCGTAAAACAACAACACGTTCTACAGCAACGAGAGGGGCGCTGTCGCACGAACAGGCCCACGTGGGTATTCGAGATCCTCTGGATCCTCGTATTCCGCAGAGGTGTACTCCACGGCGTTCAGAAGCGCGATGAGCGCCTGAAGTCCTCCGGTTCAGGTGGCAAACAGGTGTCTGGCGCCGGCCTCCAGTCATCTGCAGACGGCACATGAGCTCCCGCCCAGTCGCAACACATGAAAGACACGTACGAAGCGCGGTGCGGCCCTGTCGGACGGCGGTCCACGACGGCTGCTTGACGAACTGCTCTTCGAGCTCCCTCACCGAGATGCGCTGCGCCGGATCCTCCGCAAGCATCTGCAGGACGCTCGTCGGTCAGTGCCGCCACGGCGGTGAAGGCCGAGGAAGACCCACCATGCAGACGAGAATCCAGTGGCCTCCTCGATCTCCCAGATGCTCGCAGCTGCAGAGGGAGGCGCTCCCCGTGCTCGCGCGCGATCCCCTCGAGGGTCCTCGCGCGGAACTTCGTCGAGGCCGCCATCCCCAAGATCTCCGCGACGACGAGCCCCATGCTCCACACGTCTGCGCGCGTGCCGAAAGGCGTCGCCGGCGACCATCTCTGGGGACATGTAGGGGAAGGTGCCGAGGAAGGACGTCCTGTGCCACTCGTCGTAGCCCGCGACGGGCACCGCGCGCGCCATGCTGAAGTCCGAGAGCACGGCACGGCCGTCGTCGGCGATGAGGACGTTGCTCGGCTTGATGTCGAAGTGGCCGATCCCCAGGTGACGGAGCACGCATAGAGCGCAGATCTGAGACGGGGTGGTCAGCCGATGCAGTCGGTGGATGAGTTTCAGATGCCTACTAGTTCTTGCACGAACAAGTACCGGTCGTACGCGAGAGCTGAATCTTGCTGCGGAGCAGCGTATGCAGATCGGTCGGATAGACGGGCTGTCAGATCGAAGCAGATCAGATACACATCCCAGCGGACGGCGCAGGCGGTACGCACCATGACTAGGAAGATCCTCCCCGCATCCTCCCACGACATGACCAAGGGCACCAGGAACTGAGCGGCCCCAGCACGCTCCCTAACAGCCGCCATGGCTTCCTTCTCCCTCACGAAGGTCGCGCGGCGGAAGTGGTTCGCAGCGGCCTTGGCCTTGTCGACCACCTTGACCGCGTACGTCTCGCCACCCGACGAACCACGGAGCACCGTGCTCGTGGCGCCCTCGCCGAGGCGACGGGTCATCACGAACGTGGCCCCATTGTGCGACAGAACGGGAGAGAACGAAGACGCGTAGGCCGGGGGCTGAGGCTGGTCCACGGCCACCTCGTCGAAGGGGTTGAAGTTGAAGCAAGAGACATACGGTGGCGCCGGCGTCAGAATTGGTTGGGGAGCAGCCACCGGGGCGACTGGAGGCGAAGGGCGAGTGTTGACGTTCGCCACGGCGTAAAACGTGCTCTTGTCATAGGGGCGCATGAACGCCTGGTGGCCAGCCTGGTTGGAATCCGTGAAGTGGCGCGGGAGAGCAGGGACCGGAGGAGGGGACCACTGAGCCGTGCCGGCCTCAAAGCGTTGACGTGCTGCCACTGTCCATGTTGCGCGACAGGAGGTGGGGGAGGGAGGAGAGGGAGAGCTTGGAAGGGAGAGCGTTGCATCGTCCGTGGTGGATATCTGCCAGTCGCGGGGCCGGGCGCCGGCGTCGCCCAAATGTTTCCACCGGGCCCGTGGTTGACCACCGGAGGTCCTTGGTTGACCACCGGAGTCTCAAACGGCTCCATAGAGAGGCGTGAAATTGGCGCATAGGCGGCCGAGGCTTCTCAATCCCCCATTCGTGTCTCTGTGAGGTGCCGTGCGGCAGGAGCGGTGGTTGTTCGTGACCGTCCAAGGGTGGTTGGGGACGAGGCCCAATATCGAGAAGTCCGGAAACTGCGCCCACTCGTTGGGCATCGGCGCGGCCCACGCAGACGGGCTAGACGAGCACCTCGCGGGCGATCGAATGCGGTGAGGTTCATAAAGCGAGCGTCGGGATGACGCGCGTGTGCGGGTTGAAGCTGCATAGGGAGGAATGGGGGTGCGACGGTGTTAGTGGTGGTGTGACGGAGGCGTGTGGAACAGCAAGAACGGTCTGACGGTCGACAGACCAGGAGGGTATCGTGAACGTCGTGGAGGGAGAAGTAGAGCAATATGGGGGGATGGTGGGAGAGAGCAGCAACGTGCCTTGTGGCCTGGGCACAAAGCGCCTTGCGCTTTTCAGCCATCCGTGTTGATTGTTCTTTTGACGCCCGTTTGTTCCTGCCACCCTATACGGATAGTGGCGCAAGAGCTGTTTCTTATGGTCGTAACCGAGAGCGGTAAGTATAAATGCATCCATCGGGTTATCCGTGGCTGGATGGTGATCATTGAAGGAGAGACATCCCAAGGCCAAAACGTCAGGACGACTTTGGCAGACCGGTTCCTACCAGCCAGATCCTTCTGTAGATACGTGAGGATCCGTTATTGAGCACAATGAGATAGAAACATACATACCACACATGTTTTAAGCAACAACCCTGCAATTGGCAGTCCTCCGACACCCGCTCGACGCCGTGCAAATTGCCATGACGAAATTTACCCGCTATCAGCAATCGGGTGTTATTAGCCACGGCAGATACTACAATTGCGAAGACGAGACATACTCGATTGAGCAGTTTCCAGGCCACCGCTAGTGGAAACTCGTCTGTGTTGAGCTGGTCTTGCGGAAGGAGGAATGTGGTCGCTGGCGCCGGCGCACAGTGGTTGCCACGTGGACGGCAGGACCCGGAAAGAGTAGGACCCCGAGGCGCCGGAGCTCAAGCAAGACATCATTAATTGGGCGAACTTGCGCGTATCCACACCTATCCGCCTTCAAGAAGACTTCACTGCCACTCACCAACTCCTCAGAACACCCGGTTTCAATTGATTTTATGGCTAAGATTTCGCAGGCAAGCTTCGTTTCCGCCCAACCTTGCAGCCCTTGTACGTCCCCCACTGTCTCCCACTCCGACTCGGACCAAGTCTAACAAAAGCATGCGCCAGACTCAGTGCGGATTTGAGAAGCGCAGCGAACCTACACCGCCGCGGCCCCGAGCCTGTACTCCACGACGACCGCGCCCCGGGGCCGGAGCGACTGGACCGTCGAATTGCTCCCAAGCTGCAGCGCCAAGGCACACAGCCTCCGTAACACCGTCACCGCAGGGGTGTGTCAGCCGTGAGTCCAAAATCAGCTTCAGCAATACGGTGCGCGCGCGGGCAAAGCGGAGCGTCTCCACATGTTCTCGGCACGCTGTGGCTCCTTGCCGGCAAGACCGGCTTCTCTCGTTCGGACATTGCATCGCGGTGCGTTGTTTGCGTGGGCGAGAGCGTGGGCGCGGCCGCGGAGGATATTGACCTCCTACCGCCTATGACGTCCGGTGAGGAAATGGGCTGGTGCGATGCTGCGTATGATGAGTGTCTGACGAAATTGTTTGGGCTCTAGCACGGCTTGCGGCACGCGTGCAGGGGTATATAAGGGTGCTGGAGGGACAGGTCGACCCCAACACACCGCCCTCGCAGCTCATCCACCCAAGTACTCACACCATCCATCCAACATGCAGTTCACCGCCATTGTGACGCTCGCGGCCTCCCTCTTTCCCTTCCTTGCGGCCGCCAGCCCTCTCGAGTCGCGCCAGACGTGCAGCACCGCTCCCATCCAATGCTGCCAGACCACCACGACGGTAAGCAACTGCAATTTAATCGAGGCTTGCCTGTGCGCTCAACAATCATCCCCTCAGGCTGGATCCGCCGCCGGGACCTCCATTCTCGACTCGATCGGCGTTGTCGTCCAGGACGTGAACGTCCTCCTCGGCCTTACCTGCTCCCCCATCAGCGTCGTCGGGGTCGGTAGCGGCGACGCTTGCGATGCCCAAGCGGTGTGCTGCCAAGACAACAGCCACGTACGTTCCACAGTACATGCTCGTAAAGTGAGATGCTGACGGTACTTTGGACGCGCAGGGTGGCCTCGTGTCCATTGGCTGTGTCCCGGTCACTCTCTAAATGGTCTACGCAGGGCCATTTTCGCTCGAATGGACGTCGTAGCCTGTACCTAATGTGTTCTTTTGTGACCAAGCCACCGAAAAGAATTGAATATACTTACTGCGAACCAAGTGCCCGACTTGAAAATTGCCTTCATGATACCAACCCTTCGCTTCTGCCAGTACTATGCGGACCGTTGGCAAGTACGGTGGAATCCTGCGGATTCTACAGATTCCACCGTTCTTCATCGGCGTCCAGTGGTTCTCTCCGTTTTTTCCCATGCCATACAGTAACGTCCAGTAGCCTATGTAGACATGGTGCCCAGTAAAACTAGCAATGTAAGCTGACATCCGGTGGATGATACCGCACAACGCCACAGTCACAGTTGAATTCGGCGGCGGAGTTCGCTGCATCTCAGTAAACAGCGGCCACAGCGTACTGAAAGTGACCTGATTAGCCCGGGCCCTGGACGCGGTGCGGAAGTACAGCGGTGTACTGATTGTTCGCAGTGAAGTACACTGGCATCCGCTGAATACACACACTGCAGCACCAGTGGATACCGTCGAACTCTGCACGTGGAAGCCACTGGACTGGGTCGTTACAAGTTGTCCCCCAAAATGATGCCAAAAACCGGAAATATCCACTGGATTCCACTGGATATCGCCGGTGTTCAACGGTGGACGCTGGTGATGCTAACGGCGGGCGTAGAACTCGCTTCTGCTTCATGCACAGACTGTATTAACGGCGATGTTGATTATGTACACATAGGACGGTACGAAAGCATGTCATAACTCATAAAAGCATAGCATGTACAGTGATGTTCGTCGACGCCCGCTCAGAGCAGCTTCTCGAGGGCCTTTCCGAACGCCTTCTTCGCGCCCCCAGGCCCGTTTAGCCGCTCCAGCCGACGCCAGTCCTCCTTGCCGTACGACAGCATCTCCATAAGATTGACCTCGCGCGCCTCCTCCGCCCGACCCTTCCCTTTCCCCGGTCGACGGCAGGCAGCTCGACGTCGACATCCATCGCATCCTCCTCGCTCCGCTGCACCTCACGGAGGTGGCGATGCGCGCGCGAAGTCTTCGGAGGGGAGTACTCCATGTCCACGCTCGACTCGCTGTCCGCCGCCACGGGGGTGATGTGCAACTGGTCGCGCCCGCCAAAGCTGACGCGTCCGCGCTGGGGCACCGCAGGGGGCCGCGAGACGACCCGGGTGCTCTCCGCCTGGGGGAGCTCGCCGCGCAGCCATCTGTCCTGGCTGAGCACGCCCTCGACCTCCGCCGCGTCTTCGGAGCCCCTGCGGTTCGACGCGTCGCTGACGCCGCTCGCAGTCCCCGCTTCCCCGCCCTCCTCCTCGTCGGAGTCGTCGAACCTGTAAAGTGCCTCGCTCGCACCCTCGCGCATGACCAGGAGCCGCCTGTCTGCCTTCGCGAACGACCCCGTCTCCTCGCACAGCCTCCGCACGATGTCCTCGTGGAAGCCGTGGTTCTGGGCCATCGTCTGCACCACGAGCTGCATCACGTACGCCTGCAGCAGCTCGCGCTCCGCCGCGGGCACGGCGTTCACGAACCGCGCGTCCGCTGCGCGCGGCGACGACAGGGACGTGCCCGCCCCGGGCAGGTACGCGGACGCGGCGGGAGCGTGATGGTGCGCGTGTGGCCGGGCCCGGAGGGGAACAGGAACTGGAAGGAGTTCTCGCGCGAGAGGCGTCGCTGCCAGGCTGGAGCCCGACGGAGGCCGAGTGAGGTCCGTCGGGCACGAGGGTCGGTAGGTGGCGTGCCGGGTGGTCGTAGAAGATGTCTGGGGTGACGGAGCCGCCGAGAGTGTGGCGGCGTGTGTGCCCGGCGCTCTTCGACGGCTGAGGGGGAGGGGCGATGCGGGATGAGGACGCTTGAAGCTTCGCTCGTCGAGGGATTGATGGGAGGAGTGCGAGTCACCCTTGTCGGCGAGGTGGGACGGTTGCGGCATTGAATGGTCCTCGAAATGCACGCCGGTGTGCTTCCGCTGGACAGTTTCGCTGGCAGGGTGGTCCTCCGTTCGGCACCGCTGGCTTTGGTCCCGTTAGACAGCACGCCAGCATCCAACAAGCTCTCCAGACGAGGGCCATCGAGAGGAGGGAGAGGACCTGCGGGCTTCGGCCGCTTGGAATCGCGTTCCACCTTCGATGGAGAACTCAAGGGACGCTTTCGATCGGCATTGAGCAGTTGTTCAGGGTCGAGTTTCGCATTGTTCCTACCGGGGCTCAAGTTGCTAAGAGGGAACAGCGCGGAGCTCGTGGAACTGGCGCTGGAGGAAGCCCCGAGACGCGGAGCGAATACCGGCTGGCTGAGCGGCTGGCTGAACGGGTGGTGAGGTTGACTGAAGGGGTGATGCTGCGGCAGGTCGACGTCTATCCATCCAGCATGAGGTCGTCGTCACGGGTTGCCGCACGGGCGGGGATGGGGACTCGACAACCGTAGGTGCGGGCGCGGTCCGCGAGAAAGGCGTTTTCTTCGACCCCCGTGGTACTTTGCGCTCGACAGTGCGCGTCCTCTGCACGGTGACGGTTTCGGTGGTGACGACTTGGCTCGAACTGGGCGAGCGCGCGTTCTCGTCGGCTCTCGACGGGCGTGCGATAGTAGAGGGACCGGGGTCTCGTCGCCTCCCCCCGCGCACAGGGGGCCACGATGGAACTGCTCGTCCGGGTACAGGGGTGGTCGTCGTCTTCTGCGTCTGCACGACGGTCGATATCAACTGCGTCGCATAGCGTGTCCCCCATATCGCTGGCCTCCGCTTCATCCTCGATGTTGCGTCTTCGAGCCTTGCCACCCAACTCGACACGAGTCTTGCCTTTCGCATCAGAGAGCGCCTTGTTGAACGCGCCCTCGTCCAGCCGCGGAGGCTCCTTAGGTTTCGGGGACGAATCGCACGAAGCATCAGGTTGACTATTCCGACGCTGGGAAACCTGGGCAGCGGAGAGCTAGCCGCAGTAGGAGGAACGGATGACGAGGGAGCCTCTGGCTCCGGAGTGGCGAAAGTGATCTCTTCCCGTTCCCGACGGTGGATACGCCGCACGTGCTTGCGACGGGGGCCGGAGAGTGGCTTCGCTCCCGGCGGTGTCTTCCCTTGGCCCGATCTGATTGGGGAGAAACTGGCGCGCCCGGTGCGGCCTCGGCCTCGGGTGGAGGTGTTCGTGACTCTTCCGTCGTGGGGGCGAAGCGCCTGATGCAGGTGCATCCGAGAGCTTGGTGCCGGCTCTTCGACAACGGGGATAGCTGCCTCGACAACTGGGCCCGCAACAGGTCTACAGACCGAAGCGTATTAGCACATGTGAAGTAGGAAAGAGAGGAATGCTTACGAAATTGCGAACAGATTGTCCCCGACATCGTCATCATGTCTCTCGTCGAGCTTCCCGCCACGGGGAATTGGCTGATCCGTCAACATCTTCGACGTTTCGACTTCCTCGTCGATGCTTCAGACGCCGTGGCAGGGTCTTGCGCTTCCTCTATATCGTCCACATCGCGGTCGAAAATGTCTACTTCCATACGATAGTCGTCCGACCCAACAGGACCCGCCAACTCATCGCTTTCGCTGTCGTGTCGCCGTCGTCGTCCTTATATTCGTCGCTATCAGTGTCGCCATCGTCGTCGCTGTATTCTAGCTCGATTACTTCTTCCTGCCGTGTCAGGGTATGTCGACGGCATCGTCTTCCTCGTCATCGGAGGCTTCAACAGGGGCGCCGCCCCGTCGCGCAGAGCTTGGTTTATTCCGCAGTGGCCTAGCCTCCACGTCGACACGGATCTTCTTCTTAGGAGGTGCCTGATCTTGAATGTCGCTGACCCGCCTCCGCTTCGCCGCGGGTACGGGTTTCGCCCTCTGGGAGGACGGCTTGCGCGCGCCGTAGTCTTCGACCGTCTCGGCTTGACGACACCTTCGGGCATCGGGATGACCACGCCATCGTCGGCCTCGTACTGCTCGACGGCCCAATCGAACCAGGCCTCGTGCTTCTTGTAGCGCTCCATCCACGACTGCTCAGGATGGCGATCCCCCCCGGGATACTGTCGGCGAGTGGTGAACCAAACGCCGTGCGCGGGAGAAAGAGAGAAACACACACGTTTTCAGACCCCTGTACAGCTTCGTTCCGAGGCGACTGCCGCACGATGGACCGCACGCCGAGAGATACTCGACGAGGGTTCGGTCGTCCGCATCGGTATATTCTACTCGTGGTCGCGGTATCCGAACCGTTCTCCTCGCCGCAGGGGCGGGGGAGGCCTCCGATGTGGACGGTTCGGCGTACCGCTCTGCGACCGCTGAGCTTTCTTCACCAGCGATGCGATTTTCTTGTCCAACCTTTGCTGTTTTTCTCGTAGTAGTTCCGCCACGACTGCCACGGGTGCCTACGGGACCACTTCCACTTCCTCTCGCCTAGGAAAGCCACTGAGCGAGCCAGATTGGGGAAAAGTATTTGACTCACGTTCTCCACTAGGACCTTATAGAGCTTGTTCCCTGACCTGTCCCTCCCATCAGGAAGTATATCGCCAAGTGATGGCAAAGGTGCTCTTCGTCGTCCATGTAAATTGGTACGCCTAGTGAGGGGGACATTGAGCGAAGCGTTCAGCAAAGCCGCACGGGATACGAGGGCACGACGAAGGACTCGACCACTCACTGAGACATCCTGCTCGAAGAAGTATTCTGTCGTGCAGACCGCAGCTAAAGCCGAGTGTTGAAGGAGGGAGCACAAGGAGGACGGCGAGCTCGACGAGTGCGACAGCGACGGCCGGCATCCCCTACCGACGAACGATGCACATGACTTGCGCGCACTGTCACAAACACGTGATTTCAAATCACCACTCTGGTAGTCCAAAATCAAATGATTTGAAATGCCGGGCATTGCCACTATCGTACTACTACAACCACATCCTCAGTTCAACGCAATTGTGAACCCAGAATCGAACGGAACGTCTACATTAACATCCACAACCCCGTTTTCTCCATCAAAGGACACCCTCCCCGCATCCACCGCCTCCCCGTTCACCGTCACGCTCCCTGGCGCTGCGCTCTGTCCCGCAACCCGCACCCGCACGACGTTCACCCGAGAGCGTACCCAAAGTCCCCCGAGACCTCCAGCGTCCCGCTCGAGAACTTGAAGTCCACCGTGGTCGTCGCCGCCTGCTCCACCGAGACCCCATCGTCCGCGTACAGCGATCCCGCCGCGGTGCCGTCCACCCCAGGCGCGACCACGAGCTCAAAGTCGGTCGCTCGGAGCTCCGTGGTCGTCATCGCGCCCGGAGCGCGGAGCGGGAGGACCGCGCCGCCGACGATGTGCACCGGGATGCTCGTCAAGTTGACGTCGGCGAGCGTGGTGGCTCCGGCCCCGGGGCGCCCGCGAGGGAGTGGAAGTCGTAGAAGACTTGCGCGGGCGGAAGTACGCGTCGACCGACGTCGCGTTCTCCTCGATCACGGGCGAGACGAGCACGGACGGCCCGAAGAGGAACTGGGTGTCGACCGCAAACGTCGCCGCGTCCTTCGGGAAGCGTACCACAGCGGACGGAGGACGGGGGTGCCGTCCGTTGATGCGGCGTGGAACGCGGTGTAGAGGTAATCGAGGAGGCGGTAGCGGACGTCGAGCGCGTTTTTCGCCGCGACGGTCGTCGTGGGCCAGCGGTAGAACTCCTGGCTGATCGACGTGTCGCCGTTGTGCTGCAAGGCACTCAGTACGAACGTCACCGTGAACGCGGGGGGAGAACTCACATTACGCATGAAAGGGTAGAACGCGCCTAGCATCGCCCAGCGAGCGCACAGCGTCTCGGTCGTGTTCTCCGCGTACCCGCAAATGTCCGCACCGACCATCGGGACATGGAAGATACCGGCCATGCCGAGGATCCCGTAGATGCTCTGCTTGTAGTGGCTCCACTCGCTGAAGTTGTCCCCGAGCCACTTGCCGACGCGCGTGCCCGCGCCGGCGAACGTCGACCGCGTGATGACCAGCGTACGAAGTCCAGGGCGGCGAGCGAGCATCGCATTGTGCGTCGCCGTCGACATCATCGTCCCGTACAGGTTATGAGTGTCATACTCGATCAGGCCGTTGGCGTGCATAGCGTCAGTGTATGCCGTCTTGTCTGAGAGCGCCCCGGCCCCTGCAAAGTTCTGGATAGCGTAGGGCGGGGCCTGGACGTTGTCGCTCGCGTGGTCGACGCGCTTGACGAGAGGCGCAGGTGCAATTGACTCGACGCGGGTGCGGAGCGCTCATCACGGAGGCAGACGGAGTCGTCGACGTCTGGTTAAAGATCGGTGCATCGGGCGGGGGCGGAGCCGTGGAGCGAGGAGGGGGGAGGTCTTGTTGCTGCGCCTGAGCAAAGGGGTCCGTGCAGGGGTAGTTGCAGAAGCTCGATGGCTCGTTCATGTCGATCCAAGCGCCGTCGATGTCGATACCCGTCTCGGGGTCATAGAATAGCGCGAACTCGTTGTCCCAAAAAGCTTGCGTCTTGTCGTTGAACCAGTCCGGGAACACCGTCACACCCGGCCACACCGCGCCGAGGAAGGGACTGCTGTTGTTGGCCGCCATGAGCCAGACGTCGTCCGCGGTACCACGGTCAAACGGACCGTAATCCTGGTCGGGCAGGTAAGCAATGGCGGGATCCGTCATGAGCACTACGCACACCAGGTTAGTTCGTGACGCGACTGACATCCAAGTAGACTCACCGTATTTCTGGTCGTGATCGTGCAGGTAATCAACGATCTCTCGCATGCGGTCGAGAGGAAAGTAGTCCGGGTCCACGGTGAATATGCGCCGGCGGTCCATGTAGTCTGAGGGGTCTGTTCAGGTCTGCTTTCTCTCCCGGGTCTCCAGCCGATGGCCACTCACCAATATCAGTCCACATCGTCTCGAGGGGGATGCCAGCCGCAGAATAGTTGGTGATCACCTCGGAGACGTCGATGTAATCTGAGTGGAAACTCAGTACGTGCAGTCGTTCCGCAAGCATGAGCACTCACTCTGGTACCCAAACCGGCACTGGTGAAACCCGAATGACCAATACGGCACCTCGGCCGGAGTCCCCACCACGTCCGCGTACTGCCGCACGAGCTCCAACGGGTCGGTCTCGCTGCCGGCGAGGAAGTAAAAGTCGAGCACGCCGCCAATAACGTTGTACTCCAGCGTCGTGGTGTTCGCCTGCGCGTCGTCGACCTTGATATCCATCCCGTTGGAGTTCGCAAGGAAAACGCCGTGCGTGCCTGTCGCCGGTGCTCAAAGTAAATGGGGTGGTTCCCGTACAGGTTGTTCCCCTGTGGCACTCCGTAGCGTCGCGCGACCACATCGTGCGCGTGAAGTTGTGCGTCGGCAGGCGGAACGTATCGGTGTGCTCCCCGAGTCCATACAGGTTCGCGTTCGCAGGCAGGTCGGTTTGACGCGCAGTACTGAGGCTCGAATATGAGAGGGTGTGAGGCGGTGGAGAAGAGGACCTCGGAGGTTGAGGCGCGGTATACGGAGAACGCGAAGGGCGAGGCCGTGTAGTTGAATCGAATGTTGGCCGTGGTCGGATCGGTGGTCGGGTCTGCTGTTGGGCGAGGGAGCACGGACTCTGGGATTTCGTATCGCCATTTGAGGGGTCTGTGATTTTGAGGTGGATCCGGTTCTCTGGATTGTCGTGTCAGCGAGCACTCTTGCGCAGCGTTTGGGGAAATAGGGCAAGAGCTATCCGCTCGTTCGTCCGTCTCGTTCTCCAGGGGACACTCCTAGGTGGAATGTAGACATGAACTCACCATTTTCATACGTGACCTCCAACTTCAGCGCCGCGATGTCCGTTCCGAAAACATTGCATGGCGTACCCGCGAGGACGAGGTTCGCAGTGAGAGCATTCCCCTGCGTGACGACGCTGTCCACGGTGTAACCAGGGCACGCGTCGAGCACCGCCGGGTCGGTCGCTGTTGCACGCACCACAGCGAGGGCGACGAGCTGCGCGAGGAGTGCGACCCGGAGCTTCATGCTGGGAGTGTAGTACGGGTCGGAGACTGGGGCGAGCAGGCTCGGCGGAGCAGTAAATCCTTCCTTCGTTATATATGTACGTCACCGGACATTCTTGGCCGCGGCGACGCACACGAAAGTGGGAGATGGGCGCGTGGACGACGAAGCATCTGACCCGGGACCATTCATGTGACCGAGGTTCTGATGCCAGAAGAGAAGCGAGGGCGGTTGGTGTGTAACGTCGAGCTCAAGGCGCGAGCATCCATGTCTTGGCCATGGGCGGAAGGATAGAGGAGGAGGAGGAGGAGGAGGAGGAGGAGAAGGCGGGCGCATGCACAAACATCGGAAGCGCCCAAAGTGCAATACGCGTGGTCACCGCCACGGGTCACACACTGTTCACTGGTGAACAAGTTCACATTCTCTTTCTTTCTATGAAGCGTACAAACACATGGTCTCTACAACACCAGATCGTCTCCCTTACGCCGTCCTCTGCTTCTTGTTCGCCGGTTCGGACCACCAGATTCGGCCGCGGCGGGCGGCTTAGGGATCACTGCGTACCCGTTCTCATCCATCGGAATGATCCCCGCCGCCCGGAAAAGGTCGGGATCCTTCTTTTTCGCGTCCAAAGACTCTTCCAAGGCTTCCCCGTTCCGTAACGTCTTCACCTTGCGCCAGTTCTTGAGGTCCGCATATTTCTTGAAGATCACCTTCAGGTCCTCGTGAGTGCTGAGCAGCCCGCCCTCGGCAAAACGCATGTCCTCGACATCACCGGGGGCGACAGTGGGTTGATCGGAGGGCGCTTCGGTGGGGGCGACGGCGGGATGGCCGGAGAACACATCGCCAAGGGGCTTGTGGCCGTAATGTTTGGAGTACATCAACTCGTCAATTGCGGAATAGTGTTGACTGGTTACTGCGGCGATGTTCTTGAGGATATCGTATAAGGTATCGTTGTTCACAGGTACAAGCCAGGGTTTTGGGTAGCCCATGCTTATGAACTTCTCGTCGCCACCCCTGTAAACATCGTTACCGCCGTCGCACTCGGCGTAGACACTCTCAAGACGTGTTGCAGCGCGTATACGACTTTTTTTATTGGTGAATTGCGTCACGTTGAATCGCAGGACGAGATACTGGAAGACGTGTACGAACGCCTCGACTTCATCGCTTAGTCGATACGGGCGGGATAAGGGATACTTCAACGACAGGCTCGACTGGAAGTACCAGGGTCCCTAACAGGTCCGATGTGAGCGCGACAGCAGTTGTCGTACAAATGTGTGACACCTACCACTACCGCACGTTGCCGAGGGCCCGTCGCATTGTCCATCAGGGTTTTGGTCTTCGACAGCTCCCAGTCACCGAGGAGCGCCGTTCGCGTGATCTGCTGGGTGGCGTCGTCAAACTCGGAGAGGATGAGGATGCTGTTCGTGCCGATCTGACGATGGAGTGTTTTGGCTTCGCCGCACCACGCCTGTCGTGGCTACAAAGTGAAGCATGAGACGAGTCGTTCTACTAGAAGCGGCGTCATCACGGCAGAACGCACCAGTCATAGCGTTCAACATGAACCCTGAAAGCTCGTGGAAGTTCTCAAATTCCAAAAGAGGCTGAGCAAACCCTCGAGGACGATTCGGTAGTGAACAGTCCCTCATCCTTCGTGCGCTGGACCTTGCCGTTGACTTCGACGTCGCCGCCATAAACGCAAGTGGGGATGTTGGTGACCTTCGCCTCTTTCAGCCGATCGTAGACCTTGTGCTCGAGCTCGATCTCCTCGTGGTCGGGTCGCCAATAGTCCTTGATAGTGTAACCCTTGATCGAGCCGTCCTGCTCGACATGGAAGGCGTGGAAGAGTCGCGGTGCGGGTCCGTGGAGCGCAGAGGTCTGGATGATCGGACGCCCAACCACATACGTCTCGCTTCCGACCGTCATGCGCTGGAGTGGCCACTGCGTGGAGACTGATTCGTAGGTCTCGGTCTTCGGATCACGACACAGAGCGCGGAGAATCAGAGCCCGTTGCGGATCGGCCATCTTCATGCCCCGTGCGTGCGCGAGCAGCCGCCGCTCATCTTCACCGTCGGCCAGAATCACCGACGGATCGAAACCGAGTTGCTGACGATCCATGCGCGCAAGCCGCCAGAAGAAGCGATGCAGTGTCTGATCTTCGCGTGTGCCGTACACGAACTGTTCCGAGATGTGGCACCGCTCGCGATCGATGAAGAGGAGTCGAGCCTTGTCGCGGCAGACGTATACCGCGTACAGATGGGTGCGGTGCTGTCGTCCTAGGATCGCGGAATAGTACTCGGTGATCTGGGTTAGAGACTGACACCCTTTCTCGCTGTAACGTCGTGCCATCCCGCCAGTGTGACTTTGGAACCGGAAGGCTGCGTGGTCGTGCGACGTCTTCACTTGTATAGGAACGACGATGTCGGCGTACGACGTTGCACCAGCGAATTCGTTCATGGCTTGGGCACGAGTCGGAGTCTGTGGGCTGTCGCCGAGTTCGTCGCAGGCCTCGGACTCGTCGGGTGGGTTCGCGGCCAGCAGCTCCCGAGTGCGCTCGGTGTTGAAGTAGATGGAGAGGCTAGGGCGGGTGCGCTGGTGCCCACCGGCGCCGCGGTTGTCGTCTTCCAGGAACCTCGTCGAGGTGTCTAGCAGCAACGTGCGAGGCATGGCTGAACGGCGAGTGTTCGCTTCGGCCAGGAGGACTGAGCGAGCCATTTTTGCCTGTGTGAGTGCTCGCGCATCAGCAAAGCAGAGACGCGGGGCGGGCGAACGCCAAACGCTCACGATCTCGAGTTTGACACGTCGCTCCGACTTCATGGTGTAGATCGAGCCTTCGCTTGGATAGTAGAGCTCCGTGGTGTCCGTTGGATGATCCTCCCCGGGCATGTGTCTTCGCAAGAACTTGTCGATCTGCGTCTCCTCTATGGCGAAGTGTATTCTTTGCATCTAATAACCTGGAGTAAAATTTACGGTAAGATCCAGTGAGTCACGGTGTCGAGCGTGGCAGAAGCAAGCGAGACCCACTGTAGGATGTCTAAATTTCGACAAATGTTGATTCACACTGTGAATTTATATGTTGAGAATGGAGAGGGAGCTTCAAAGTCAGCAGGGAGTAGGGAGTCGGGACGCAGTTGTGGTCGTGATGAGACCTCGGGAAGCGCCGGTCGGCCCTCTGTTGGCGATAGATGTCCATCGCGTGCATGAGCTATCCTGAATTTTGGAGCCAGCCGGACTGCCTTTCAAGCGTGGGCAACACCGTCATTTATTCGTCGTGTGTCGTGGTAGCTTCGTTCTATCCTTCTACTCTCTCCCGACCCATTCGATATCCGGACTCTCTTGTACGTCACTAGGTCGACAGCCTCCGCGCTGACCGCTGCCTCACCGAACTGGTACCCGTCTCTCTCCTCCGCGACCGCGCTGTCCTGCGGGAGCGGAGACGAGGGCCTCCTCCACGAGTTCCCCGTCACGAGATGAGGGGATCGGTCTGTCTGATAAAATAGTATATATATATATCGTGGCGTGTAGAACGCGTGCGATGGGTTCGAAAATACACATGCGATCACGATACCGAAGTACAACCCATTAGTAGCGTATAGGGGTCGACAGAGGCTCTCCATATCCATCGGGATCTCTAGGAGACATACGAGCGACGCTTGCGCTGAGCGCGGATAGTGCGAGGTCGTTCTCGAGACGTTCCGCTGGAAACGTCACAAGCATGCGTGATCGGCATGGCCAGATCAAACGCAGCCGCGAGGGCGAAGCGCGCGGCCAAATGGAGGACGGGGCAAAGTCGCCCGTCTTGCATCGGTAGGTTGCGTATGTTGCGTATGGGCTGGCTCGGGGACGGGGCCCACGAGCGGCGCGGACGCTCACAGCCTGAGGATCTTCTTGAAGCCGCTCTTGGCCGAAGTTTTGGGTGCGCCCGTCGTGCGCCGCGACACATTGGAGGGACGTAGGACCTGGCGCGCGTCCTCGTAAAGGGCGTAGGTATCGCGGGGGGATTGAGCGGACGCGGCGAAGAGGCCGAATGCGTTCGGGGACGCGGGGGCGGCGGCGAAGGTGTAGGTGGGGATGGCGGTGCGGGAAGACATGGTGAGATCCTCGGCGGGTGGGAAGGAGACTGCGGGTGCGGGTGGTTGTGTTGTGGAGGTGAGATGGAGGAGCACTTGGGACTCGGTTCCCGACGATGCGCTGGACGATGTGTGCGGTGGTGGAGACTCACATTCGACGGCGACTGATTAAGTACCGGGGGCGTCGCGACTGATTGCCCGTCGATTGCACCCTCGCGCACGCGAAGTGCCAATCGTTGGACCGCCTGTGGTGCGCCCACACAAGACTGCCATTCGGAGCAGGTGATGGAGCCGAACAAACAAGAGTGCAAAGCGTCGCCCACAAGTGCGACAGTTGCCTGGATACCGAGCACGTGAAGAGAGGCAGGACGGGGCAGGACGTTGACAATAAGCTGCTGCTGAGCGTGTGGAGGAGCAGACGAACGCCAGAGGGCCAGAGCGTTGTTTGCCCCCGTAAGGACCAAACATGACCACGTGGATAGCCGACTCCGGCCGGGCGCGCGGCCGCCGTGTTCAGGAGTCCAGGCGGGTCGCCCGCACGCTCCTTGATTCTGCTCCACTACGTCGTCCACCAGGCACCTTGGCTTGAACGTTGAACAGCGAGAGTGTACCCAAGATCTATTTGGTGATAGTTGGACAGTTGTGGTAGGCCTCACGTATATTTTGCGATGATCGACGCTCATGCCTTACTTTGTTTCTTCGCCTCCTGGCTAAACGTGCACCATAGAACAGCGTAGGAAGCATGTCGGCTTCCAATCCCTCTGAGCGGGACCCTCTACTCCCGCCTTTGGAAGACGCATCGAAGCGACCGACCAGAATCGGACCCTTGGAAATCTCTCGCTCTACCCGCCACGGCATTCTCGCCGGTATATGGGCTGCCACTTTCCTATCCGTGTGTAACATTCCAATGGTCACCGCTTTCTGAATACCGACTCTGTTCTTGTTCTTGTGGTAGTCGCTGAATAGTACGTGTGCCTGGCATGATGACGTCGTGGTTCAACTCTAATCATTGAATCGTCCGGTTAGCGACTCTGGTTGCCACACGTGAGCAGCACTCAGTTCGAACCAGTTCGCTCGTTGATCTGGCACGTTCAGTGCTCCCATCAATCTCTTCCGACTTCAACAAAGCCCACCAAGCAAGCTGGCTCGGTACCTCGTATGCGCCCTACTCATACGAAGCGTGGCCTTAGAGTTTCTGACGTCGCCCGCAGATACCTCCTCGCCACGTGCACATTCACCCCGCTCTATGGCCGCTTGTCGAATATACTCGGAAGACGAGGCGCGAACCAGACCGCCGTATTCTTCGCCGGACTCGGGACCATTGCTTGCGGTTCTCGACAAACATGGAGATGCTCATTGCAGCCAGATTCGTACGTATCCGCCACCATTCGGGCGAAGAACTCGACTCACTCAAGATCTAGCTTGCCGGTCTGGGTGGAGGAGGAGTTTTTACGACCGCCACGTGGGTATCTGCGGTGGGCCAAAGTATGTTTTCGTACTGACACGTAACTTCCAGGATTATCACGAGCGATATGTACAGCTTGAGAGTGAGTGTTGCCAACGCTCTCGATTCTGCAGCTCATAGCTAAATCCGTCTTCAGAACCGAGGCTTGACACAAGGCGTCTCCGCCGTGTTCACCAGTGCAAGTTACGACCTACTCTACCTCGAAGCGCGACGCTGATGCTACTTGCAGATGGGAATGGGATTGGGGGGACCTCTCGGTGGTTTCATCGCCGACCGGTACGACACATGTGACTGGTGCGACTTGACCCTTGTTGACTTCAGGGGATGGCAGACTTGGTTGGCGCTGGGCCTTCCTCATCCAGCTCCCGATGTTCCTGGTATCCTTCATGCTGACGTCCACCTTCCTCCACTATACCACGCCGGTACGCTTATTAGCTATGCAAACGTCTAGCTCTTCACTGAGCCAGAATCACAACCAGGGTGGTAGCAAGAGCACGAAACAGGTGCTCAAACGCATCGACTATGGAGGCACCTTAACGCTGTTGGGAACGGTAGGGTCGTCACTCATCCGTTCGTACGCTATGTAACATGGCAACCTCTCAGGTCCTTTCCTTCCTCATCTTCCTGAGTACCCGTTTCAGCGAAGAGCATCCTGTGCGTCTTCTCGTTGTTTTCCTTCTCGCGTCCTTATGAAACAGACCCCGTAGTGGTCGAGCCCGACGGTCTACGTCCCGCTGGTGCTCTTCGTGGTGTTCTTCGTGACCTTTGTTGTTTTCGAGCTCTGCATCGCGCCGGAGCCCATGCTTGCACCCTTCCTGCTGCGACAGCGCGTACCCGTACTCGTCGGGTTCAGCAACTTCCTCGTCGCAACGTGCAACTTCACCGTCATGTACAACTTCCCGACTTGGTTCCAGACCGTGCTTCTCACGAGTGCGAGCGAGGCTGGCGCTCACCTCATCCCCAACGGAGTCTCGATTTCTCTGGGGTCACTCTTTGCCGGGTACGTTCGACCGCCAGGGCCTTGGGCGGGTGCTGATGGTCCCGCCAGATGGATAATGCACCGCACAGGGCGATACCGCACGCTGAACCTGGTGTTTGGATTGTTCCCGTTCGTGTCGGCGGTGCTCATCTCGCTCATGCGTGAGGACTCGTCACCAGTCATACTCTGGCTCAGCATCGTACGTACGTTCTGCTTCCCCATACAATAATGCCCTCATCGTGTCGTATAGCTCCCGATGGGTTTCGGGAACGCCGTGGTCCTCCAAACCATGCTCAGTACGTCGTCCGGCATCCTTCTCCAGAGTATCTCTAACTACGCACACTCGAAGTCGCCCTGCTCGCGCACCTGCCGCAAGACGCCATGGCCGTCGGCACCGGCTTCGGCCAGCTCTTCCGCGGCATCGGCCAGGTCGGCGGCGTCGCCGTCTCCGCCGCGCTCTTCCAGAGCCTCCTCACCGCGTCCCTGCGCGCGCGCGTCCCAGGCGCGCTGCCCCCGTCCACGCCGGCGTCCGAGATCGAGAGCACGATCTCGCGGATCCGCCACTCGTCCACGCTCGTCGCGACGCTCGAGCCCGCGCTACAGCGCGCCGCGCGCGACGCGTACGCGGAGGCGCTCCGCGCGGTGTTCGTCTTCGCGGCGGTGGCGACCCTCGCCGCGTACATCGTGCGCCTTCCGGTGAGCCTCCGTTCTCCGTCCGTGTGTACGACATCGTCGTTGAGTGCGTCTCCAGATTCCCGATCGGAAACTCGACGCGCCCGAGCCGCGCCCGCGCCGCCGCTCTCTGGGGGAGCTCCCGAACCCGCACCCGGCGGACGCGGAGGAGCTCGCGGAGGAGACGTCTCCGCCTGGGTCGCCCGCGCCGACTGTGTCTCCGCTCGCGCAGGACAGCGCGGTCGCGTCGGAGGCCGAGGACGGGGACGAGAGGGCGGACGACGTGGCGCCGATTCCGGTGCCGAAGCGGCCGACGCGGAGGCTGTCGACGTACGAGAGCTCGGACGGTGGGATGGACCTCGAGGACGAGGTGATTGGAGGGTCTGCGAGGCGGTGAGAGCGGAATGATAGAACGAGGATAGGACCCTTGGACTCTCTTGCGTGGCACGCGTTTTCAGGTAGCCGGTGTTCTGCTGTGCGGAGGTCGGTGCGGCGCAGTGGCACCAGCGTCCACATGAGGGCCCTGAGGCGGGGGTACACTCGGTCGCAAAAATACAGGTTAGACCGATGTCTGACTCTCAGGTTGCGCACACTGCGGATAACGAAGGTCGTAGGCGTACGAGGAGTCGTTGTTGCAGAATGAGATGATCACACAATCCACCTATGCCACCAATCGCCACAACCGTGCGTACATTCCAGCCGCGCCCTCTCGCAGGCAATTGGGCCATCCTGATGCAGGTCCGAGAGATCGAGTCGGCGGTGAGACAGGATAGTGCGCGTATGTAGTCCGCAGGAATGAGAATCGCGACGGGATGACTCCAATACAACACTGTATGAATCGCTGGTGAATCACTCCGGGAATGGTACCTGCAGGTTGGACTCACAAGGAAACAGGGACGGTGGAGTGGGTCGGAGAGACCTGCCTGTGAGCGCTGCGGCGACATCGAGTGCGGAGTCCATGAGGGTGGGTGTGGATCAGTTCATGACACCGCCTTTCGGAAGAACGATGCGCGTAGCGCACTACGTTTCCGTT